TGTAAATACAACACAATTTATTTACCCATTTACCCTATTTATAATTTGGGTTGTTTCCAATTTTGGGGTATTATAAATAAAGCTGCTATGAACATATATGTGTAAGTCTGTTTTCATCTGTTTTATGTAAATAAGATAGGAGTGGGTATGCTGGGTTATACGGTAAATTATGTTTAACTTTTTAAGAAACTTCCAAACTGTTTTCCAAAATGTTTGTGCCATTTTATATTCCTACCAGCAATCTTCCAGTTGCTCCAAATCTTTGCCAACACTTTGTTTCATCAGTCTTTCTCATTTTAGCCATTAAACATCCAAAATGGGTGGTATCTCATTGTGGTTTTAATTTGCACTTCCCAGGTGACTAATGATGTTCACTATGGTTTTGTGTGCTTATTGGCCATTTGTATTTCTTCTTTTGTGAAGGATGAGTTCACATTTGCCCAATCTTAAAACTTTGGTTTGTCTTATTGTTGATCTATGAGTTCTTTACGTGGTGAGGATACAAGTCCTTTGACAGATACATGCATTGCAAATATTTTCTCCCATATTCTTAACTCCTGATTATAAATTTATTTTTGAACTTTTATTTTCTTCCATTGATTTATCTGTCTATTCATGTGTCTGCACCATTGCTTTAATTTCTGTAGCCTTGCAAGTTGCAACTTTTATCATACTTTTTAATATCTGGGAGTGCCAGTGTCCCTCCCAATACTCTGCTTTTTCAGGAACATCCTGGTTATGTCTCACATGTTTATTTTCCCCTGAGACCTGCAGGATCAGCATACCAATCCTAGTACCTGTTTCCTCCCCTCTACCCCCAAAAGCATTTGTGTTTTTATTGAGTGGACACTACATTTATAAATTGAAGACGTTTGACATGAAGCACAAAAATAAAGATACAGAGACAGGCCCAGGCACTGCTTCCCCAGGTTCTGTGTCACACATCAAAGCAGCAGGTGCTGCCACTCCCTGCTCCACAAGGCACATCAGCCTGCGGGACCATGACCACAGTGGAAACAGACAAGGGGAAGGAGCTGAGATCCTGGCAGAATAATGTGCGGCATGGAATTACCGAGTTAATGTGTAAAGATAATGCCATTAATAGCTAGCATTTAGTGATCAGCCAGGTACTTCCACCCACTAGCTCCGTTCACATGCACACCCCCTGCGAGGCAGTCACTACGGCTACTATACCAGTGCAGCAATAAAGCTGAAGCTCAGAAAGATTAAGTAACTTTCACTCCGCCAATAATCAGTGGAGCTGGAATCTGAGCCCTGGCAGTGCAGTTCTAGACTCTGCACTCTCAACCTCAAAGCTGAGCTGAGCTGCCAAGTGAAGATGAACTGCTCCTGGGAGGCTGGCTAGAGGGGAAAAAGCAAGAATGTGTTTGCTGAATTGATTGCTGCGGCTCAGGGGCAGGGCCATTGCCGTTGCCGCAGGCATCAAAGCCGACTGAGGTTGCAGAATCCGCAGTAATTCAGAGTCCCAGGCTCCTGCCATGTGAGACGCAGAATGAGAAGGTAGAACAGTCACTCCCCCATATGTCCCAGGCCTTTGTCAGGGGACGAACGCTGACCTTTCAGCAGGGAGGAAGACTCTGGCTGCCATAGTGGCCCTTAATCCTGCAGTCAGGGAGCCCAGGTGGGGTCCTGAGGGTTATCTGAGAATATCCCAACCAGATCTACCACCCCCTTCAGGCAGACCCACTCCAGGTGAGCTCCGGTTCTGCTGGGCTCGGGGCAGTGCCGGCCTCTGGAGAACACCGGCCCGCTGGCTGACTGCCCCGTGCTGGGACCAGTGCCCGCCCGGATACCCCACAATCCCAGAAACCTGCTAGGCACGGTCTCCGGGTCGGCCCCTCCAGGTCCTGCTGGGAAGGCGGAGGAAAGGCTCGCGGGGCGCTCAGGACCCCAGCTGCCCTCGGCGCCTGTCAGCCTCCTCTCGCGGGGGCTCTGCACTGACAACTAAGTTCGGAAATCGCCTGCGGGGCCGAGGCGCTAGAGTACTGGTTCCCAAAGGTGGGGCCCCAGGGAACACTTCGAAATGGTGGAGATGTTTATGGCTGTGCCAGCAAAGAGCAGAGGGGTTCTGCGAGTATCTGGGGAGAGGGCAGGACTGCTGCTAAACGCAGGGCAGTGTGCTCCCCCACTCCCCACCCCCCGAAAAAACTAGAGATTCATCTCACCCTGTCAGCAGTGCCAAGGCTGGCAAACCCTGTCCTAGAGGGCCTCCGCACAGGAACCCTTGGGAGCTGGTTTCAGATGGGAAGTCTCCAGTCCCATCTGTGAGATTCTAATCTGGTAGGGTGTGGTTTGGGACCTGGAACCTGCATTTTGAAGCATTCCAGGTTGTTGTTACACACAACAAACGGCACTGCAGACTGAGTCTGCAGCGGGATTCGGAAGCCCTGGCCTCCAGACCTGTGTCGGCCTGCCTGCGTAGGCCCCGCGGGAAAGCTTGCCCCAAGGCCAACCTGGCTCCATCCGGATACGCTGTGATAGCAGCCCTGGCTTTGGTCCCAGTATTCTAAGGGTTGTTTTGTTTTGAGGGATTCTTTCTTTAAAAGTTAATTTATTTTTTAAATTGACAAATAAAAATCGTATATATTTATGGTATACACGAGGTGTTTTAAAATATGTACACAGGGTGGAATGGCTAAATCCAGCTAATTAACATATGTATTACCTGACACATTTTTCATTTTTTGTGGTGAGAACACTTAAAATCTACTCTCATTCCCTTCAAGTATACATTCACATTGTCATTAACTAAGCATGTTATATACTAGATCTATGGACTTGTTCCTCTTGTCTAACTGAAATTTTGTACCCTTTAACCAATATTTCCCCAGTGAGAAATTCTCTTTTACCTTTGTAAACCCGGAGTGTGGCCCGAATTCACACAGGACTTTGGTCATCTGCCCTCACTTTTCTGGTGTTACAAGTCAAGCAAAACTGGTGGCTGCCAACTGATTTCATTCCCGGAAACCCCAAGGTTTAGAAACTTGCTCAAAGATATCACTTCAGGCCCACAGGTAAGGAGATTATTGGGCTCCTCACATTTCCAGAATTATCAATGATCCCATTTCTTTTTTTTTTTTTTTTTGAGACAGAGTCTCACTCTTTTGCCCCGGCTAGAGTGAGTGCCGTGGCATCAGCCTAGCTCACAGCAACCTCAAACTCCTGGGCTCAAGTGATCCTTCTGCCTCAGCCTCCCGAGTAGCTGGGACTACAGGCTGCCGCCACCATGCCCGGCTAATTTTTTCTATATATTTTTAGTTGTCCGATTAATTTCTTTCTATTTTTAGTAGAGACGGGGTCTCACTCTTGCTCAGGCTGGTTTCGAACTCTTGAGCTCAAACAATCCGCCCTCCTCGGCCTCCCAGAGAGCTAGGATTACAGGCGTGAGCCACCGCTCCGGCCCTTGAAGGACATTTCATCCAGGCAATTATTTTGTCAGGAGAATTATCGCTCCTCCTTGCTCAAAGCTATCGCCCTAAGGCTACCATCTCTAACTTGGCACCGCACATTCCCATTGGTGTTGCTTAAATTGGACATGGGCTCTCTGGAGGCTTCCATCCTGCATGCAGACTCTGCCCTCTGTCGGCCACACTGTGTGTGCAGCTGCCTTGGCTACCCTTGCTTCTCTCAGTGGCCTTTGCGTTCTGTCCCAGGGTGGTCTCCAAGGCCACTTCCCACTCTGCCACTTGGTAAGGTTCAGGGTACCCTACTCCCAGACACTGCCCATTTGTAGAAATCTTTTGCTTTGTGTAGGTTCTCTGAGCCCCTGTATCAGAGGCTGACATTTACTGGTGTGTCACCTACATTGGGGGAAGGGGGTCTTGCTTGAAACTGGGAACATAAAAGAAGTCTCAGTACATAACGACGTCCAAACCCCTGCACCAAGAGACTGGACCAACCCCAGCATGGCTTCTGGCAGCCCAGGGCTGCATCCCTGGGACCACATGGCCCCCCTTTGAGTTCCCGTCTGAAAAAGTTCAAGGCTGTCAAAAAAATTTACTGTTCTCGCCAACACCGGACAATAAGCCTCTGACCGCCTCCCCCCATTTCTTAGAGCATTTACTAGAAAAGGCTTAGAATTTTGAACCCTTTGTCTCCCTCTCCTACAACTCAGGAGTGTGTTTCTCAAGAACCCAAGGGCCAGTCCTTTGAAAAGTCATCATCAGAAGGATGAGGTCTCTGTCTCCCAGTCTGTGGGGGAAAAGAACCCCAACTTCCATCCCTGCCAGCCAGCGACACCGCTGGCCTGCTCACATCAACACTGACCAGCCCTTCGCGATTTTTCACTTCCCTGATGGAACCTGGGCCCCCGATTTCCCCCTCCCCGACCCCCAACTCCAGTCCCCTCCACACGCACCTGAGTGGAGCTCAGCTCTTCCCCCTACTCTCAGTAGTTACTGAATAGAATCTGTTTTTTGCAATTTAACTATTATCCAGCTTTGTTTATCTCTGACAAATCCTGCTCACCCTGCAGGTTCCCGCCTCTGACAGGAACACAGTCCTCACCGGGTGGGTCCCGTTCTTGGGGTGCCCGGTTCCCCCCGGGATTCCCACTGCCCACTCCCAACCACCCCACGCAGGACGCTGAGCAGGCAGATCCGGCCCTCCGATGATGAGGACACGCCGGGGCCTGCTCTGCTGCACAGCCCGGAGCCTGCGTGCGGCCACGTGGGGCCCAGACGGGAGTGGTCAGAGCTCCACTTGAACAGGCCTCCGTCTTCCTCCTCCCTCCGCCGGGCCTGGGTCTGGGCTGAGTCCGGGTAGTCAGCAGGGCCTGTACCGTCCTCCAGATCTCAGGGAAATGTAGTACTCAGTGTCTGTGTCCCAGAACTGCAGCTCCAAGAGCGGCAGCTGCCAGCACCCTTCCTGCTCCCCAAATCCCCCCACGGAAGAAGTGGGAATCGGGTCTGGGCGGGGGCAGCCAGCACACCGGCAGAGGCCAGGGTTTTCCACCACACGGTGCGCTCTCCACCACCGTCATTTATTAGACACGAGTCAGGTGCTCAGTACAAGTCACACGCGACAGCCTCACTCCCGCGAAGGCCCCAAGGTCGGGAGGGGAAGCAAGTGAAGGGGGTCGTGGGGCCCAGCCTGAGCCCTGAGCGGCAGGCCCAGAACCAAGACATCTGGCAGGACACGTGGCATTCTACTGCTGTGCCAACACACTGCCCACTGAGTGGGAAGGCAGGCCAAATAAGGAGTCGACAAATAAGCGAGGCTGGCTTCTCTTCCCTGAGAGGCAGTGAGGACAGGCCACCAGCTGGGGGCCAGACAAGGTGGGTGAGCTCTGACCCGACTATGCTGGGAGCTCGGCAAGTGTCTGATGTCTGAGCTCTCTCTCCTGGAGGACTGAGGGCAAGGTGGGGGGTCCCGAGGGTCTGTCCTGCTGCCCAGCCTTGCCGGGCGGCACCATTCTCTGCCCCACCGTCCCCGGCACAGAACCAGGCGCGCTCGGGACAGAGGCCTGAGCACACGGTGCCAGTCACACCGCGCCTCCCCTCACCCCAGCTCCAGCACTCAGACACTGCTGTGAGGTTCCAGAACTGAACTCTGCCCTACCCCAGCCCAACGGGGCAGAACCCAGGCCTCCTGGGGCCGCCACTGTGCTCAGATGCTCAGGCTGGGAGGGAGGCGCACTATCTACAGGGGGAGGCCCAGGTTGGGGCAGGGAGGGAAGGTGAACAGAGTATTCTGGGACACAACTTTCCCAGCAAGTCAATTTAAGTGACTTTATAACTAACTACAAAGGATGCTAAACATCGAGGTTTCAATCTTGACCCAAATAATGATGTTGCTTTTTTAAATGTGAATGTTTCTCTTTTCCTTCAGTATTTTCAGAAATTTCACATCTAGATGTGTCGCAAAATTAAAGAATAATCCCATTCCATGCCAGAGCTCGAAAAGGCCTTGGACGTGACAGGACAGAGCTTCTCCTTCTCACAACAGGGTGGTGGCAGAGCTGGTGGCCCCGGGCACCCGACTCCCCGCCTGGCTCGGAGCACCCTGGGCTGGATGCCCCTTCTCTACAAGGACACGTGTCCTCCCTTGGGCTGGCCTGAGTCCTGGCTTCTGACCCATTTGTAAAAGAAAGATCTCACCTGCATCAGGTCCTTAGCCAGGATCTACTTAGGAGGAAGGGAAAACGCCAGAGCAGTGGAAATTCAAGAAGATATCCCTGGCCCTAGCCCGACTCTGCACTCAGGGCTTCCCTGAGGGCCGGGACTGGCTGTGAAGGTGGTACTTTCTAGAACAGGCAGGCCCTGGAGGTGCGGGTCCAGGGAGCCAGCAGGAGAGGGCTGGGGGGAGGAGGACCCGGACACAGCTGTAGGGGGAGGGAGGGATGGAGGGGCCATCAGGGACAGTCGGGCCAGGGCCATCCAGAGAGCTGGAGCACCTGAAAGGCACATCACATTAAAGGGTTACTGCCTTGCTGTGGAGACGCCGTCCCCACCACCCCGTCCCTGAGAGCCTCCTTGTCCATGCCCTGCCCTGGTCACTCAGCTTACCCTCACCTCCCTCTGTCCACTCAGAACAGATACTGCGTTACCCACCACCCCCTCTGTGGCCTAGCAATCCCACACGAGGCCATGCCCAGACGTGCCTTGGGAGAAGCACCGTGAGGACGAGGTGGGGCCGTGGTCCCCTTCTCATCCCTGGTGGCCAGCACAGTGCTAGGCAGGAAGGGAGTCAGTGCTCAGACCTCTGCTTTTATTTTTGCTAAATAAACAAACACCTGAATCCAAACAAGACCTCTAACCATGGCCCTGCCTCTCCCTTCCTCCCACCCACAAGGGCCCAGGCCCCCACCCCCGCCCTCCCAGTACCTGGGGCCAGAGGCGGCGGCGGGTCATTCCCACAGGAAGCGCACGTACCAGATGGTTTCGTTCTTCAGCTGGGGCCCAAACAGGGGGTTCAGCTGAGCCAGGATGGCAATGAGCCAGCTGCCAGGGACAGCAAAGAGAGGGTGAGCCCAGGCACAGAAGGGACCCTGCCCTAGGCCCAGGGGGAGGCCTGGGTCACATTCTCTTCTTCTCTCCCAGGGTGGATGCGACCGACCCAGCAGATGGCAGGGCTCACGCTCCTGGGAGTGAAGAAGGGTCATGTGGAAGCACCTACACTCCAGAAGGCACGAGGGCTCAGTCTGGCGCTCGCGGGTTTTGGTTCTGGTTTGATCTGATTTTCAGAATATTTGTAAGATCCCTGAGCTGGGGTTTGACCCCGAGATTAGGGAAGAAGAGTGGCTCCCCCCATCCCTTTAGACGTCTCCAGTCCAGGCTCCCGAGTCACCACGCTCCGGGGTGGAACAGGGCCTGACGGGAAGCACCTCAGAATCACCTCCTTCTAGGAGCCAGGGGAAGGCACTAGCCCAGGTTGGGAGGAGCTGAGGAGCAGGGGCCTCCTGCCCACCCCAGTCCTTCAAGCAGCTTCCCGGGGACCTGACTGGTACCTGGATCCAGCTGCTGGACGTCTGGGTGGCTGTCTGGCCCTGTCATCCATGACAAACCTTCCAACCTCATTTGCCATAGGAGTAGGTCCCTGAAGACTGAAAGTGTCTGACTTGGGGCACCTCATGTGACCAGACCATCAGGAATCCTTACCTGCTTTACATCAGCATTATCTCCGAGTTCGTGTTTTGTAAATACAATTTCTAGGCATGACATTTTCTTCAAGTGGCCCTGCCTTTCTGCCTGTGTGCATCCAATCTGCAGCCTGTTTTCCGTCTCCCATGTGTTGATTCTGTATTTGTAATTATCCCACATCTTGTACAGGCCCTGCCTCCCCCACCTTCCCAGCCCCCATCCTCCACGTCCTGCTCTCTAAGCCATCAGATCCAAGCGCCTTCGAGGCCCTACCTGGGGCAGATGAGGACATTCTGTCAAGACTTGAAGGACTGAGAAACAGCTTTAGAGAATGGGCCTTAGAGATGTTTTTTCCAGAGAGAATTCTGAAAAACCACCCATCCCCATGTATTTAAGTTACCATCTACTTATTATTTTTAACAAGATTTATTTTTTGTTAGTAGGAAGTAGGAAATAGTAAATATTATACAAAGTAGGCCAGGTGTGATGACTCACACCTGTAATCCCAGCACTTTGCTTGAGGCTAGGAGATCAAGACCACCCCGGGCACCGTGGTGAGGCCCATCTCTACAAAAAATAATTAGCCAGGGTGATAGCAGCTGCCTGTAGTCCCAGCTACTCAGGAGGCTGAGGCAGGAGGATGGCTTGAGGACAAGAGTTTGAGGTTGCAGTGAGCTATGATCATGCCACTGCACTCCAGGCTGGGTGACAGAGTGAGACCCTGTCTTTAAAAAAAAAAAAAAAAGTAAGGCAGCCAAGTCCCTCTAGCTGGGATGACAGAGTGAGACCCTATTTCAAAAGAAAAAAAAGGTGGTTTCACCCTTTATACTTTGAAAAATGTGGCAATCCTGGGAAATATTCCAGTTGCCTTTAAAAGAATCTGTCACTTTTTTTTTTTAAGAGATGGGGTCTAGCTATGTTGTCCAGGCTAGATTTGAACTCCTGGGCTCAAACGATCCTCCTGCATTGCTGGGACTACAGGCATGAGCCCCTGCACCCAGCGGAATCTGTCACCTTTTAAAGAATCAGCATCTCATCACTTTACTTGTCCTGTTTTGATTGTTCTGGATTCTGAACACCCAACAACAGACCAATGTGGCTTGATTAACCATGAGAGAGGCCTCCCCGAAACTAGAACTTGAACTCACCCCTTTGTTGGCAGCCAGGATGATCTAAACATGAGCCATGTAACCCAACAGGATTGGGATGGATTGGGGGAGGGGTGTGGGGCTTTTTTTTCTTTTTTTTTGGTAAAAAGGGAAGGGCTATCGTGAATGGCAGTTTTAGAAAGGGACTATATGGTCATTGAGGACCTGGAAATTGATTCCCTCACACTGTCCAAGTACTTGAATCCCTTGGAATGTTCTTCTATGTTCCCTGGTACCTTTCCAGAGTTTGAAGACTACTGTGCTCCCTATTCCAGTCACCTGGGGGCATCATTAAAAGTACCAATTCCCACGTGCATACTTTCAGAATTGTGATTTAGTGGGTGTAGGGTGCAGCCCAAAAGCTGAGTTTGAACAACCTCTTCAAGTAACTCTGATGTCCAGGCAAGTACAGACGACACTGAGCTGGCCCAACTCATTCCTTGCACAGGTGAGAACACTGCAGCCCATGGGTGTGACACAGGTAACACGTACGCAGCACAGCCAGAAGCAGAGCCTGGAGTTCCTGACTTCTGGGCTCTGCTTTCTTTACCATTCCACGCTGCCTCCACTCCTGTGTTTTATACATTCAGCCTTTCAAGAGGTGTTCACTACCAGGACAGAGGGTAGAGCAGGCTACGGTAAGAAGGAAGAAGGGAGGAGAAAGGAACTGGCTGCTTTTGAGCCGGGGAGAGCGGTACTTACAAGAGGTAACAGCAGACGGCGGTGGCCACCAGCATGGTGATGATCACTCTGCAACAGAGGAGGACACGGGTCGGGACGGGTGGAACCAGCACCCTCAGAAGGCCCTGCCAGGGCCAGAGAAAGGGCTCCTGGTGTCAGCTCTTTTCCCACTGGCCTTCCCGATGCCACCTGGACACGGGAGGCTGAGGTCTACTCAGGGTAAGAACAGCAAGATGGAAAACAAAAACTTAAAGTGTCACCTTATGGAGAGGCCAACCTTGACCACATCCAAGTTACGTTACAAATTCTTCCCTTCATCTCCCTTCTCCATCACCCAGTATTTCTCCATCTTAATGCAGACATGCTGGGGAAGGGCACTGCACAGAGCTGCATTTTTGGCAACCCACCAGGGAGTGGTCTGTGGAATTCAAACTTCATCAGGCAAGGCGAAGGAAAACAACAGACCAGAAGACAGGGCATGAAGCAAGGAGACTAATCCCATTACTGGGCATCCACCCAAAAGACCAAATGATACTGTATAAGAAAGACACCTGCACCCGAATGTTTATAGCAGCACAATTCACAATTGCAAAGATGTGGAAACAACCCAAGTGTCCATCAATACATGAGTGGATTAATAAAATGTGGTGTATGTATACCATGGAGTACTATTCAGCTTTAAGAAACAATGGTGATATAGCACCTCTTGTATACTCCTGGACAGAGCTGGAACGCAGTCTACTAAGTGAGGTATCCCAAGAATGGAAAGACAAGCACCACATGTACTCACCATCAAATTGGTATCAACTGATCAACACATAAATGCACATATAAGAATAACATCTATTGGATGTTGGGCAGGGGGGAGGGAGGAGGGGACGAGTATTTGCATACACAAAGAGTGCAATGCGCACCACCCAAAAGATGGACATATTTGAAACTCGGACTTGGGCGGGGGGCAAGGGCAACATACGTAACCTAAACATCTGTACCCCCATAATATGCTGAAATAAAAAAAAAAATCTAACGTTTAAAAAAGAGAGAGAGAATCTCTAATGTGGAATTTCAAACAGTGAATAGATAAAGAAGCTATTTGGAGGAAATCCAAAGGCATTTCTCGGCCGCTGAATTGGAATAACTTGTTTAGGGCCCACTCCTCCCACGGGTTAGGCTGACCCTGAGAGAACCTTTTATAATACAGCCATGAGTTTTAAGATATTTGCCTATTAATTCTGAATGTTCAACTCTAAAAGAACTAGAAAAACACACTAATGCTTACAGAAAAGCTAATAATGCTTTCAATTTCTCCCAAGAGCTATGTCCATCAGTCCATTCCTGGGCAGATGTGGTGGGGCATTTCTTCACAGTTAAGTATCTTTTGCAGAAGGAAACCGTGTTACATTCACCTAAGGGATTTAGTCCAAATAACTTTTCCCCTAAATTTCACATGCAAATTCCTCCCATCTTGAAAGAACTAGGATTTGTAGATACTAAAGAAGTAAATCAGAAATTAAGCTGCTTGGATTTACCACTTATTGATCTGCTATTATTCCCCAGGGAAACTACTCAACCATTTTCTTGCTCACTTTCATCTTCTATAGAAAATAAAAGTGCTAAAAATATTTTTCTTCCAGATTTTTCTAAGTGGCTATACATTTCCCTTAAAAATCTTTGAAATAAAAAGCTTCTGTGAAAAAAAAAAAAAAGAAGCAAGGAGACTATATGCTATTTCTCAGGCTGAGCAAGTTGTTATAAAGAAACAAGGGACTAGCTACTTTGTGTCCGCTCAAAGAAGACTGGAGACAGAAGCTTCAAATGCAGCAGGAGAGATTTCAGTTAGACTGAAGAAAGAACTCACCAAGATTTGCAGGAGAGGTGAGACACTAAAACGGTTTACAAAGTGAAGCTGTGGGATCCTTAGCCCTGCATATCTTTAAAGAACAATGCAACACCCATATGTTCAAGCAGCCTCCAGGCAAAGCCAAACCTACTCCAAACCAGGGCCTATGACCTCTCATCTAAAGCACTTCAAGTTGGTGCTGGAGAAAATAGCACTTGATCCCTCTTTCAACATTACTAAGCAGCTTGGGCCAGTCCTGGCTGGGCACTGGGTAGACCGCGGAGAATAAGACACTCTCCGACCTTGAGGAACTTGTAGTCAAGGGAAGAGAGTCTTTACAACTAAAGACAACATGCAGCAGAAGCTGGTGAACATGCAGACATCTGCTAGAGAACCTTCCAAAAACAATACCAGCTAAAATTACTCAATACATAGAAAGCGCCATGCATTGGTAAGTGTTTTAAATGCACTACCTCGAGTAGTCCTCACAGCTGCCTTCTAAGGCAGGGTCGTCATCATCCCCATTTTACAGAAGAAGAAACTGAGGCTTGACATTTGCTCCAATCACACAGCTAGCAAGGAGTGGAGAGACCGCATCAGTGCCCGTCTGTGCCCTTTACTGGCTGCGGGACGGGTGACACTTAACCATCTCCAATGTCACTTTACTCTTCACCTCTGTATTTGCGCTTTCACCCCAACCTCCTGCCTGTTCCCTGGCTAAACGCCGCCCAGGTGCAGAGACCTCCGAGCAGGCATCGCGGCGCCTGGCGTCCCGGGTGCGGGCGCTCGCTGCAGGGCAGGAAGCCGCCGCCCCAGGGCGGAGGGGCGAGCCCGGCCAGGGGGCCGGGGAGGGGTCGGCAGGGCCTGCGCACTTTCCTTACCCGCGGTTGGGTCCCTTCGGCACGAACCAGGGCCCGGCGATGCCGATGAGGCCCCAGAACGTGGTGAAGATGATGACCGGGAGGGCGAAGGAGTGCGCTGTCATGGCCCGGCGCGGGATGCCCGGGTGCGATGCGGGGCCGTGCTGCAGACACGCAGGTGCGCTGATCCCCGGTCGGGCAGTGGGATCCGAGCATGCGCAACAGGACGCGCGACGCCGATGCGCTCGCCCCGGGCGATCCGCGCACGCGCGTCTCCTGAACGGGCTGCCGCACTGTCTCTCAGGGGCCTGGGAAGGTCCGCCCCCTACCCCAGGCATCAATCTATAGCACATCCACAGGGGCTTTGGGATTAGATCCCTGACTCCTTGAATAAATAGCTGCAGTTTGCTGAAATATGAAATGCAGGCGGGGCGCGCTGGCTCACGCCTGTAATCCTAGCACTCTGGGAGGCCGAGGCCGGTGGATCCTTGAGCTCAGGAGTTCAAGACCAGCCTGAGCAAGAGCGAGACCCTGTCTCTACTAAAAAAATAGAAAGAAATTAGCTGGCCAACTAAAAATATATGGAAAAAATTAGCCAGGCATGGTGGTGCATGCCTGTAGTCCCAGCTACTCGGGAGGCTGAGGCAGGAGGATCGCTTGAGCCCAGGAGTTTGAGGTTGCTGTGAGCTAGGCTGATGCCACGGCACTCTAGCCCAGGCAAGAGAGTGAGACTCTTTTATATATCTATATAAAATGCAGACGGCAATGCTTACAAGGTTGCTGCAGGATTAAGTGAAATAAGCACGTAGAAAGCACCTAGTGTAATAAAGCGGGATAGTTACTTCCATCAGGGCTGGAAGAGACCTCAGAGCCTGGTTTCCTCCTTGGGCTTTAAAAAAAAAAAAAAAAAAAAAAAGTTGGTCTCACTCTGTTGCCCAGGCTGGAGTGCAGTGGCAGGATGACGGCTTTCTGCAGCTTCAACTCCTGGGCTCAAGCGACCCTCCTGCTTCAGCCTCCTGAGTAGCTGGGACTACAGGCATGCACCAACACGCCCACCTAATTTTTAAAAAAAAACTTTTCGTAGAGACGAGGGTTTTGCCAGGTTGCCAATGGCTGGTCTTGAACCCCTGGCTTCAAGTGATCCTCCCACCTCAGCCTCCCAAAATGCTGGGATTACAGGCGTGAGCCCCCGTGCTGGCCCCTTGGGCTTTGATCTCACATTTCCCTTCTTCCGTGGAGATTGATAATTTCTATTTTCTGTAGAGATCCCTTCTTCTGTAGGGATCAGTGGCTCCAAGAGGCACCTCTAGCAGCAGGTGCTGCCCCAAGCAGCCTGCCGCATATATTCCTGGCTTCAGTGGTTTCGTGACTTGGGACTTGGTGCAATCCTCACGTGATGCCAAAGGAAAATGTGCCTGTCCTTGCACCGACCCCTGCCAGCCATGTGTGCTCATAGCCGTTTTCCCAAAGCAGGAACTGGTCATATCAGCCTTTCTCTGCTCTCTAGTTGAGACTTCTTTACCCATCCTTGCAATATTCATGCAAGTTGAAGGAGGGAGATACACAAAGATGTCAGGTATAAAATACCACCCTAGCCTTCTAGGAGTTGTTAAGTTAGGTGAGGAGTGATACATTCTGGTAAAACCATAACGCTGGCCAGACTAGCCTAAGAACCCTGTGATCAGAATAGTCAACACCCATTATGAGAATTGAGAGGATGGAGAAATCAGGGAAAGCTACCTAGAGGAGGTGAGATTTTAGCTGGATTGTAAACGATGGTTAGGATTTCATCGAGTGTGCACTGTTGAGAACAGTGGCTCCGGATAAGGGTGTGCTCAGCATCCATGGGCTACTGTAAAACAGGATGGTCCACACAGTCTTTCAAAAACTCATTACAGTTCATCTCTCTGTAAGCTCAAAAAAGATCTACTCCCAAGATATTGTTAAGAAAAAAACATTCTCTGTATAAAATGACAACTGTATAGTGAAATAGATCTCCTTCTTTGCTGCAGCTTTGGCTAGAACCAAGGCAGTGTTCAGTCTAAACAGCCAACTCATTTTAGGTGCCTGTAGCTTCTACTCTCTTTCCTTTAATGGTCCGATGTTTCGTTTCTGTCCTAATTTGCATTTGATTGCTACTGTCATCTATTTGGCACCTTTGTAATAGTCCGAGGTCCATAAGGGAATCAAAGCCATGAACTGGCTCCTACTCCAACCACTGAAGCCTCATCTGGGCCCACAAGCTCCGGCTGTTCCTTGGACCGTGACCTGATCACGTGGGCGTCTCTGGGCTGGTGCTCCATTTCCAGGGGCAAACTGTTTACATGATGAAACGGCTCCCCAAAATATAGTTCCACAGTACCACATATTTATTTCACTGAACTTTTTTTTTAGCTGAAAGGGATCTTAGAGGCTATGTCAAGTAATCCATTCACTTTACAGGGGATAAAACAGGCCCAGAGAAGTGAAGTGTTAATAACTTGCCTAAGTCCACATGGTTCATCGGTGAAAGAACCAGAACTCAAAGGCTTTCTGCCCAAGGGGACCTCAGACAGCCTGGGAAGACCTCCCTGGGGATGTAGGAGGGGCTGTTCTTTCAGGTGTGCACAGCAAAAGCAGAGACAGTCTCTCCTGGATGCCAAAAAGGTTATTCATGACCCAGAACCAGGAGAAACACTTGCAAACTCACACTGCCCAGAGGCCCTTTACTGCCTGGAGTGTAGCCAGCACTTCCACCCCCCACAGATCTTCATGCCCTCCTGGGAGAGCCACAACACTGCAGAGCCCTTCCATTGTAGTGAATGCCAGAGGCTTTAGCCAGACAGCCACAGAGGAACCCCGGCACCATCCTGACTGTAGCAAAAGGCTCAAAACCCATGGGTGCACAGGTGAGCAGAGGCCATACAGGTGCTGAGCATGGCAAGCACTGCAGTCGGAGGCGGCATCTGAAGAGCCATCAGAGCAGGGGCCCGGCCACATGAGAAGCCCACCAGTGTGGCTGGTGCAGGAAAGGCTTCCAGGATGCAAGGATCATACTGACCCAAGAGAAGACCCACAGACGAGGCCCTCTCTAAGTGTCCTGAGCAATGGGGGCTGAGGCAGCTCGACGGGCCAGCCCACTCAGAAGTGCCTGGTAACTGCACCTTGGATGTCACGAGCACTCTTAGGAAAAAGAAAGGCAGGGGTACAACACCTTCCAGGGCTTCAGCTTACTTCTCTCCTTTTTTTTTTTGAGACAGAGTCTCACTCTGTTGCCCAGGCTAGAGTACCGTGGTGTCAGCCTAGCTCACAGCAACCTCAAACTCCTGGGTTCAAGCGATCCTACTGCCTCAGCTTCCCGAGTAGCTGGGACTACAGGCACATGCCACCATGCCTGGCTAATTTTTTCTATTTTTAGTCGTTTGGCCAATTTCTTTCTATTTTTAGTAGAGACGGGGTCTCGCTCTTGCTCGGGCTGGTCTTGAACTCCTGAGCTCAAGCAATCTTCCCGCCTCGGCCTCCCAGAGTGCTAGGATGAGAGGTGTGACCCCCCGCACCCGGCCTACTTCTCTCCTTTCATCTCCAACCAGAGTGATGGAAGAGGCTACACCAGGAGCTGCCTCCCTGAATGTCTACCCTGCTAGGAAAAAGCAGCACCCAACCTGAGAGTGGAGGCTGCCGGCATCATGTGTCCTGCAGTGAAATCCATCTGCTGCAAGGCAACCCCAGGAAGGGGGTCGAGGAGACTCTGCCTCCACCCCCACTGCAGGTCAGGGGCAGGTCTTTGCTGGATGGAAGCCAGTTCAGGGAGTTCTGATTGTACTGACTTCTGAGTCCTAAACCTAAAGCAATGCTACCTATGCCCCTGATTCAGTGCGCTGTTTCCATGTCTCTTTAAGAAAACACACACTCAAATAAGACTGAGTCTCCTCAACCAAAGAGATCCAGTTGTACTGCGAGTCTCTGCCAATTTGCTGTGGGCCTGTCAGAGCGAGGCTGCCCCAAGGATGTGGAGGCACTGGGCTCACTGACCTGGCTCCAGAAGGGATCCTAAGAGCTGGGCCTTAAGGAGCTCTGTGGAGTGACAGGTGGAAATATATGTTTTTTCCCTGAAAGTCTGGCTTTTTTATCCCCAGTAAACCAAATGAGATAATGTTAAGTGAAGACATTTTTTAAACTGTGAAGTGCTAAATAAAAGTAAGGGCCAGGTGTAGTGGCTCACGCCTGTAATCCCAGCACTTTGGCAGGCCGAGGCAGGAGGATTGCTTGAGGCCAGGAGTTTGAGACCAGCCTGGGCAACATAGAGAGACCCCTGTCTCTACAGAAAATTCTAAAAATTAGCTGAGCGTGGTGGCACGTACCTATAGTCCCAGCTATTCAGGAGGCTGAGGCAGGAGGATTGCTTGAGCCCAGGAGTTCGAGGTTGCAGAAAGCCGTCATCCTGCCACTGCACTCCAGCCTGGGCAACAGAGCAAGACCCTGTTTCAAAAAAACAAAAAAAAGGAAGGCAGCCAAGTAGTTAATTACAATTCTCACCAAACGCTCTTACCTTCTCCTAACTCTCACTGGCAAAACAAATTTAGCTCACTTTTAAGGATCACAGAGGAAAGACACCAAAAGACAGAAACAAAGGTGAAACACGCATACTTCCTCTGCCCATCCCTGTTCTTGGCCTTATCTCCTCTTGAAAAAGGGGAGATCTAGTTAGCTTTGATCAGCTCCAATCTCCTGGGTCTTGCTTAGGGATATACAGGACAGACACATTTGTTGAAATAAACTCAGCTTTATTCAGATAGCAAAAGGTTGGAATCAAACATGGTTTTTTAAACCTCGTTTGTATATCTTCAAAACCAGAGGAGGAAGGATGTCCCTGGGCCAGTCACCCTTAGTGTTCTTGGCTAAGCAGACACCTACATGAGGGAACTGGCCCCCACCACATTGTCCTGATCAGTACTTAGCACCCTAGGAAGTCCCCCTTTGCAGAAGAAAGAAGCAAAGGTCTGGAGCGTGGTCACGTTCTCTAGGGTACCTGGCCAGGACAGGCGGCTGAGATCCCGCACTCCCACCCAGAGTCTCTATGGCTATTGGAATCAAACTATCAGTTATATGCTGGTTACTTGGAATGTCAGACCCAGTGGGCATCAGTCATCGGAGAAAGGGCGGGAGCGATGCCAGGACATGCACATGGAGATGCCAGCAAGACTACAGGCGCAGGGCAGGGGGCACAATAGCCAGGACTCTGGCCAGGGGAGGGCGCTTGCTCCTTCTACTCCCAGTGCCTTGCGACTTGTCTTCTTGTGGGGCAAAAACAGGAAACCTCCCCAGCAAGGGTTTAAAACACAGCCAGCCTCTGTCTAAACAAAGCAGAGGCCAGCCTGGGCAGCGGGGCTCTGGTAAAGGCGCTCACCATGTTTCCACCCTGGGGTCCTGAACAAAAACGTCAGTTGTCTTCCTTCTTTGCCTTTAGCGGACAAAGGGGAACTGGAGCAGGCCCATGCCCCTCAAGAAACTGGGTAGTGCAAATACCTATAATAAATAGCATTTTCAGTCACCCTGCTCCAAGGGGACCCACTTTTCCACAACCTGAGGAAGGCATGGGGTGGGTCCTCAGAGCGCACTGACGTGGAGACAGGAGGGCACGTCCCTGGCTCCTACCTCAGCTCCAGAACTGCTCCTACAGGGAGCGACAGGGTCGCCCACAGCACTGGCCTCCTGCTCCAAGGGGTTCTCGAAGGACGAAGAGGCCACACCAAGGGAAGGGTGCTTGCTGGAACATCACCTCAATTTGGAATCCCTCTGCGAGGAGGAGGCTATAGGCCCCCTTTAAAAGGCCTTTCTCTATCCCATTCCACCCATCCACGCCCCCGGCACCTGACCTGGGGCAAATTCCCGAGTTTGAGGCCATGCAGACAGTAACACCTCCCAGAGCTCCAGCTCCACAGGAAGTGGTGCCCTTGCGACCCCCAGACCCTTTAGGCTGGGGGACATTTCCACCCTTGAAAGGCAGGGAGTGAGAAAGGAATTCCTGACTAGAGCTGAGAAAAACAGGCGGGCAATGGCGCTAAGGCTAAGTACGAAGGGTGGGGGGATGGGAAGGGGATGTCGGGAACCAGGGCATCTGCAATAATGGGGATGTGCTTGGATGCCAGCGTCCCAGGGGCTTCCAGCACCTTCTGGGAATGGGAAGGGGAAGACTGCTGGTTAAGGGGCCTGATCACACGGGCTTGCAGCGCAGGGCAGGGACCCGCCTGGAGACCAGCAGCCAGGTAGGTTGGGATGCCTCCTTGCTGCCTATTTAAAACAAGCGTGAGGCAGGGGCAGAGAAGCCCTTCCTGCTCATATAACTCATTTCCCACCCGTGGTTAAGGGTGGAGGAACCTAGACACAATCGTCCCCATCCCAGGAAGCAGCTTCTGAGCGACCCCTGGAAGGAAAAGTGCTTCACTTTAGGCTGAACAGGAAGAGGGGGTGACAGGGACTGGGAACGCAGTAGTTCCAGACGCCCTTCAGTGCCTAGGGCACTGGTTCTTAGGCTAGAGTGTGCCCACGGCTCCTGGGGGAGCTTGTTGGAAACCCCCAGTCACTGAGCCTGGTGCCGGGATCTGATTCCGCACACCTGCGTGGAGCACTAACGATTCCAATGCAGAGGCCCCGGCGCCACCTGGAGAAGAGTGGACTAGACTGTCACGCACATGGTACATCTGGAGAGCGCCTCTTACCACAATAAGGGCTTTGGAGGCAAATTCGTACCTGTCCCACTAAGGAGGAGGACAGGGGCTGAAGGCAGCTAAGTCCACACTGTGCAGGCCGGAGGTCTTTCTTTCAAAGAGCTCGAGGCTCTCTCATTCACTAATCCTATGGCAGACGGGGAGTCAGCAGGCACTTGGATTCTCTGCTGCCACTCCATGGAGAGGGAAACTGAGGCACAGAAAAGAGGAAGGGATTAATCACAGTCAACCCACTGCCTGCTGCAGAACTGGGGCTGCAACCCGAGCCTCCCAACTCCAACGTGGGCCCGTCCACTCCTGAGGATCACGGGTCGGACCGTGCTCCAGCGCGGGAAGCACCTGGCTCCACACGGAGGGCACTGGCTGCCCCGTCCAGGAGCTGGGGGAACTGAAGCTCTCCCGAGTGCTCTAGCAAAGGCTTTGTGTTTGTTTTGTCCTAAAGGAAGCCCTGGGAGGAGATGGAGGAATTCTCTGATGCAAGATCCCCACCTGGGCTACAGGAGCCAGGGTGAGAGGCCCCAGAACAAGACTCCTAGGAGCTCTTGCAGCCAGGCCAGCTGTCCCTAGAACGGGGCTGCCCTCTACCCCTAACAAAGTGGCCTTTCCCCCTTGCCACTAAGGCTGTGGGCAGCCTCCCTGGAATGCTCCCCAGGGCTGTCCAGAGGGCTGGGTGCCGCTTTAAGCCCCTACCTCAACAGTCTCTCCCACTTCAGAAAAGTCCTCTCGCCACCAGAACGGGGGTGAAATCTTTCATGATGGGATTATTTCCTGGAGCACCTTAAAAATGAACTTGAGATAAGAACCTTTTAGCACATTTACGTGCTGTGAGGCATTGCTGTGCTTGGAGGGGCCTTGGGAAATGGGCTGTGCTCCTCCCTTGCCTCTCTGGGATGTGACCTCGGACTACCTTGTCACTGCCCACTTTTGGTGCTTAGAGAGCGTCCCCATGAAAGGAAGACTCTAGGGCAGCCTAGCATCTGCAGACGGCTGGCCCCATGACCACAGGGGCATCTCCAAGGCAAGGATCCCTCTCCCTCAGGACATGCCGGCGGCCCCCCGGCTGGTGCTGGGCTGCAGGAGTCTCCCGGAAGGCTCTGGGATGCAGTCCTTCCAAACCTCCACCGCCTCCCTGGAGGGTAGCATGGGTGGCTCCTGGGTCCCAGACCCCTCCACACAGGGGGCGCCCAGCTCCTCCTTCCTGAGCCCCGCACCTGTGAGGGAGGAAGGAGAATGGCAATTAGACCGAGCACACGATGGCCCCTTCCGTGATGGCCCTTTCCACGTCCAGCTTCGCCCCAAGGGCTGCTCAGTGAAGACAACGTGGCAGAACAGACTGAAGATGGGCTGGGATTGCTCTTCAAGCCCCTACGTGCTCCTACTCTGCTGTTCTTTTACCCTAGGACAGCAGATCTCAACCGGGGAGATTTTGCTCCCCTCCAGGAGCCATATGTCTGCCCTGGGGGCCATGTCTGGAGATGTTTTTGATTGTCACAAAGGGGGAGGGACTACTGGCATCCAGCAGGTGTCTAATGGGTAGAGGCCAGGGATGCTGCTAAAGTTCCTACGATGCCCGGGAGGACCCTGACCAAGAAATACCCAGCCCCGGGATCAACAGTGTCAAGGCTGAGAGCCCCTGCCTGGGAAGGGGGGCGTTATCATATAAAGTGTTTGTAGAAGTCCCACTGTCCCTATGGAGAGAACACCCTGCACGAGGGCGTGGCTGCCGTCATCTTCCTCTTCCTACAGGGCTGGACGCCGGGAACAACGCACTTAACAAGGGCACAGGTGATAGAGTCATCGCACCCTCCCTCTTGGCGCTCCCTGTCTCTTTTCCTCACCCCACCAGCCTAACTGTGGCTGCAGCGCCACGCTGCTTCCTACGAAGCCTCTGTCAGCCCTGAGACCCAGCCCCACTGCTGACGACTGCAGGACTGGAGGAAAGAAATGGGCGTGGAAGCAGCAGGAAGGAGACCAGCCAGAAGAAGACGCCAAAGAGAGAAACCACTGCTCTGCCCCTGTCAAGTGAACAAGGATGGCCCGGAGAACCCCAGTGCCTCGTGTGTTTTCTTTGGTTTTCAGTGACTACTCAAAGAGAGAAAATTTGTTTCTGGCTTTCAGCAACTTGCCCTCCCTTCTGATATAACTTCAACTCAAGTGAGTCCCTGACCCAAGCCCTCCCACCCAGCCAGGCTGTTTCTGCTCTGCCCTGCTCTGCGACTCCGGCCTGAACGCCCGGCCCTCCTGCACGGCTACCTCCTCCACAGCCACGCTGACCCGGGCTGACCTCTTTTCTCTGGAAAATTCCTGCATGGCCCAGAGTCCACACTGCCCCACTTAGAACATGATGACGCTGCCCCAGCCTGGCCAGCCTCCTAGTTATTGCCAGTGGTGGTCTTAGTGTTTAACTAATGCCATTTGCTATACTTGCCAGATATCGTTCCGAGTGCGTTAGGTATATTCACTCACTGACAGATGAAAAACCAAAGCACAGAGACTGACTTGCCCAAGGCCACGCTGTGAGTTAGGGGCAGAGCCAGCGTTGAACCTGGGCAGACAAGCTCCAGAAGTCTGCACTCTCCGTAGTATGCCCTACTGCCTGGAGTGTGTGTGTCTTTTCTCTCTAGCTGGGTCACAGGCTCCTGGAGGGCAGGTATCGAGGTCGCACTGGCTGAACAAACGGCTGGGCACACTACAGGACCTCCACAAGCACTGCAGACCAAGCCTATCTTGCTGGCTGACTTGATGAGATCTCTGGCTCAGCACGGGACTGGGAAGACAAGATTGTCTTGCTTTGTTTTCCCACATCCAGGAACTCTGCCATGTGTACTTACTCTCATGGGAGCGGGCTGGCACCTGGGCACAGGCGTAGACGTGGCTGAAACGTCGGCCTGAGGAGGTCAGGTACCAGTGCTGGATGGCGGGCTGGGGGTCGTACTCTGTGACTGCCACGCCATTCACAGCTGTCATCATGAGCATGTTGAGCACCTCATTGGAGAGCTTGGTCCTCTCATCGGTCCTGATGCGGTTCATGGCCTTAAACCCCCGCTCGCAGCAGGACGTGGAGATGGGCACACAGACTACCACGGCCATGAGCTTGCTCAACAAGGGGAAGCGGTAGTGCTGGGCCAAGGCATTTTTACACAGCATGGAGAACGGCAGGTTCTGGGCATTGGTTTTCAGGCCCAGCCACTCCTCCAGCAGAGCTTCTTCACTGTATCCTCCAGGGAGAGCGAGCTCGAAATACCTGGCAAGGGTGAGAATATCATCATTCCCAAAAGTGGCAAGTTCAAGCCCACTTGGCCAGGCCATGGTGTCAAACACCTCCATGTTCTTGAGCTGTGGGGGACGGTCTGCGTCAAACCTCTGCTGGAGGTACTCAATCCCGGTCAGGACTGTTCTCTCCCTGTCTGCCTGGAACCGCTGTTCTGCCAGCTCCAGTCTGTCCAAGGAGATGCCATGGAGCTGCCCATCCTTGAAGCTGGCATTGAACTCTTCCTCTTTGGGCCCTGCCTGGTGACACAGGGTCTTCAGTGCTACGTAGGCTCGGCCCAGCGTGGCATTCACCTCTGTAACCAGCACGATCTCCTTCTGGCACACCTCAGACAAGGGCCTGTAGATGCTCAGGAAGTCTAAAAGGAAGTGGCAGAACTTGATGAAGTGGAAGGCCTTCATCAGCTTCAGCAGGCCCTTGGCCCTGTGCCCAACCTGGCCCCCAGCCTCTGCCACGCTCTGGAGGTGCCGAGTGAGGGCCGGCCAGCTCACGAGGAGTGCGTTTAGTGTGCGCCTCTTACTGGCCACCCACCTGACAGCGTTCAAGTCCTTCAGGCGGGTGATTTCCTGCTCCAGTGGAGCTGCACCTTCCTGCAGCTCGTTCAGCCTCTTGTTTGAGGATTGATAAAACTTGAAGACGGTACGGATGTGCCGGTCGCACTTCCTCACCAGATCGATGTTTCCACATGCGTCCACCACGGCCAGGTGCAGCCGGTGGGCCACACAGTGGACCGGCAGCAGCTGGGGGATAACCTCCTGGAACTTGTCCACAAGGCCTCCTCTGCAGCTCAGCATGGCTGAGCCATCTGTTCCCAGGCCCACCACCCAGCCAGGCTTCCGGAAAGGGATGTCTAGCTCATCCAGGGCAGAAACAATGGTCTCAAAGTACCCGTCCGCTGTCTCGCTGTAGAGTGGGGCCAGGGTGATGTATGACTCCTTCACCTCCAACTGCTTCAAGTAGCGGACATAAATCCCCACGCAGGCTTGGTCAGAGGCGTCAGTGGAGCTGTCCAACAAGACGCTCACACAGGGGGAGTTCCGGACATCGTCAAGGATCTGCTTCTTCAGAGTCTCGGAGATGTACTTGATGAACTGAGTGCATGCGGTGCGGTTTCGGTACTTGCCTAAAATCACGGTCCCAGTGCTTTGGAGGAGCTGCAGGATTTTCTCAAAGTCATTCAGGGGCCTTGAGTGGTAAGCGATGGAATAGGCGGCATTGAAAAAGTGCTCCATGTTCGCCATGAGGTCGCTGGAGATCTCTGGGACCAGGGCGGTCTGGGGATTGTCTTCTTTGATTTCAACAGTGTTGACACAGAGCCTGTGTGCTTTGCTGACTTCATGGTATTTTAAAGTCTCCACTTTAAAAGGCCCAGTGTAACCTCTGACTAAACGAGATGATTTGTCATGGAGATTAGGTCTTTCTTTGCAAGCTGAGCAGAAGAGCTTCGTCTCTTTTGGGTCAATTACTAACCATGGGAACTGCCCAAACCACGACCTCTGAATCGAACGGGGTCTGTAAGTCCTCTTGATTTTCCTAGGCCCGTCTACTTCTACTTCACAGATGCTGGAGCCGCAGTAGGAGGTACACATCTCCAAAGAAGGAGCTGGAAGCAGTGCAGAGTCTACAGCCGAGGCCTGTGTGTCTACCTCTCCAACAGCCACCATCTTCTTTTTCCCTTTGGAGAAAATGAAATTGTGCTTGGTTCCGCTGCCCAGAACTCTGCAGTCTTCTCTCAGCTAAGATAACCCCAAATTCATTAAGTACCCCTTACGCAAAGCAAAGATGACTAGGATCCACCTTTCCAGAGATCATTAGTGGCTCCTATTTAAATCCCTCCCCATTATCAGTGAAAGTCAGGCTGGCTCCCCAGCAGTTGCTACTAATTCTTACGGGTTTCTTCTCCCACTCTCTGTCCCCACTGCTACCCTGGGATCATGTGACACCAGATACACAACAGGTATGGGATGAGCACAGCTGAAGTAATGTTGTATGAGTTGCCATAGCTACCGGGGGCCCTGCACGTGCCCTCAGAACTCAGTAGGCCTAGACTCACCTGGAGGACCACCCTTCCCCCACTTTGGCCCGTTCGGGTCCTTGATCCAGGGCGCAGCTCTCCGTTCCAGTTTGGAGATCAAGTCTGGTTTGGCAGCCGCAGGCCCTGTTGCAGGAATGAAGAGTCTTGCTGATATCACTGCTATACACCATCAAGTCAAGTAGCCCGCCTCAGACTAGACCTGGCCCCTGAAATATACAGGGATGCCTCTGGGTTCTGTCCTTGATCAAGGCTAGTCAGCCAGGGGCAGGCCGAGAGCACACATGAGCAGAGTGCCAAAGAGGAGGCCAGGAGAAGGTGAGCCCCTCAGCCAGGATGGACAGCTTCCTCAGCTCGGGGGCCAGCCATGGGGGCCGCAAGCTTGCAAGATGCATCCAGGGGTAGGGAAGGGCGGAAATAGGAAGAAGCACGGGGGATAAAACATAAGGAGAGAGAAGGCAGGGATGAAAAAGACAGCCACATGGGAAGCGGAACGTGCCACCCACAGCTGGCCCCCTGCACACACCCACAGCAGGCAGCCAACCACACGGGTTACCTGACGGGGCACTTGCAACGCCTCTTGAAAGTATCTACCACCTGCCATGGAACCTGAACTCCAATGAAAACACAGACTTGTGTCTTTGGATATCGTCCAGGGGTATGCGAAGAAATTGCTTCCTTTATTTAAGATACAACCCACTACTATCTACTTACATGCTTTGTATGTGTCTATGTGAATGTGTGTGTAAACTTTCTTTGGAAGGACACGCAAGCAACCTGTCAGTGCCTCTGGGAAGGAAGTGAAGGACAAAGTCAAAGGGAGATCATTTTTCACCACTCATCTTTTGGATCCCTTGAACATATTTATATTGACTATACACATATGTATATGTGTGTATCTGTATACTTGTTACTAATAAAAATATAAATAAGTAAATTGCTCAAGTGTGGTAGATTGAACATATATCCTTCTTAAAACATCTCTAAAATGAGAGCAAAGGAATAATAATAATAAAAAGAAGCACGAGCACAACAGAAACATTGGACTAGAAATGCTAATACGTTTTTGGAAGAAGGAAGGAGGTAAAAGAGAAGAACTAACAGAGCTGAACACCAAATGCCTGTCGGGGGAACATGGAGAAGCAAGATGGTTTGTACCACAGAATCCCAGAAAGATTCAGAAACGGCGGTAGCAGCTGTGGGAGCCTGTGGTAGGTGAGGAATCGGGGGGAGCAGGGAGCTCAGAGTCTGCACGAAGACCTGCTGGAGCCCAGCTCCTCTTGCCTATTCCAGGAAACCAGGAAACACCACCACCTCACCCGGGAGGAGAACAGAGACTGAGGCTACAAAAACACTAACCAGGAAGGCTGCAGAGCCCGCATGCTGGGTATAGTGGAAGGTGAAGGAGAGTGTGGCACCTACGGACTGAGGGGTGCAGCACTCAGTTCCAAGCATGCTGGCTGGGCTTGTTATACCCTCCAAGCAGGAGACGGGGAGAGTATTCTTTGGGGCAATGGAGTTGCCCCTCCCTCTCCCCTCAGAGACCTGTGGATACTGACTTTTGCAGGTTCCTCAGTGAGACAACAGATTTGCTGCTGATCACCCAAAAATGAAACTGATGCCTTGGTGTGTCCCAGACATGCACAAAGCTTCCAATTGTTTTTTTAAGGCTTTAATGTTACAGAGGAATGAACCTAGAGAGAATTATTTAAGAAAAGCCTCTAGCATGAAACAGGAGACCAAAATAAGTGGGAAAGAGGATTAGAGGAACTAGAATATTGCAGGGAGCGAAACAAAACTTCAAAACAATGAGAATTAATATTACCAGAGAGAAAAATCATGACAGCCACCCAAGAAAAGAGCAATAAGAGTGCTAAGAAACTTAAAAAACCCAGTAGAATGAAAAATAAATAAACAGCATTGTTGCAAAATAAAATTGAGGAAATCTCCAAGAAAGTAGTACACGATACTACTTGTGTAGAAGATAGAAGCAGAAAATAAGAGAGAAAGAAAGAAGCAAACAAACACACAGAAAACTAGGGGCTCAATCCAGGAAGTCCAATATCTAACTAATAGGAATTTATGGAAGAAAGAAAAGAGAAAATACATAGGAAGAGACCATAGAAGAAATAATACAAGAACATTTCCCCAAACTGAAAAATACGAGTTTCCACATGGAAGGGAAGCACCAGATATCCAGAACAAAAGATTAAAAAACGCCCACATCAAGGGATATCATTAAAAATTTGAGAACACTGGAATCAATTTTAAAAGCTTTTGGAGTGGCTTCCCTGAGCAAGAGTGAGACCCTATCTCTACAAAAAATAGAAAAATTAGTCAGGTGTGGTGGCATGCGCCTCTAGTCCCAGGTACTTAGGAGGCTGAGGCAGGAGGATCACTTGAGCCCAGGAGTTTGAGGCTGAAGTGAGCTTTGATGACACCACTGCACTCTAGCCAGGGCAACAGAGTGAGACCCTGTCTCAAAATAAAACAAAACAAAAAACAAAAACAAAAAAAAAACGCTTTTGTAGTGGGAAAAAAAGTCATGTTCAAAGATTCAGGCATTAAAAGGCATTAGACTTCTCAATGGCACCAGAAAACCTAAAAAAGCAATGCTTTCGAAATGCTGAGGAAAATTATTTCCAACCTAGAATTCTATCCGACCAAGTTATCAATCGTGAGGTTATGTTTTCAGATATACAGAGTCTAAAAAAGAGTCCCCCCCTGCACCCTCTTAGGAAACTATTAAAAGATGTGCTCCAACAAAATGAAGATATAAAGCATGAAAGAAGAAGAGACCGACCCAGGAAATGGGGGCAAGACTAAAGCCACAGGTGTGCAGCCAGCCTAAAGAGAGACCCGGTTACACAGAGCAGAGGAAGGGAAGGCCCAGCGAGGGATGTCTTCAGGAAAAGAATGAAACTGAGCGATCACAGGATATTTGGCCATGTGTAAAAGACTCCTCAGGGGAGTTTTATAATTCCTCTGCAGAGTTTGGAAAGAACTGGTGAGAGTATAGAAAATTAGCAAAAGAAAAAAGAAAAAATTCCAATTCCAGGGAAAAGAAGCCCTGCAATGAAGGAAACATCATCATAATATACTTGCTTAGCAGTAAATAATGCACAATCATAACTAGGCAAATAATTTACATTGATTTAACCAAGAAAGTGTGATATACCTGCTCTGAGAGGATGGAGGGAAGAGAAGGGGCCCAGGTGATGTAAGAGGGCCAAATCTCCATCTTCCACAGTGGGAATCAATAGATAGTATCTAAAATCAATAAATCAGGAATAGCAATAAACATATGCAACGGGATATTAAAGTGTGATTCCGTCTGCCTGTTTTAGCACAAAAAAGTAGGAGCCAACCATCTCACATTCCAAAGCTAGACCACCAAAGCGCAACTTGGAACGAGGACGGCTGAAAAACTGCTGCCATGAGCCCAGCCCTCACCCACTGAGAGGAAGTCAAAGCTGAAACGGAAGAGGTCATGAAGTTGGGTATCAGGGATGTTTCTGGAAAGAGCTGCCAAGTGTATTGTGAGTCCCTCTCCGCAACCAGGGGAGGGTAGGATGCTCTCTTTCCCTAACCTGACCTATCCCTAGAGCTGAATCCAGGCCTGGAAAAGACTAAACGTGGCAGACGCTGACTGATGGCACCTGAGAAGCCGTGCTGGGCATGGCCTGCGTTCCCAGGGTTTGTCAGGGCAAAGATCTGTGAGTGCTTTCCCTGGTCCAGACAGGGCCGTGCAGGGAAGGAGAAGAGGCCTGGAGTCATCTTAAAGGGACTGTGCCCAGGACCGCCATCTATTGGTGTGATGCTCCCATGAGGGAGCCTGTATAGGACAGACTGCCAGAGAAGACATTTACCCAAGTCAAGGCAACTGCAAGTGAGAGGTCCTGGTGGCCGAGGGGTCTGCAGAACCCACAAACACACCCGCAGAGTCAGTGTTAAACTATCACGGTTCCAGGTAGCTGGTATCAGATCACATGCCAGGCAAAACCTCTCTTGCACCTCTCTACGCACCTACCCACCACGCTGCTCCCACCCAGGATGTGTCAGAAAGGCTGACGATGAGAGGTGGCCCCTGTCATCACGTTCAGTTGCATGGCAAAGGGACCTCAGCCAGTGGACCTGACCTATTCACAGGAGCCCTTTAGAAGTGGAGAGTGTTGTCAGGCTGGCAGCGGACTGCGAGGTCAGAGCTTCAAAGCACAAGATGATTCCACACTGCTGCTGCCTGAGGGTGGAGGAGACGCCGCGGAAATGACCTGAGAGCAGCTTCTAGGGGCCGAGCCGCTCCCTGGTTGACAGCCAGCAGGAAACAGGGACCTCGGCTCTACAACCACAAGGAACTGGATTCCGCCAACAACGGCAAAAGCCACTGATTATTTCTAGACATAAGAATAAAAAAGCTACCACAGGAAAAACATAGAGGATTCCTATAACACCCAGTACAACGCGATCATAGTGTTTCAAGATAAAACACAAAAAAACATTGAGAAATAGTTGAAAGATTTTTGAAAAGGGCTTTTCTTGACCACAAAAATTATGACTGAGGTTTTCTTTTTCAAAAATTGAGCTCACTTGGCCAGGCGCGGTTGCTCACGCCTGTAATCCTAGCACTCTGGGAGGCTGAGGCGGGCGGATTGTTTGAGCTCAAGGAGTTCGAGACCAGCCTGGGCAAGAGCGAGACCCCATCTCTACCAAAAATAGAAAGAAATTAATTGGACAGCTAAAAATATATAGAAAAAATTAGCCGGGCATGGTGGCACATGTCTGTAGTCCCAGCTACTTGGGAGGCTGAGGCAGTAGGATTGCTTGAGCCCAGGAGTTTGAGGTTGCTGTGAGCTAGGCTAACGCCACGGCACTCACTCTAGCCAGGGCAACAAAGTGAGACTCTGTCTCAAAAAATAAATAAATAAATAAATAAATAAATAAATAGAGCTCACTCGAAGGAGAAGTTCTACTTGTAAAATATAATTAAAAGATAATGCAAAATATTTAGTTTTCAACTCTTAAAGCATTTGTCAAGCGGGAGGGGAGTGTGGGAGATAAAATAAAAAACCAGCCAAAGTAAAAATCATAACTGGAGATTCTCCACTGTGTTTCAACGCTATTTTATACTCCAATTATTGGCTTGATGCCTTTTAAAAGGTCACTTTTAAGCATACAGATCATTTATGCTGGGCCATGGTTACAGTCTCCAGGCTCTTTAAAATGCTTTTGTATCTCAAACATGAAAAATTGTTTAAATTGGGGGACAGTTAAAGGATAGTCACTAAAAGGAATCACACACACATAATTCATTTTCTAGACTCCTGTACCCGTTTTAAACACCTGGTCAACTGAAGAGGCCACGCCCACCCCCTATAAAGCCTTCCTGATTCCTGCCTCTGACCGGCAAGCAAAATTAGTCCCCCTCCTCTGATTATATTTTTTATGCATTCAAATAAGACTTAACCAAGACTGAACTGTACCTAGTTAGCTAAGACTTCCCTACTTCCTTACTTATTTAAATTAAAAAGAAAAATGACAAAATGCTTAGATTATGCTCTGCCAAAACACGAAACCCGAGGGAACAAGCACACTGCAGGAGAAGCACGAGGTCAACACTGACTGCAGCTACTTTCTCAGCTGTCTGCGGGGCTCCAGAGCGCATGTGTCGCTACTGCTGGTTACTTTAAAGGAAAACCCAACATTTTCTAAGTAGGTGTGCATTTTTTACAAATGAATTTTCCCCTCATTCTCGCTGCTTTTCAGCACAGTAGGAACAGTGATGCTCTTTGAAGGGACACTCTGGACCTAGGGCATGATTACAAAACCTCTGGCGCTACAAAATAATTAAGTCATTTCTGAATGTTTGGGGAGGTGTTTAAAAATTATGAACAATGATGAAAACGCCTATATAGGTCAAGAATGTTTAGAAGATAATCCAGATCTTAGCTGCACCCAAAAGGGCAGTGTAAAGATGGGGATATGACATCAATTAAATCATAAATATTCTTACTTCTTGTTCTGCAGAAGTTATGACACAGGTTGCTCCTGGAACTCCTAAGTTACGTGCAGCAGCCTGTTCTGCAAGGTTTCTGTTATAATGTATGTTAGTGAAGAAATAAATAAAAGCTTTATAAGATGAAAAGTTGTCTTTCCAGCTTAATGCTATTAATACATAAGAACTTTGGGTATTTTCCAGGAAGAGGCAAAGGCAAGAAAAAGAAACAGACGCAGGAGATGAGAACACTATCTGAAACAGTAGTAACCACTACTGCCCTCATGGTCCTCCTAAGTCCAAACCCAGTGACCCCTACATTGATGGCTGCCACCCCTTGCAGGCACCTGGGCAGGATGAAGGCCCCTTAGCCCTGAGCAGCACAGACAGAAGGGCGGATCCACTCGGAGCCCTTTAGCCTCCACAGCTGTGTTCACATTGTCCCCTGTCTCTGCCATGTCTTGATGCCCTTCCTCCTCTGGTTTCAAACTCAGTTAAAGTCTTTCCTATGCTAGAAAGCCTTTCTGCTCCCTCCTGCCATACCCTCCTCTTCGGTACCCCCAGCGTACTCTTCCAGAAGCTCTGTTATGGGAGACTGCATTATTTCATAGCTTCTTATTAAAATGTCTGCCTCTCCCACAAATCTGCTAGCCCCCTGAAAGCAGAGACCTTGGCTCATTTGTGTTTAGCTGGTACAGAGTAGGTACTCAATAAATATTTGGTGGAGGATGGACGGATGTATGGACAAGTGGATGGATGAAGAGGTGATACAAGAACCTGAAGCAGGGAGGGTTCTGAGGGACAGAAGATACCACCTTCCCTGCCTGTGTACAGGGAGAGGGCAGCAGCGGGACGACGACCACCAGCCACAGCTGCCCTGTGGGTTTCCCAAGTCAAATGATGATGGCGAATAAAAGTCTCCAGGAGTCTTTACCCAGGGATGCCAAGAGCTCGTAATTCAGGCGCATCACGTCTCTGTACAGCTCCTTCTGCCGCTTGTCTAGCATGCCCCACTCCTCCCGGGTGAAATACACCGCCACATCCTCAAATACCGCCGGCAGCTCCTCTAACACCACAGGGACCTCCTCCAACAGCCCCTCTTCAGAAAGGTCCTGCAACAAAGAGCAGCAGTCACTTGGCACGCCTCAGTCTGATGCCTGCGTGACACTTCCAGGGGTCTTCTTAAGACCTACTCCTCCTGGGAAGCTCACCAAGCAGCCCAGACGCGCTCTGAGGAATTAGTTTATCCAATGAATGTCACAGAATCAAATTCATGAGGCTGAGAATTAGTAGGCAAAAACCAAATGAGCCTCAGTCGGAGCCTAAGATCTCCCAGGAGGAAATAAAAACCTATGGAAAAAACAGGCATCTCAGTAGAGCCTGTGACTGCACCTTGTCTTTAGAGTCCTAAGAGCAGTGCCTTCTGCTCATCCATGACCACACAGGTGACCGTCTGCCTCCAGGAGCACCTGCTAAGATTTCCCAGTGGGATGGGAAGGAAGAAGTGGTCAAAAAGAACTAAAAATGCTTATAGTCAGTGAATAGGTTTACACATGCCTCACTGCTAAAGGAATTCCAATTATAAAAGGTTAGACCTATTTATTACTTTCTAATACTAAAAAATATCAGGAACATGAACATGAAGAGAAATGAGCTTCACTGTTTTCCTGCATTCTGGAAAAACTTAAGCTTACTAACTTGAGCCAGATTCCTTACGACGTTAGCTATGAGGAACATCTGAGCCATCCCCACCGGACCCCTGGAGGGGGTATTAAAAATGACTTACAGTAAAATCCCACTTGTATGCCATAGGTAAGAAATGGGGAGGGTTCTAGTTACTCACAAATTCCAATTAAAGTTTCCTCAGAGGCCAACTTTCCAATGAATTTGATAATTACAAAATAAACCTAAGGTGAGCACAAGAGTCACCCAGGTCTGGCAGTGCTATGGGCAGTGGAGGGACAGCACCGGGCTGGCAGTCAAGGGCGCTGGCAGAGTCCAGCATTTACCACAACAGCTCTTGGACACTGGACATGTCACTTCCTCAGGTCTCAGTTTTCTCCCAACACGATGAGTTTAATAACACTTGCTCTCTCAGCCTCACGGCAACGTGAGAAACATTACATTGAACAACGTGTGTGAGAAAAAACTTGCAATGTTTAAAAGTCCTACATGATTCCAAAGTTAAAGCTGAAATTTTACAAATACTGATTAAGAGTTCTGTCATTGTTTTGTGGCTGTAGATTATTTCTTAGAGTTCTGTAGATTATTTCTCAGAGTTCTGTGTTTGTTTTGGATTCTGAATGAAGATTATTGTTCCCGTTATATCAGAAGTTAGAATGCTTTGTTGCAGTAATTATGTTTTGTTATTTGCAAAAAGGAGATAATAATAATAGAGTTGTCTGAATTAAATGAGATAATACATGTAAAGCACTTAAAACAATGCCTAGTACATTATAAGCATATTAGCTTATGATAACATTATAATGATAACAGTGAGTATTGCTATTGTTCTTCTTTTCCAGCATTGTTATGCAATGTTATTCTCAGTACATAATCCTTCTCTGTAAGATACAGCAATCACAAATGTATTACCTTACTGCAGGATTCAACAGCATCATTACATAAAACATTAATGTTTGAAGAGTTGTTGATGTCATCAGTGATTTCTTTTTGCCTCAAATTTGAAACGCAGTCTAGATACAAGGCAGGAATTTTTCCATTCCCCCCAGGGTCCTCTAGTTCACCTCTTGAGGTTGGCAGGAGCTCAGCCATGCTACCAAAATCTCCCAGAGGCCCTGGGGTGTAGAACATGGGATAATCTGCAGTGAAGAGGTGCTCTGGGCTGGCCAGTCCATCTCCAGGTGGGTCTCTGATGCTCTGGAAACGGGCTGCCCAAACAGGGTCCTTTGCTGCCAAGGCACTGACACAGAACAGGTGCGCTTTACTCTTGGCATGGTATTTGAGAGTCTCCACCTTGAATGGTCCTGTATAACCTTCTATTAATCTTGACCGTTTGTCCCTGACAGATGGGTATTCCCGGCAAGCAAAGCAAAACAGAGCCGTCTGTTCCTCGTTCATGATCAACCATGGAAACTGCGCAAACCACGACTTCTGGATAGACCGGGGCTTTAGGAGTTTCTTGCTTCTTCCTGTCCAGTCTCCCTCGATGTTGCCACTGTCCGTACTGAAGTGGGAAAGGCAGGCTTTCTTCTGAGGCGGGAGGTATCGTCTACTCTCCCTGGCAGGAACTTGCACATCCATTTCTTCCAAGTAGCCCATCTGGTTTTTTCCTTTAGAGAAAAGAGACAAATGGAATTTGCTTTAAAATCCTATGGTTAGAGCCACCGCAACTCATGGGGCTGTCAGATATTTCACACATGGAAGGTGAGAAGTGCACACTCTGACAAAAGCGACACGGCCTCCACTTGAATTCTCGGATTCCAGTCCCTCCAACTCCACAGGCCGTGCCTCACCTAATCCAGAAGAAAGTCAAAGGGATGGGCTTTAAGCAAATCCTCCTTTTTTTTTTTTTTTTTTATTCAAAGAACAGATACACATGGCCAGAAGAAGATTTTTGCAATTTCATCTACGAAAATGTGAGATAGCAGCACCATCTTCAGGGGCCAAAACTTAGTTATGGATAAGAACATTGACGTAATAGAACACAGCGTTAAAAAAGGTCATTTAAGTCGCACAACACAACTCCTTGCTCAGCAGGAATCCCCTTCAGTAGTAGGCCTGACACAAAGGCATCTGCATTTTGAGAACTACCTAACGCCTGGGCCGACAGTTTTGGTCCCTAGATAGTTTTCCTTAAGCTGTAATCATCTTTGAGCATTTCTACCTCAAAAGTACTGGAAGCTGATCCAGCCCTCTAGAGAAACTCAAGTCTAATTCCTCCCATATATCACAACCCTTCAAAGAGGTAAGAATTTTTATGACCTCATTAGGATTCTTCTTCAAGCTGAACGAGAAGTTTCTTTACTTACTCCTAAGATGAAACGCAGCTCAGACGACTCTAAGTCTCCTGGAACCATTTTCTACGCACCAACGTAAGTGCAGATGCCCAGTGGCCAAGAACTCAACATTTTGTGAGCCAGGCTACCAAGACTGGTCTATTGTGTAGACACAACACTGTAATACCCTAAGAGTACAAAGCTGTTAATAAAGAGTCAGCAGGCTTAAAATTAAGAGCCAAGCAAGGAACCATGGAACAAAACAAATTAGTGTCTGTGATTCTTCACAGAGTCACAAAGCAGTCTAGAGCTCCTCGTGTTCCACCTGAGGGAAATCATCAGGGAGAGCAAACTTTCGTGATTCAATTCATACGGGATCTCATGCCCCGCTTCCCTCTTCTCCCTTAGTTGGGGCGGGGTTAATTCAGTCATCTTACGTAATGACAAGATGCCACCTGGCCTGGCTCTAGCTAAGGCAACCCCTGAACAGGAGAGGCTTATTAAAGGAGGAAGGAAAAAATAAATCCCTAGAACTCAGCAGACAGCTGTTCATTCATTCACTGATTATTTATTACGCAACTGTGGTGTGCCAGGCATTGTTCTGGGCTCTGGGAATACAGTGGTAAATAAGACAACGTCATGCTTTAATGGAACTTATATAAATAAACATAACTCTCAGGTAGAAATAAAATAAAGGGAGACAAGAGGTTGGAGAAGGATGTTGGGAGAGGCGTGTATATTTCGATGAGGTGACAACTGGCTGCATTCGTTGTGTGTGTCGGTAGAGAACAGAGAGGACAGAGGATGAGACTGGGGTCCTCGCACCTGCTCCCTCTCCAGCTGAGCACCCACCTCTGGTGCAGGTCCACACTCACCTGGGTGATGGTCCAGGAGACTCCTCTGGTCCTGGACATTGCCTAGCCATGGCTCTGGTCCTTGCCCAAACTTATAGAACAGCTCAGGATTAGCAACAGTTGGTCCTGAGTCAGGAACAGAGAAAAGCACTGTGAGGGCCTGGCTCCACGTCCCAACATTAAGGAGACATCTGTTTGTGGCATCCTCTCGGCATGGTAAGATAACAGGTCAAGGAAGAAAGCAGGAATCTCGATGGTTTAGTGCTGTGGTTTAGAAACTTGGATATCCATGGGACTCCTAAAAGAATGGGGGACTAGGTGAAAGGAACAAGGGTACAAGCAAGGCTAAAAAGGTAAGAAAATGACGGTTAAGAGAGAGGCTCACAAACCGAAATGGTGGGAGGGAACAGCCCAAAAATATAACTAAGGAAACCAGGCTGGACCTGGGGGGCTGCAACAACCTAGAGGACTTGGTCCTGCATAAAGGGGACAGGCTCTACTCAACTCCAGAAGGCTGCTGCATGGCCCCGTTTGTCAAGAGAAGCCAGAAATCCATATTTATGTGAAAACTCCCAATGGTTAAATATTGGCAACTCACTTAAATATTTTTAAGAAGCCAAACAAAAGCAGTGGAAGCCAAAAAAGCAAAACAAAACTCTAGTCTGTGAGCCAAATCTGGCCCATGAGCTGCTACTTTGCAACTTCTGGTTTAGAAGAATCAGTGGTTTCCAAACCTTAGCAGGCACAGGAAGATGACTCAAACTAGCTCCAATTCTTCCACCCACAAAAAGCTGAGATTGTTGCTCCTACCATGCCTTAGGTAGGGATCAAGGTGAAATAAGGAAAGCATGGTAGACAGTTATCGAACTGAAATCAGCAAACAGTACATATGTGTGCACACACATGTTGAAATACAACCATCGTTGTCCTTGGTGCAGAAAGTCTACCCAAAGAAGCAGAGAAAAGAACATTCAGGAAATAGAAAAAATAAAAAATACCTATATTTATGCAAAGTTTTAACTGTTTTATCTCACTAAATTTCTAAAACAACCCTAACAAGAAGGAAATCAAGGCTTAAAAAGGCCAAGGGCACTCACGTATCCAGTGGTAGAGCTGGGATTGAAGCCAGATTTCCACACTGCAAACCTGAAGTTCTTTCCACCACCACTTCCTACCTCCAATGTCCTATGGTCTACAAATCTATAGGCCATTTCCCTTCTGGCACCCTGGGGTATCCTGAGGCACCCAGGAGACAGACCTCAAGGTCTAGCCAGACTTGTGCCAGACTTTCCTACTTCTCTTGACCAATTTAAAAGGAAAAAAGATAGGGTGGCATGTGAATTTGCATGCAATTAAGTTAAATATGGGATTGAGCAGATAGTGGCATAAGGATGCCTAGAAAAATGATAGGATTCCAGAAAATTCTCCAGTATGTCCTGGCCCGGATAAGGTTGGGTGTGCTGGTCTAGACTGATGGTGGTGGGGACAAGGACAGGAATCCATACCCAGTGGTGCCACCAGCTTGTCAGAACCACAGATCTCCTTCTGCTGTTGACTCAGCAGCATCCATTCCTCCTGGAGCAAGTATACTGTGATGTCATCAAACGTCACAGGAGCCTGAAAAGGAAAAACGACAGCGAAGTAGCAACTTTTTGCTCAGATTTATCTTCCACATCAGCGTTCTCAACCACCTGAGGGCAGCCCTACCCTGGGAATATACCAGATTGAGGGGACTGTCAGTTTACATACATGCCCCACACCCCACCTCTTTCTCACCACCTGGGTGGAGGTCACTGAGATTGAGACTCATTCTTCTAGAAAGTGCCACACACTAGAACCAACCAGAGCCTTGAAGAAGGCTAACTCAGGAATTTCACAGCCTCTCCCTGCATGTTCTTCACATGCCTCCCACACACCTATTACTTCTCTGCCAAGGCTCAGCAACAATTTCTGGTACATTCTTTTATAAACTCTTGAATGGAAAATCTTCAGTCAGGAAGATGTGTGGTTTCTAGAAATAGCTGAAGGTAATTTAGAACTGTGTCTATGGATAAAGTCAATGACCAAGACAGGCAAAGCTTTGGGGCTGAGACCTATATCCCATGTGGCTTACGAAGAAGCTCTGTTGGGTATAGGAGTTCAGAAAGTGTTTTGGAGAGTTCTGGATCAAGATGGAAGATTAAACAAGTACCATTTAATTTTGCTTATTCCCTGTGAATTTAAAAGAAGACACCCCCTACCCAATAAAATACCTACTACAATCGGGAGCACAACAAGTAGACACCAGCAATACAATTGTGGAAACTGAAAAGCAGATGAAAAAGTAGTAACTGAGCAGATCGAGGAAATCGAAACCTCACCCGGCAGTGGGCAAAGCTGAGAAACAATCCAATTTACACCACTAAATCCTTGAAAGGCTCAGGATCTGGCAACAAGGGAAACCTCTGGCTTGAGAGTGAAGGCAGATAGGCTGAAATAATAAGAATTGGGGGAAAGCCGTTCCCAAGAAATGCCTCTCCAGGTTCCCCTACGCAGAGGCTCTGAGTTGATAAGCCCTCCCTCTTCCGTGTGCTCACAGCTGTCAGTCTCCCAGCTTTCTGGTCTTCCACTGTTAAATGTTAGCAGACTAGACTACCAGACATTTGAGGAAAGGTGCTAACAGGGACTATAGAAAGCAAAATAGATTGGCGGGGGAGGGTGCTAATGAAATAGGCATAGAGAAGAAAACTTAAAGAAATACCATCAGAGAGGTAAGATATTGCAGCCATGAAACAGTTACAAAAGAAATAATCAGAAAAGGAAATATAGTCAGAAATAAATTTATCTTTTTAAATTTTATACCATGAAAACTTATCACCTAGTCAAAGAAATAAAAAATAAATAAAATTATCAATAAAACATAAATTTCCCACCCCAAAGAGAAATAACATATTGGGAAACGGCTGCACACCATTTAAAACAGGTGAAATATACCAACACATCTTTTAAGAAAAAAGATAAAAATAAAATAGGTGAAATAACTATTTTAACTTCAGTAGTAGGTCCTTCTTAAGAAAAACTATATAGATAATTCTTATCAGTCGCGATCATAAATTTGAAAAATAATTTGAGTATTTTTCTTATGTTCACTGCAGAAAATTTAGACAATAGATCAGTGCTGTTTGCTTGACTGGTTGAAAAAGTATGGGGAAAAAAGAAAATTTAGACGATAAAAATAAACAGAAAAAAATGTTTTAAGATCACCCACATTCCCCTCATTGAAAAAGAATTACTGTTACATTTGGTGTATAACCTTCTAGTCTTTTGTCTATGAATATGTATGAATGTATAGTTTTAAAAATAAAAATGAAATTGTATGGCCAAACGTGTATGTTTTAAAAAACTATTTTCTCTAGAGTGTCTTCCAAAGCAAAGTGTGATTATGTTAACATTTCCAAAACCTATTGGAGGAGGGGCTCCACCAAAAGTAGTCAAACAGGAAAGGGGTCTACACAGATAGAGCCTAAGGATACTAATGTGGAGAAGTGGGGAAGGGAACCCCGAGATTATGCTAGAGGCAGATGCAGGATGCCAGTTGTACACCAGGACTAGAGGGCAACCTGTTCAGATCGGGGCAGGTTAAAACACTGTGACTAAGGACAAACAGGGCTCCCTGTTCACACCCACCCTTCCCCTAGCACGTACAGGTGGGCATAACGAAGGCCAAGGGACCCATCACTTTAGCTCCACAGTAAGGAGTACAGCTGAGACTGAACGTCTGCATAACGAAGTGTCTTCCCAGCAAGAGTGATTACACTAACACCTGGTACCTCTCCTAAGCAATATTATGGCAAGAGCCTTCTGATTCCAGGTGACTGCAACGTAAAGAAAACACAAATCTACTTGAATAAGAGGAATTCCTTCTCTGTGTATAATGCAAAGAATTATCTCCAGATGTTCTATTTTAGCTGTCCTCACTCTTTACAGGGTAGGGCTCTGACTCCTCAGGCTAAAGAAGTCCCCCCAGTTGGAATCCAACCCATCTTCCTAATCTCAGCTCTATGTATCACCCCACCTGGACTCTCTCCTCCTGCCAGATCAGCAGCATTGCAGTCAAACAGATCTTGCACCTTTCCTCTCTCTACACACCTGGTCTTTAGATCTCCTGACTGCCCATTCCCTCTCCCCGCACCTACTCAGAGTCTACCCACTCATCAAGTTCCAATTTGCATTCCATCTCTTTCAGAAGGGATTTCCTAATCATCACCCAAGCATTTCTCCTTCCCTTGAGCAGGGAAGACTTTCTATTCCCCCAGAGCCTGGCCCTCAGGAAACCTATTCTGATTGGCTTATTTTAAACCCCCTCCACTAACACCACCTTCTCCCCATCAACATATTATATTGAAAGTATTTCAATAAGCACTTCATTCATTTTTTCACTCAATATATATTTATCATTTAAGTGTTTCTTCTAAGTGCTTGGTACATGGTGATCTAAAGATATGAAGGGAGATTAAAAAAAGAGAGTAAAATCCATCTGGAAGTAATAGACCACTATGATCTAAGTGCAGTAATAGAGTTGTGTTCAAAGAAAAATGAGAGGGCCGTGATCACTTCTACGGGAAAGACAGAGAGGGCTAGGAAACAGAAATGTTGAGGTAGTAAGTACATACAGAAACAAGTACATATAGACTCCTATTGGAAACATCAACTACCCAGTCTCCTAGGAGGGCACATTAGGTGTCAGCTGCAGTGTTCTTCAAAGCACCCATGCCTTGCAGCAAAAGAGTTCCTGTAGCAATGGTATTTTATGAGCCATTCTTTCCTGGTGTATGTAACCTATTACATGCCAGGAACTGCTGCACTGTTCTAGCTGGGGATATAACAGAGAGTAAAGTCGACAAATATGCAAGTAAATAAGTAAATAAATGTGAGAATTCTGTATAGTGATGAGGGCTGTGAAGAAAATAAAAGAGCGTAATGGGACAAAGTGTGATGGGGAAAAGTCTGACTTTTATCCATTATTCTGCTAATGACAGGCAAGATATCCCACACTCAATCCAATGGCCCAAGGTTGCCTTTCATTAATAAAGATCACAAAATAGTGCCAAAGGAAGATTCTAGTAGTAGACCAAGCCACTACCTCAAGAGGACCCCTAGTCTCCCAGTTTTGAGCCAAAAAAATAAATAAATAACGATGTTCAGAACACAGCGGTAGAATAGCACAGCTATTCCCAGGCCTGCATCACTATCACTTGTTCACAATGCATCTTATACTGCCAGCTCATTCTGTAATCACTTTAATTTTGGGTAACTTCCTCATTTCCTAGGTTAGAAAGCAGATATACTGGGGAAGGGTGAGCACCTTTTTGAGACACCTTGCAATCAAGATTCCAATCGAAGGTGAAATTTCCAGTCCCTAGAGGTTTCAGTTAGTGGTTAGACCTGAAAGGACATCAAATTTATCCTCTGCCTCCCAAAATGTTTGTACAGTCATGTGTCACTTAACAGGAATACCTTCTGAAAAATGCGTCTTTAGGCAATTTTGTCATTGTGTGAACATTAAAGAGTAAACTCACACAAACTGAGGTTGTATAGCCTATTGTTCTAGGCTACAAACCTGAACAGCATGTTACTATACTGGATACTGTAGACCACTGTAACATAATGGTAAGTATTTAAGCAACTCCATATAGAAAAGGTAGAGTAAAAATACAGTACCAAAAAATGGTACACTTGTATTGGGCGCTTAGCACGAACGGAACTTCCAGGATTGGGAGTTGCTCTGTGTGAGTCAGTGAGTGCCAAGGCCTAAGACACTGCCGTAGACTGTACCAACACCACAAACACTGCACACGGTGCCTCTCCATTCCTACCCTTTGGCTCCCACTGGCGTCCTTTCCAGTCTCAAAGCCTGAAAACAAGCTGGCCTCTTCGCAACGCCAACCGTGGTGAGGGGAAATGGGCAGCACTCTAGAGGCTACACTAAGTTTATTAAAAAAATAATTTTCTTTCTTCAACAGTAAATTTACCTTAACATGCTATAACTTTATAAACTTGTAATTTTTTAAAACTTTTTGACTCTTGTAATAACACTTAGTTTAAAACACAAACACATTGTACAGCTGTACAAAATTTTTTTCTTTACATCCTTATTAAGCTTTTTCTATTTAAAAAAAATTGTTTTTAAACTTCGTTTAAAAGTAAGACATAAACACATACATTTGCCTAGGCCTATACATGGTCAGGATCATGAAGACATCACTAGGCAACAGGAATTTTTCAGCTCCGTTATAATCTTATGTGACACCATTGTTGTAGTAATATATGCAATCCCTCATTGACAGAAGTTATGCGGCACATGACTGTATCTCTCTTCTCCCATTAAAAGCTAAGAAAGTCTACAACTGAACACAGTATCTTGGAAATCAACCTCAAATCACTAATTCCAATATTTTATAACCCTCATTCCCCCTACATTTTGCTCCTCCTCATCCAAATTCACGTTCAATCTAACTAATCTGGGGATATTACCAAAGGGTAAGGGGCCATTTCCTTTACTTTTTTGTATCCCCATAGTACTTAACATAAGGCTGGCACGCAGTTCACCTTTAATCTTTCTTTAGGTTCTGTCGAGCTTTACTGTCTTGGACTGTGTACTCTGTAGGTTGCTGTGTCTGGAAAATGCACCACTGTAGCTTGTGGAGGGAAGGGAGGATGGAAGAGATGCTCGAGCAACAAATAACTTCTTTTGTAATTCAGAGTCTTTCCTAGTCTTCCCTGGAACAAGTACAGCATCAAAATTACCTCATTATTCTTTCTCCCTTTGCTGTGGGACAACCCTTCCAGGCTTGTGCAAGGTATTGAAGTGAAAGCTGCAGGACAGCTTCTGGAGGAAAGTGGTCCTTTCCTATTTATCCTTGTACACCCAGCATCTCACTCCATGCAAATCACAGATTACAAACGTTTATTGACATTTTTTTTAAAGAAGGGACTCAATAAGCACTGAAAAACATTTGTTGAGAGAATTCTCTCTGCGCCAAAGAAGAAACAATCTTCAAGAATTGGCAGCAAAGAACACTCAGAAAGATGTTATTCCTAAGACGCTGACACTGCCTCCAAGCCAGTGTGCCTACAACCACACTGGTCTTTGCTGGCACTGCCTGGGAGTTCCAGCAACCCTGTCAAACCCACTTAACTCTACCCACAAGCACTTCCTCCCCACCTGAAGACTGAAGCAAAATCTATGAAATATGCTTCTAAGCAATGCTCAGATACTTCACGAAGTAGATAATCCTCTTTTTCTTTTCAGTCCTTTTTTAGGAAGGAGGATCTAGGCAGGGCCAAGGCCCCACCCCGTCTCTCGATTCCTACTACCCTGTGGCTCCCGCCAGCGTCCTATCCAGTCTCAAAGCCTTAAAACAAGCTGGCCTCCTCACAACGCCGAAGGTGGTGAAGGGAAACGGGAAGCACTTTCGCCTCATTCCACTTTGCGAGCTACCCAATCTGGCATCCACAGAGCGGCCACTCGCCAGAAGGCGCTGGCCAGCCCCGGGGAGGGAGGGGAGCCGGGAGGATGCGCGACACGCAGAGCGGATGCGTTCGCTCCTCTCTTTGCCACCCTCCCAGAGGCGGCCGCCAAAGTGTGAAGAAAGAGGGAGCGAGCGGGCGGGTCCTTCCCTGCAACGCTGGCTCATCGGCGGGGCCTCCGCCCGAACCGCCCCGCCTCGCCAGAGCCCGGATCGGCGATCCACGGGAGGGGAGTGGGCGGCCCCAGGGCCCTTCCAGTCCTACCTTCCCCGACTCCCTGGGCTCCATGGCCCCGCTTTCAGTGGCCCGGCTCACCCCGCCACTGCCTCCAGGCCGCCCCCTCCCCCCGCGGCCTGGCCTGAGGTCCAGCCGCCGCGGCCACTGGGGACCCAGGCTCCCGAAGGGGGAGGGCGCCCTGGCGGGAACGGAGCGCTGCCCAAGAACTTCGCTCTACCACGTCGGGGGCCGGTAGCGCTGACAGAGCCGGGAGATGCGCTGAGTTGGGACTAGCGTCGTACCCAAAGAACAGCTTTACGGCAGCCGCCTAGCCCGAGGCGGCGGAGCACGACGGGAAATGTAGTCCGGCCTCGGTAAGCGGCTTTCCAGGCTGCTATTGGCTCCCAGAATGCGGGGTTCTGATTGGACGCCGCGTCGCTGCCCCGGTCTGTCCGGCGATGGTTACTAGGCAACGTCCCCAGGCGTTCTCCTGCACTCTGCAGTTAGGGCAAAGCGCTCTAATGGGGCTATGGGATTCTGCTCCCTCGAATTCGTAGGGCCAATGTTAACCTTCAAGGTCCCAGGTTTTATCTAATCAAAGAGGGCAATGCTTTTTCTTACATTCATTCAAAAAGCATCGGTTGCCTACCATGGGTCAGGCACTGTTCTAGGTTCTGGGAGTATACGATTGAATGAGACAGAGCCCTTGCCTTCAAGGAACTCATAGCCTATTAGGGAAACAGACCAGAAATAGACAATTACAAAATAAAGAAACAAATACAACAAAAGAAGTAAGCACAGACACTAATTGAAACACACTTTGGTACCTTAGAATGAAATGGTGGGAGGATATAGGGGTGGCTAGTCAAGGATTTCCTGAGGAAGTGGTACGTGAGCTGAATTAAAACAAGAGGTAGGAGTTAGCCAGGTAAAGGAGATGCTATGGACTGAATTGTGTCCCCCCTTCTCAATTCATATGTTGTATGCCAATGTGGTGGTATTTGGAGATGGACTCTTTGGGAGGTAATTAGGTTTAGATGAGTTCATGGAGGTGCAGCTCTCATGATGGGATTCATGTCCTTATACGAATTTAGGGGGAACCAGGGCAGAATGCTATGGTTGGAATGTATGTGTCCCTCCAAAGTTTCTATGTTGAAACCTAATCCCAAATGCAATAGCATTAAGAAGAGAGGCCTTTAGGAGGCAATTAGGCCATCGGGGTTCCACTCTCATGAAGGAATTAGTGCCCTTATGCAAGGACAAAGGAAACCCACTTTGCCCTTTTGCCCTTCTGCCATGTGAGCATGCAGCACCAAGGTGCCGTCCTGGAAGCAGAGACCAGGCCCTCACCAGACACAGAAACTGCTGGCACTTTGGTCTTGGATTTCCTAGCCTTCAAAACAGTGATAGATCAATTTCTACAATTTATAGATTACCTAGTTTCAGGTATTTTGTTATAGCAGCATGAGCAGACTAAGAAAAAGACCAAATATAAACATGTACTTGCTCTCTTTTCTTCTCTCATCTTCTTTAAAAGACATAAAATTATATAAAGTAATAATTATCACAACATATTGTTTAGTTTGTAATGTATAGATGTAATATCTATAATAATAGTGCTTGCCTGACAAAGACAAGGTGATAAAAGAAAAAAGAAAATATTATAATAGCACAAATAATGTACAGTAAAGTGCACAAATCTTAAGTGTACAACCCGATGTATTTTTATGTATGTACCATGTAGCCACCATCCAGATCAGATATAGACAACTTCTAGCACTTCAGAAAGCTCCTTTGTGGCTATCCCAGTATGTGTACATAGAGGTAAAATTGTAGAAAGTAAGGAACAGGTTATTATAAAGGCCTTAATAAAATTAACTTTAGGAGAGAGGGAAGCAGGTGCTGTTGGAAAGGGACACATGAAAAGCTTCTGGAGTGAGAAGTGTTCTATTTCTAGACTTAAATGTTGGTTACCCAGATGTTTGCTTCACAATTATTCACTAAATAGTATACTTAGTTTTATGTACTTTTGTGTATGTCTGTTTTGAGTTGCAATTCAAAGTTTTAAATAAAAAACAAAGCAAATATGGATTAAATTTTAAAAATTTTATTAATATATATTGCCAAATTGATGGTTAAATATTTTGATTATCACTTCTGTATAGGTCCCAAATAACCATTTTCCGTTATATGACTGCTCTCCTTTTCCCATTGTCCCTGCCTCCATGGACGTGTTTCTGGCCTCTGGCCAGGGGATCGCCTTTCCAGCCTGCCAGATTGGCCACACACAGGCTGCAACCCTTTATGAGAAATAAAGCTCTCCTCTCCAAATTATGAACCTCGTTATTTCTTCAGCTAATAGTGCCATGGTGGCCCCTTTCAGGAGTCCCACTGACTTGGCACCACAGGGCCCAGACTACGGCCTCACCTAAAACAATTCCAGGTCCCAGTGCTCACCCATGAGTTCCTCTTTCTGTGTCCCACAATTATTATCGTAACTAGATATCCTTTTTCCTTTTCATCTCTCCCTTGGTCCCTCTCCCCTTTGCCAGTAACTCTAGCTGGATGAGACAGTCATTTGCAGGGCATCTGAGGAATACCAGGGAGCAGTGGGCAGTACATACATAGCATCACTACACCTGGAGCAGAGGCATCCAGCCTGCTTCCCACCCCATCCTGGGAGTGGAGCCAGAGACAGAGACTTGAGAGTGATCCCAGAACAAGGTTGTGGGACTAGAAGAAAGCAGGGAAGAGGAGAAACTGATACAAGGGTACACTTTAGAAACCACTGCTGTGGGCAGTGGGGTCTTGATTCCACTTCTGAGACTTGTACAGAATGCCCATATGACAGTGTCTCCAGAATGGGAGGCTGGCACATTTATCTGCAGCTCCCATCCTGGTAGTTGAGGGTTGCCCCCAGCGGCATTAACTACATCCTATTCCTACACTGTACTTCTGGATGGGCTTGTGTAAAGGCCAAGTGGACTCTCTCTGTGTCAGAAAAGCCATGAGGCAGAAAGCAAAAGAAGCTCGAGAAGAAGGTATACAATGAGCGAATGAGCATATGCAAAAAAATGCTCAACATCATTAGTTACTAAGGAAATGCAAATCAAAATCATAATGAGATACCACTTCACACATACTGAATGGCTATGGAAAAAAGACAGATAATAACAAGTGTTGGAGAGGACATGGAGAAACCCGGACTGTTGCATACCACTGGTGGGAATGTAAAATGGTACAGCCACTTTGGAAACAGTTTGGCATTTTCTTAAAAAGTTAAACATCAACTTACTATATGATCTAGCAATTCCACTCCTAGCTACAATATACCCAAGAGAGATGAAGGCATGTGTCCACACAAAGACTTGTACAAGAGTATTTGTTACAACTTTACTCATAATACACTAAAAAATGAAACAATCTGAATGTTCGTCAACTGGTAAATGGATAAAGTGTGGTATATCCATACAATAGATGACTATTTAGCAATAAAAGGGAACAAGCTACTGATACATGCCTCTATCTGGATGAACCTCAAAATCATCATGCTAATTGAAAAAGCCAGACATTTACATGAAATGTCCAGAAAAGGCAAATCTGTTGAGATAGCAGTTTAGTGGTTGCCTGGGGCTGAAAGTGGGAGGGATTGATTGCAAATGGGCATGATATGATGGAAATATTCTAGAAGTGGGTCATGGTGATGTTCGTGCAACTTTATTTTCTATAAAAATCATTGAATTGTAAACTTAAAATGGGTGGATTTCATTGTATGCAAGTTATACCTCAATAAGGCTGTTGTAAAAAGCAGGGGCGGGAGGAGCAGACATCAGCCCACAGGTCTCTCCACCGCAGATGCAGCTGAAATCACTCTGGTCAAAAGATAGAGCCTGGGGCACTAGAGATGTCTAATACGAGGGGTCTCCAGACTACTCAACATAGTCCTGCTACAGATGAGGAAACAGGCTTAGATATGGGAAGTGGCTTGTCCAAGTTCGCCGGCGGTGGTGAATGCCCTGGGGAATCCATGGCAGACGCACAGAGGTCCCCAAGAGACAAGGTCCTTGTACAGGTCCAGGTCAGGGCTCAGGCCCACCCTTCCTCCCTTTCCCTGCTGGACCCCAGGATGGAGGCTCTACACACGGACTTGCTGGCAACGTCACTTTATTCGGGACATGCGAATGCCGGGGGCTGGGTCCCCAGTCAGGGGCGGGTGGGTCAGCACGTGGGAAGAGTCTGTGCCGCTGAGCTCCACGGTCACAAGAGGGACAGCAGTGGACACTTCCAGCAGAGTCTGTCAGCGCTTTGAGAAATCACCTCCTAGAGGACAAGCGAGGGGGAGGCGGGCTGGCAAGAGAGGCCGGGGAGGGCAGCGGAAGCGGGAAGGAAGAGCTGCCGGGAGCAAGCCCAGAGCTTCTCCGAGTGCGCGCCACCCTGGCCGCATCGCACCCTTCCATCGGTCCCGCCCCCCGCCCCGCCCCGCGCGGAGCCCCGCCCGCGCCCACCCTGGCAGGCGCTGCACTGGCAGCTGTGGATGACGGGTAGCACCACCGGCTCCGTGCGGCCACCCGGACAGCGCAGGCTCAGGACCCGCACCGGGTTGTCGGGGTCCAGGCGGTAGCTGCAGCAGTCGCACTGGCTCTGAAGGTACGGCTCCTGCGCGAGAGCAAGCGGCGGAACTGGGCCAAACGGAGTTTCCCTTGGCCTTTCCATCCAAGGGGGGATAGGGACGAGGGAGGACGGCCAGATCCCAACCCTCCTTGGCAAGCAGGTGGCCGAGCCTGGGAGGGAAGTGTCACCACCAAGCCCCCTTCACAAGAAGCCCGCCTCCCTCACTCTAGCGCCCACCCGTCTGAACATCCAACACTCTGCAGGCTAAAGCAATGCTTTCAACGTGCCCATCACTGCATCCTGGCTGCAGCGGGAAAGGCAGCTTCCACCCCAGGACGCGCCCCAGTCTAGTTAGAGAGACTAATTCTATAGGAAACTGCAACGCATGAAGCCCTAACTGCACAGTTCTGATCCCGAGTGCAAAGTGAGTTCTCACTTCTCAGCACACTGCACTCGCCCTGTGATTACAGAGGACCTCTACAGAAGGCCCACTCAGCATGTGATCTAATTTTGTGTGTAATTATATTTATAATTTTACTGTGAGATAGGTAGTACATTCACACAATACCAAGTTCAAAAACTACTAAGGTTATTCAGCGAAAAAAAATCTCCCTCCAATTTCTATCCCATTATCACTCAGTTTCCCTCCTCCCAAAAAAATTTCTCAATTACTCTCCTTCTTGCCTCTATGTTTAAAAAGTTCCAAAAGTGATTTGGGAAAGCTCTCCCAGGAGGTGCGGGGAGCGCCCAGGGGAGCTGACGAGTGGGGCTGAGGGTTGAGGGCAGCGTCTTTGGGGACCAGGTAGGAAGGCGTCTTTGTCTTCCAGGCCCAGTGAATCCAGGTGGGCCGAGGCGGGAGGGATGGCCACAGAGTCGAGGGGCAGTGAGGCGGGGCTGGGGACAGGAGGCTGAGAGAAGACCCAGGGAAGAGGAGGGTGCTCGGTCCCAGCTCTCCAGGCTCAGGGCGAGCGGAGTCAGGGTGGGCACAGAGCCCCTAAGAAGATCCCAGCAAGGAGCAGGGCAGGCTTCTGGGTCCAGGGAGAGCGAGCGCAGAGCACAGCCCCCTGCTCGAGGCTGAGTCAGCCTCTGGGACCCGCCCATGCACCTTGTCTGTGGAAAGTCCATCCCGCAAGAGCGCTCACTCACTGTGCGATGGGTTCCGATCTGAGTCTAACTTAGCTCCTCTGTGCCTCTCTTTGCTGGTGTCCTGGCTTATTGCCAGGACACAGTGGGCCCAGGGCATGCTCTGGGAGCCATGTGGGGCCACAGCAGGAGGTCTCCCTGGGAGGGGCAGGGACATCCAGCGAGACCTCAGGGCCAGCCAACAGGTGCAGACCACCACCTTGGCGAAAGGCTCTGGCCATCTGTTAGCTCCATGAGAATCAAATGTGTGTCTCTCGTCCTCTGGGCTTTGCCCAGGTCCCAGGCCCATGTCAGGCCCTCAGGGCGCTGACCGACCTGACTTCCCTGGGCCATGCAGCCGCCCCCTTGCTCACCTCTGGCATGACGTTGGTGCTGGATGGGCAGTGCCCGCTGCAGTAGCTCACTTCTACCTGGTCCAGGGAGCAGGGGCCCTTGGTGAGGTTGCGCAGCTCGGTGAGGTGCCGGCAGGAGGCTGACCGCTCCTCTGTGGGCCAGAATCGGGGCAGGGCAGAGGAGGAGGCCGTGACTGAGGGGGACTTTGGGGGGCAGAGCCTGGGTCTGAGGGGAGCATATTGGGGTGAAGGTGGCCAGGTGCTACCATACAGCGCCTGGAGTCTTCACTCCTCTGACCCATGTCAGGCAGGCACATGCTGGGCTGAAAAGGCCAGGTGTGGGGCAGTTGGGGAGAAGGGTCCAGACTAGGGAGAGGCTCAGCAGGAGTGCCCAGGGTCCCTCCATACCTGGAGTCTCCCGGTGGCAAGTGGGACAACAGCTCCCTGGCTCCTGCACTGTCACCTCGCCCTGCAGAGGGAGTGAGTCCTGGCCCACTTAGGAGGATGGCCTGGACATCCCGAGCCCAGCATTGCCTGCCCAGAGGCCCTGAGCCCAGCCTCAGACGATGGCCGGAGGAGCCCACGGAGCCACCCCGAGAGGGCAGCAGGGCTGCAGGGGGTACCTGAGCACAGGTGAGGAGGGGGCAGTGCTGGCTGCAGACCGTCCTCCCACCGAGGCAGCGGCAGCTCCCACAGGCCTCCTGCCATTCGGATCCGGGCTAGGGAGAGTGAGGGGAGAGCCTCCTCTTGGTCTCTCCCATTTGTAGGCTTTTCTATAACGTCCCGGATTCCCGAACCCAGGCTGGGGGTGCCTAGCCGGGGCAATGGGCCTAGACTGGAGTCAGGCGACAAGAGATGCAGGAGGGAGATGGGCCTTGGGGGCCAGAGACCACCCTAGTGAGACAGCCAAGCCGCCACAGGCACAAATTCAGCAGGTAGCGAGGCCTGGAGTTAGGAAGGGGTGGATGGCAGCACACGGGCGCAGTGTCTCACCAGGTGGGGACGCCCGAGGTGCCAGCACTCACAGTGGTCTGCGGGGACACAGGGGCCTGCCTGGCTGCGGAAGTGCCCAGGCTGGCACACGCAGCCCGAGGCCTGAGTGGCACTGCAGTTGCTCCGAGTCTCCGTGGTGTTCATCTCCCGGCACGTCTGCTCGCAGGGCCCCAGCTCCCCGGGGGCCGCCTCCTGCCACATTTCCCCAGGGGGGCACTCTGCCAGGGAAGACCATCCATCCCACCTTCCCTGTCGGCAGCAGCCTCCAGCCACACCTCTTGCTCTTACCCAACCTACCAAACACTAGCTGGGCGAAGCCCCAGCCTGCAGGGGCTACCTGCTTGTCAGAGATCCAGAGACTGTGCCCTGCTCTACCTGTCTGGTGGGTGGTCTGCCCTCACCAGCCAGGCCGGGAGTGCCCAGGGCTGGCCATGCCCCATGAGTCTGAATGCACAGAGCCCAGCATGGCGGAGCTGAGCACACGGCATGTGTGTCCTTGGTCCTAATCAGATGGAGGCAGCACAGCACCAGCCTGGGGACTGCCAGGCCGGGCTCCTCACTCCCGCTCACCCCTCCGGACCTCAGTTTCCTCCTCGGCAGGGAAAGAACCTTTCACTTCCTGGCATCACTCGCAGCCCTGGCTCAGGGAGCACTCAGCATACTTGATGGATGCCCCCATGAGCAGGGCACAGTGTGGAGTGCCCGGGGAGCATGGGGCAGGGGGGCGTCGGGTCTCAGGTTACAGAGAGGTCAGTGTGGACAGACAGGGAAGGGGCTTCCTGATGGAGGCAGCTTTGCCCAGGGTGTACAGGGCCCTCCTCCCCTCCTCGGGGCTGGCCCGGCCCTGGCTGTGGAGGGCAGCAGGGCATGGACGGCCACATCTCACCCTGACAGTTCTCGAGGGAACAGTTGAAGGCTCCACTTTGGCAGACACTGGGAAGACAGAAGCACTGCTCAGCTGCCTCCCAGCCCTCCCCCACCCCAACTCTCAGCAGCCCTCTCCTCCCTCCTCCTCCTCCATCCTCCTCTTCCATGCCCTTCCTCCATGCCCACGCCCCACCCTGCAGGCCCTCACCAGCCCTCACCAGCGGGTGCAGTTCCGGGTGAGCACCGTCCCTGGGGGCAGTTCTCCAGCCAGCTCTGCCAGGCTCAGGGTGAGGGCCCAGGACAGAGAGTGCGGGGTGCAGGGGCAGGCGGCTGGGGGCACGCACGTGCCATTGTGCAGCAGCTGAGACGGGGCAGGCTCAGTGACACTTGGACCACTGTCTCTTCCCTCCCCACCAGCCTGCTCCCTGTACCCACCTGCCCTTCAGGGCAGCCGCAGCCAGGCTGGCAGGGTTCCCGTGCACAGACGGCGCCAGGCTGCAGATGCAAGCAGAGGCGCGGACACATGGTGGGACAGGCGCTGAGCACCTGGCCAGGGGGGCACTCTGTGGAGAGCACACAAATCGTGAGGGGGAAGGGACCTGGCATCTTCAGTCCCGGGGAAGGGGCTGCCTCGGGTCCGCCTCCTCCCCGCACCTCCACCTCCACCTGCCTGGGACAGGGAGGAAAGGCAGGCACCCGCCACCCAGGCTGCTCACCAGGGCAGGGCTGCAGGTTACATTCCTGCTGCTGCTCTGTGTCCTGGGCCTGGCATGGTGCCCCCCCAGGACCTCCCTTGCAGCTCCGATGTCGCTCCATGGTGCCCCCACCACAGATAGCTGAGCAACTGCCCCACGCTGACCAAGGCCCAAGGACTGGACACTCTCGGTGTGGGCACACCAGGGACCCATTGACACAGGTGCTGCGGACAGGGATATGCAGAAAGAGCTCCAGCCCGGAGGCAGGGTGAACAGAGCCTTCCCTCCCCAGCGGTGCCATAGACCCTGACCTACCCCCACCTCCTCCCGAAGCTCCCACCCTGCTGGTCCACCTCTGGCAGCCATACCAGCTTTTGCAGTCCAGCAGCACCGCCTGCATGGGGGCCAGCTCCCACGAGGCATTGGCACTGGGGAGGCCACAGCGGCAAGAGGAGATGGGCACGCAGCGCCCATCCTGCACCAGCTGGCCGGGGGGACAGCGGCAGCCTGGGGTGGGGGTAAGGAGGACAAATAAGTTCGGCACTTGGGCAAGATCTCTGGCAACCAGATCAAGTTCAAGGCCTGGTCTCCACAGTGTCTCCCGCTGCCCTGCACAGGAAGTGTGTGCCCGCAACCCCCAGCAACCCTTACAGCCACCTGCGAGTACCCTCCTGGACACAACAGTCTTGACTGAGCTGCACTCTATACAGGACTTGGAGATGGTTAATGAACATGACCCAAGGAGCCACTGTCCTGCCCTATAGTTCGGGACCCAGCAGTCCGAACCTCCCTTCCTCCCACCCCTGCCTGAGATCACACTCTCTGGGAGCAGGGGGCTTCCCAAGAACTCCCAGGCCAGGTGGTGGGGACAGCTGGCTACCTGGGCGGCAGGGTCCCTGCAGACACTGAACACGGTCCCAGAGGTCAGCACAGCTGCGAGGGCACTGGTTGGCACAGTCAACGGTGGCCACAGTGTCCCGGGCCTCACAGCTCTCCCCTGGGGACCAGAAGGAGGAGTCCATATTGGGGACGCTCTTGGGCCTCCAGGACAGCCCCTTCCTTCCACTGCACACCCCTGGGACAGAGGCCACAGCCCCCTCAGGTGCCATCTCCAGATGTTCCAGTCCTGGTCCCCTCTGGATGCAGGGACGGGAGTTACCTGGGCAGGACCCCATGTTGCAGCTCTCGGTCTGAGCCCACGGCCCCCGGCAGCCTCCTCCAGGGGGGCCCCCTGCCTCTCTCCAGCGCAGCCGGTACCCCCCACCGCAGGGCACCTGGCAGAGGCTCCAGGGCCCCCAAGGACTCCACTGGCACGCGTCTGGGAGATAAAATAGAGTCAGTACTGAGGCCCCACCTCCTGCCTCCACCGCAAGCCATGGGCTCTGCCCTCCGAACACTCAGGCTGCCCTGAGGCCCACTTGGCTCCCTTCCTCCGCTTTCTAGCTGCACTTGGACCCCTCCCCAGCTTCAAATCCCATAGGCCCCCGAGGCAAGCAGGGGCTGGCAGGTGCAATGAACCCTGCAGCAGCCCCACCCACACTGCAGCCCCTGCCATCCTGTGGGCTCTGTCCCTTCTCATTACCAGGGCAGGCTGCAGGGTCCGGGCAGAGGCGCTGCTGGCTGAGGGGCGCAGTGCAGAGGTGGGGGTCCCCGGTCCAGGGCCTCCCTGTCTCAGGGTCCAGGCAGAGGCGGTGGCGGTGCTGCTCTGAAGCCAGCAGGGGGGCCGAGGTGGGGGAGAGGCTGGCTGGGCCCCAGGGCCAGCGCCCCTCTAGGGCAGTCCTGGAGGCAGGGGCCAGGGCGCTGGGGGGCAGGCAGGGCCCGCAGGGCGACCACTCGGACCAGCTGCTCAGAGGCAGAAGACCTAGAAGGACAGCGTGTGGGTGCCCTTCGCAAAGACCCCCAACCCAGAGGCCCAGTGGACAGGCAGGAGGGGCTCAGGGTCATGACCAGGAAGGATCAGAAACAGGAAGGGCTGGGGGTAGTGAGGGGGCAGAGAGGGGTGACCCACCATCCTGGTTTGCCTGGGACTGTCCTGGTCTTAGCACTGAAAGTTCTGAGTCCCAGAAACCCCCCAGTCCAGGCAGGCGGGGACCACTGTCTCCCCAGGTCAGGGTTACCTTGACAGCCCTGGCTGGTGCACTGCAGCTCCCCGCGCCGGCATTCACTGTGGAGGGGGCAGTCAGGGTGGGCTCTGGGAGGGAGGACCCAGCCCAGGGCTTGGGGGGTCAAATGGGGGCAACCTGAGCTCCGGGCCCATTTGGGGCAGAGGAGGGGGCTGCAAGGTCTGGCATCTTAGGGCCCTCTGCCCAGAGGCTGAGCTGGATCCCTGGGGCCCTGCCCCATTCCCTGGCCCAGCTTCTGTCTCCCCTTCCCCACCACTCACCACTCCTTACAGCCCAGCCGCAGGCGGTCCCCAGGGGCCAGGGTCACCCTGGCTCCCTCTCCTGAGGTGTGCCAGCAGTTACACTGCTCTGGGGGAATGCAGCCCCCGCCCTGCTCCAGCAGCCCCTGTGTGGAAGGAGAGGCAGGCGGGCGGTAGGTGATCACTCTGTCGCCCAACGCCCAGCCCCTGCCGGCCTGTAGCAGGTGCGTGTGTGTGGTGCTGAGTGGATGGACGGGCAAGTGAACTTGGGCTGGGAAGAGGCATTGAACCCCGAGGGCTGTGAAGGGGGTGGCGTCACCATGGCATCGTGCACAGCAGGGGGTGTGGGAGTGTGGACAGCGGACCCTTCCTCTTGGGAGTCGCCCCAGCTCCTAGCCCTCACCTCAGGGCAGTAGCAGCCAGGCTGGCAGGGCGGCAGGTCCTGGCAGAGCTCACGGCTCAGGTGTGTGGCACAGAGCCCAGCGCAGGGGGAGCCACAGGCCTGGAACTCAAAGGGAGGCGTGCAGCTGTCCTCTAGGGGGGAAGGCAGGCAGGTGGAGGAATGGCCCAGAGACACGCCCCACCCCTGAGGCCCAGAGCACATACTACATGGTCTCATCGAGGCCCTTTAAGGAGAGAATACAAGACTACCCCACTGCCCCACGTCAGGACAGACAGGTGCCCTCCATCTCGCACCCACTCGGCCCCTGTGGGTGCCGCCAGGGAAGGATCAGGATGGTTGGGCCTTGGAAAGCCAGGAAGCTGCCTGGAGGAGGGGGCTGTGGGAGCAAGGGGCCTGGCATTGTTCCAGAGCCTGGCAGCTGGGAGACAGAGAGGCAGAGAGGGGGGCGGCTGCACCAGGAGGTGGACAGGACACACATCTGGGAGGGCAGCTAAAGGGCCAAAGGCACACGTGGGCCGGCAGCTGCAGTGGGAAAATCATGGTGGGGGGAAGGGAGGTAGGTGTGACTAGAGAGTAGCTGGGGGTCAGGGGAGTGGCTGGGGGTCAGGGGAGTAGCTGGGGGTCAGGGGAGTGGCTGGGTGCCAGGGCAGAGCTCAGTGCAGGTGCGGGCAACTGCTCTGAGGTCCTGGGGCTACTACATTGGCTGTGAGAGGAACAGGGAGTCCCGGGGGGACCCTTGGAGGCTGCTGCCCTGCTCAGCACCCTGGCTCTGTGCTCCTGGCGCCTCACCAGAGCAGTTCCCAGTGAGGCAAGGCCGGAAGTGGCCGTCCAGCCGTGTGCAGGGGGCGCCTGTCCCGGCCCCGCCGGGCACTGGGCCCTGGTGTCGGTAGCGCTGCTGCACCAGCACCTGGCAAGAGCAGCGCGTCCAGCTGCTCCAGCTGCTCCACACACACTCCTCTAGGGACAGGAGGGGGGCGTCAGCTGGGGCCTCCCCACTGCCTGCCCTCCTCGCTCAGCCCAGCCCTGCCAAGACCCTGCACAGGACGAGGGGCGTGAGGGACCCAGAAAGGCCCAGATGGCTGGATTCCTTCCCACCCGCCAAGGGCTCCAAAGGAAGAAATGGTGGGAGGAGGACACGAAACAGAGCAAAATGTTAGAGGGGGCGCAGATGAGAGATATAGGTATATTTGGGGGGATCTCCTGGGAGCTGGGAAAATATATACTATTCCCTGAATTTCCCAACGTAGGAAAAGAGGGGAAGGGGCTTCACCCCCCGTGCACACTCACCCAGGCAGGGCCCTGGGTAGCAGGCCCGGGTGTCCAGGTGGGGGAAGGTGCCGTTGCAGGTGGAGTCTGCCTCAGCCAGCAGGCAGGGGCAGGACCCAGGGCGAGAGGCCAGGCCTGGGCCGCAGCTGCGGGAGCAGGGCCCCCACGGGCCCCAGGAGCAGGCCTCCAGCAGCTGCCAGCAAGGCTGCTGCCCACAGCGCTGGGTCTGGGTGTTGGGGCCCAGGCAGGCTGGGGCCACATGGCCAGGAGTCGGGGCCACACAGGCCCGGCTACGGACCCGGTTTCCACCTCCACAGGAGACAGGGCAGTCGGACCAGGGGGACCACAGCATCCAGGCCCCAGGCTCTGTGGGAGGGCACAGGTGAGGCGAGGGGAGGCAGGGGGGGCAAAGGCCAGAGGGCTGGGGGGCACCTTCACGGCCCAGGGACTGGCAGTGGGCTGGAGAGAGAGGGGGGAACATGGGACAGAGCAGATGGCAGGCAAGACACATGGCTAAGAGGGTTGGGGGCGACCTGCGACTCCCAGACCTGCGCACTCAGCGGTGTCCTTGCAGATCACGCCCTCTGGGGTGCAGGAGCTGGGGGGAGCCCGGACTCAGGACCTTACTCTCCAGCAGGATGGTCCCGGCCGCCCTCCCTGGCCTGCACTTACCACTGCCCACACTTGCCCTGCAGCCAGCTGTCCCCCAGGGCGTGGGGGTGAGCACCCTGCAGGCACAGGGGCGGGCATGGGGGCTGAGGGCAGGGACGGCTCTGGGACTGCTCCTCCCGACACTCCGGGGCCCAGGAGCCTGACGTGGAGGACCTGGGCGGGGCCGGAGCAGAGGAGGTGAGAGATGGCCTCCATCACTCCCCTGCCTCCTGATGAAACACCCCACCGGGAAACCCCAGGGTGGGCATGGAGGGCAGCTAAGGAAAGGCCGGGGTAACCAGGGACGGAGCTGGGTTGGGGCACAGCGTGATGCAAAGCGACTGGTGAGGGCAGGACCCAGGCACTCTCTGTCAGAGGGAGGCCCAGCCAGGCAGAGGGGATATCTAGCCTCGCCCAGCCCCATACCGGAAGCGGCTCTGCTGCCCTCTGGGACCACACGAGTGGCTGCAGGGACTCCAAGCTGACCAGCGGCTCCAGGCGCAGTGGGCAGGAGGTGGGCAGGGCTGAGCCGTGCAGGAGAGCTGCCCGGCCTGGCACGAGCAGTTGTTGCAGGCGTCCTGGTGCTGGCTGCCTGGGGCCCAGCTGCGGCCCTGGGCATCTGTGCACTCGCAGTGCCCAATCGGCACGCAGCCACCGTCCTGCTCCAGGGATCCTGTGGGGAGACAGCCCTCCAGGGCTGGCGCTGGCACCTCCGGGCCCCACCCGCCTTCCCACCGAGCTGTGCTGATGTGCCTGAAGGGCCAGGCAGCACCTACCCTCAGAGCAGCGGCAGCCCCGCTGGCAGGCCTGGTCCTGACACACGATTCCCTCCTGGAGGTCTGAGCAGCGGCGGGGGCAGCGGTTGGCACAGGCGACCACCTCCATGCCTGCTGGGCAGCCCGCCTCTGAGCAGAGGGGGAGGCCCAGAGTCAGGAGGGCCCTGAGCCCCAGGGTTCAGAAACCCTCCCTGTACCCTGTGGGACCCCTTACCTTGGTGAGACCCTGGGATTGCGCCACACTAAGCAGTGAGTTCCTCTCACCTACCTGTGGCTTCTCAGCACCCAGCTTGGTACCCAACCAATGCCGAGCTGGACTGAATCCGTGCTTCTCAAAAGCCAACATTCTCCCCAGAGCCCCTCCTGTTCATCCAGAGGGGTGGGGCGCGTCCGGTGAGGGTGGGGTAACCCGAGCCCCTGGGGTTGGTGAGCTCAGGAGGACCAATTACAGAAGGCGCTGAAGTTCAGGGGAGATGGGGAGTGGGGCGCAGGGCTCACTGTGGCCTGCCTGGCCCAGTCCGCATCCCACAGCACCAGGTACGCGCCTGACTGACGCTGTCAAGTCCCCTGAAAATCTCGACATGGCTGGTGGCTCTTCAGGAACTGCGGGGCTGAGAGGAGCTCCCCCCGGGGTGGGGTGGACAGGGGGTGGGCCCCTGGGCCTTGGCACAGACAACACACACAGGGAGTCCTTGACCAACATGAGGCCCAGCCATCTCCACCTATGGGGCCCAGTTTTCTTAACTGGCCAAGGAGGTGGCAGCCTGTCTCCCTCCCCATCGCATGGTTTTGTGTGTGAAGTTAGAGGCCGGGTGGGGAGAGCTTCGCAGCCCAGGAGGGATGAGATGTGGCTGTCACCATTGCCATACCACAGGGCATGGGATTGCAGAGCCGGACGTGGTGCCTCTCCCCGACACAGGGGGCACCCCCGTTCTTGGGTGGGGGGCTCGAGCATCTGCGGCTCCTCAGGGACTGGCCCCCCCCACAGCTCCGGTCACACCAGGACCAGGGGCTCCAGCGCGACCAGCCCCCAGGCACTGTGTGGGACAGAAAATGGCTACATGAGGCGTTGGCTCAGGCAGGGGGTCCCCACATGTGCCATGAGCCTGGGCCAGGGTCCAGGGCAAGAGATGAAAGTGACACACTCTGGCAGACGGGTGCCCGGGAGGGGGCACTGATGCCAGGGACCTCCCATGGGGCAGGGCCAGACCCGGGACACGCCCTGGTCCTCCCCAGCCCACCTCACCTGGGCAAGCACGCAGGTTGCAGAAGCGGCGCTCCTGGTAGGCAGTAAGGATGTCGGGGCACCAGTGCCCGCCAGGCCCAGGGGGGCGGTACGCCCGCAGGCGGCGCTGCTGGCCCACCCCACAGCTGCGGGAGCAAGGTTCCCACGGGGCCCAGGAGGTCCAGGAACAGTTCCTGGCCCCACAGTCAGGGCCGGGGCACAGGAGCACCTCTGCGGACAAAGAGGATTCCCTCTCACCCACCCCAGCCGCGTGGGATCCGCCCAGCCTCCCTGCTGGCTCCAGCTCAAGTGCGACCTCCTCCACCCGGCAGCTGTGACCTCATCCAGAGGCCCCCACTCTGCACCTGATACTGGTGTGCGGCTCTGGCATCTGGGCCTCAGTGTCCCCTTTTTCTCACAGGGGACAGTAATCCCAGCACAGAGCTGCCAGGGGATTTGGGGCGGACCTGGGAGAGTGCTCAGCACACACACGTGTGAGGCCCGAGGGATTTGTGGGAAGCTGGCAGGGCTCCCACAGCTGCTGGGACAGCAAAGGGGGCCCAGTGCCCGGAGTCAGATGCTGAGATCAGATGTCAGCGTCAGAAATCAGTAATTGCTTGAGGGGTATCAGATGTTGGGGCTGGGGATTGGACACCGGTGTGGGGTTAGAATGAGTCGTTTGAGGGTGGCAGCTGGGGTCAGAGGTCGAGGCTGGAAGGTGCACCTGTGCACGAGGGCAGGTTGCAGGCGCGCTCCTGCCAGGAGGTCCCCGCAGTGCAGTTGGCCAGGCAGAGGCGGGTGCGGCTGCGCCAAGCAGGGTGAGCAGGGTCTGTGCAGCTCCGGGAGCAGGGCGACCACGGGGACCAGGGGCCCCAGCCACCTGTGGGGGTGAGGAAGGCGCACTTGCTGATGAGTCAGCCCTGAGCTCGGCCTCCACAGGAAGCAGGTTGGGGGAGGAGGCCCTGGGCTTGCTTTTCCCCAGAGGGAGGCCGGGGGAGATGTGCAGGGGTTCTGGGGCTACCTGGAAGGCCTGTCACCGGCTCCACGGTGGACCCTTCAGCCCCTGTGCCAAAGAAAACCCTGCTCAGAAATGTTTCCAAGCCCTCAGTGCCCCAGGACCATGCCCAGGCTGATGGCTGGCACCCCTGTCTGGCCCAGCCTTCCCTCAGCTGGAGCTCCTATGGACATTCCAGGCCCCAAGCACAGCACTTCCTTGCGGGGGCCAGGCCTTTGCTCAAGCCGTTCCTGCTACCTGGCACTCCTTCTCTTCCAATCTCGACAAAGTCTTCTCCATCCCTCAAAACCCCTCAGATACTGCCTCCTCCAGGAAGTCCTCCTAGACTGTCCCTCTAGGAGAATTCTCTTCCTCCTTGATTTTCCACAGCACATGCGCCTTCCTACAGGGCTCACCATATGCTGAAATGGGTTGTCTGAGCCCCTGGATCCCAAGGTCAGGGGCCTCACCGCCCCCAAGCACACAGTATGGCGCATTTGGCAAGAGCTCCAGAAATGTTGGCTGAGTGTACCTGAACAGAAGAGAAATCTAGAGCTAGAAGGTGAAAAGAAAAAAGATCCAGAGACAGCAACAGAGAAGGACAGACAGGAAAGGACAAAGGGTGGGCGGAAGACGACCAGGCCAGCCAGACACTTGCCCACCACCCTCCTGCTGTCCTTACCAGGGCAGTCTGGGCTGGGGCAGTACTCGAGGTCCTGGTGGGGCCCATGGCAGCCCTGGTCACCGGGAGTGGACATGGGAAACGCACACTGGCGGCTGCGGGTGCGGGTGCCCAGCCCGCCACAGGAGCGGGAGCACGGACCCCACGGGCCCCAGGGACTGAAACCGCCGTGGGCCCTGGAGCAGTCCTCCAGGGAGCAGGACAGCTTCCCATGTGCGCAGGAGCTGGGGACAGGGCGTCGGGTGAGGTGCAGGCAGGAGGGACCGGGCGAAATGTGTGGGCAAGGGGCTTGGTCCCGAAGGGTGAGGAGGTGGAGCCAGGTTGGCCCAGGCCAGGAGAGGGGCAGCGGCAGACCAGGGCACCCCCCACACCGCCTGCTGTCCCCGCTCCCTCAACCCAAAGTCTCCCCCACCCTTCCCAGCCCAGCCGCCACCCTTGTCCCCCTCACCAGTTGCTGCAGCCTGTACGAAGTGTCTGGCCTGAGCCCAGCTCATCTCCAGGCCCAAGGGGCTGACCCCCGTCTCCCAGAAAGGGGTGCTGCACCCCAGGGTTGCCGCTGGCGGCTCCCAGCTCCCGCAGCAGCGAGGCTGTCAGCGCGCAGGGGCACTCCTGGCGGGGCGGGCAGAGAAGAGACACACTGGCACAGGCACGCATCTCCAGAGAGCCTCGGGGATGGGTGGGGGAGGACGGGGTGGGCACCTGGAGGAGGGCTCTGGCCCCAGGAAAGCATTTCTGGGAGCAATGGGGCTGTTCGCCTGAATGCACCACGAGAGGTGCGCGGGCCACAGGCTTGACCCAAGATGGCCAGCCCCCTTCCCTGCGCAGAGCGCTTAGCAGGACACAAGCAGGTGTCAACGAAGGCCCTTAGAAGACAGGACTTGGCAGGAAGTGGAAGGAGCCTCAGCCAGGAATCCAGACGTCTGAGTTTGGGACTGCCTCTGCCGCTAACTGTCTGCAGGACCTTGGTGTGTCCCTTCCTCTCTATGGGGCTCACTGTCATTATCTCTAAGTGGAGGAGGCAGGACCAGGTGGCTGCTCTGCCATGCCTCTGGCCATGGCGTTCTGGAGCTCTGGCTGGGGGAGGCCACTGGGATGCCAGCCTTGGGACTAGGAAAGGAATCCCTGGGTGCGCGTCAGGCTCGGCAGAGCAGAATTGGCACCTGCCTGTCGTCTGGACCCACAGTGGGAGACAGAGGAGTCTGCGCCAGGTAGAGCGAAGGTGAGGAGTGCTTTCCCACAGGGGTGCGACAGGGAAAAGAGGGGCCGTGAAAACCCACGTCCCTGTGGTGGAGGACGAGGGAGGGGAGGCTATGGGGTGGAGGAAGCCGTGGGGGCCTGGCAGGAAGCCACCCTCTGCTGCCAGGACACATGGCAACGCTTGGTGGGGGCAGCGTCAGAGCCCTGTGGGCAGCTCTGAGCCGAGATGTGCTGGAGGAGAGCAGCGGCCCAGGCAATGTCCCTGGGTGGCAGGTGGTCCCCATTCCCTGGGAGCCAGGGACCCTGGGAGGCTGCGTCACCCTCCTGTCCCCTGAGGGCTCTAACTCTGCCTGCCCCTGGAGCTGGCAGCAGAGGCCCTGACAGCCTCTTGAGCCCATGTGCTGTCTAGGGTCATGGGAGGGAGGGTGACCAGTCCAGAGGCCACAGGGTCCACAGGGTGACAGGTGAGGGGTGGACAGGGCTCCAGGCTCCTGGCTGGCTGGGTTCTGACCTGGACACAGGCCAGGCGGTGCTGGAAGGTGCCCTCGGGGCAGTGGCAGCCCTCCTCGCAGCCATCGGAGAAGCAGTCCACCTGCTGTGTGACGTGGGCGCAGGAGAAGGGACAGCCCTCGCCGGGCTGGCACTCTCGGTACAGGCGGCCGGCCGGGCAGCCTGCCTCTGAGGCAACAGCCGTGTCAGTGCCCAGCTCCCACCGCCTCTCCGCCTACCTCTGAGCCCCCCTTTTCTGTGCCCCAGGGGCAGTGCCCGGCCCCTGCCCTGGCTCCCACAGGCCCCCCCGACCTGGCTGCTTCCGCTGCCGCCTTCGCATCACTGGCTGGGGGAGGGACGGGGCAGGGGTGGGGAGGGAGAGCCCAGAAGGCACCTATGAACCAGGGTCAAGGCTGGGGTGGGAACAAAAGGGCAGCGGGGTGCTGGGGCCAAGCTGGCCGGGCTCACCTCTGCAGACCTGGGTGTTGCACACGCGGCTCTGGCGGGCAGGCCCCGGGCAGGGGGGCCGGGCGCAGCGCCTGGAGCGCAGCTGCTCCCCTCCCCCACACGAAACGCTGCAGTCCTCCCAGGGGCCCCAGGAGCTCCACATCCCAGGGCCGGGACAGCTGGGCACCTCCTGGCATTGCAGGATGCCTGCCACACAGGTGCTGGGGACAAGGAAGGGGGCTTCAGAGGCAGGGCCCAGCCCACCCCCCTGAGGCTCTGCCACCTGGCTACAAAACCCACCCCCTCTGGTTTACCAGTTGTCACATGGCCCAGTCACCACCTCTCCCGGTTCCAGGTTCTCCCAGGAGCTGAGCCCAGACCCTGCCAACCGGCTCTGGTTCTCGGGGATCCCTGAGGGGTACAGGAGTCAGGGTGAGGATTCCAGATGGCTCAGCAGCCCCATGAACCCCTCCTCCCACCCCACTACTGCTCTCCCTATCAGCTTCCACCCCATGGTGCCCTGTGTCCTGCCAAGGGAGGTGGAAGCTCCAGCCTGGACCAGCGGGAGTCAGCGGGGATGTCAGGGGATGCTGGGGGACACCAGGGAACGCCCGGGCATGCAGGAACAGACACTAGAGCCTGGAGAGCTGGAGGGGCAGCTGCCCCTTCCCATCCTGCAGCCCAGGTTGGGCCCCACGGGCAGCTGCGCCGGGCCGGGCAGGGTGGGCTGCGGTGCTAGGGGCTGGTGGGCAGGGTGAGGGAGCCACTGACCCCTGGCTCCAGGCTGATACTGGCAGCGGCAGCGGGCCGGGGGCACACAGAGCCCGTCCTGGGAGAGCTGGCCGGGGGGACACCCACAGCTGGGCTCACAGCCGGTCGGGCCTGGCTGGCACACACTCCCGGGGGACAGGTCCTGGCAGGAGCGGGGGCAGGGCTGCCCGCAGGGGAGCAGGCTCTGGCCACCCCCGCAGTCTATGCAGGAGGGAAGGAGAGAGGTGGGTGCTGAGGGGCCACCCTGAGGGACTCCCAGCACTCAGGTGACCAGCCCTCCTGCCTCAGCCACCCCCTGCTCAGACCTGCCACCCTGCCCAGGTCTATGGGTGAGAGACCGGAGCACTGCCCTTTGAAGAGAGTAATGTGTGTGTGTGTCGGGGGAGTCAGAGGTCAAAGTCAGCATCTCCCCAGACTCAGAAGTGCGCTCCCAGATCTCTCCAAAGCCCTCACCTGTGCATTGTGTGGAATTGTCCTGACAAGGGCGACTCTGTGTGTGGCCCCCAGGGCAAGGCCTCCCTCCCTCAGGGGTGGGGGGCTGGCTGCACTCCCGGCTCCGTTGTGACTGCCCCAGGCACGCGTCGCAGGGAGACCACAGTCCCCAGGGGCTCCAGGCTCCGTCCACTGTGCCAGGGAGAGAGACTCATCCACTTTAGGAGGCCCAGGAGGCCCCAGGTTATTGGGGTTGGAGCAGAGGTCGGGGGCCTTTGCAGGGGGCACAGGCCTCGTGGGGACATCACACCTGGGCAGGCAGTGGGGCTGGGGCAGGCCTCCTTCTCACGCTGCGCCCCTGCCTCCCCAGCCTCCCCAGGGCACCGGGCACCCCCGTGCTGAGGAGCAGGGCAGGCGCAGGCCCTGGATCGGGTCCTCGTCTGGCCCCTGCAGGGCTGGGAGCACGCCGTCCACTCCAACCACGGGCACCAGCCGCCGGGCACTGCGAGGAGAGCAGCAGGCACTGGGTGCAGCCCAGCCCTCCCCCAGGCCCAGGCGCCCTCTGTGACCGGGGCCACTTCTCTCCTCCCTCCAAGCTGGGCAAGTACCTGGGCAGGGCAGTTCTGTGCAGTTCAGCCTCCCCTCCAGGCAGGTGCTGGGCAGAGGAAGCAGACATGGGGAGGGAGGAAGAGGCAGCAGCTCGGTCTGGCCTGTGCCCCACTCCCTGCACCCTCCTGGCTGCCTCTCCCCTCCCCTCACCCCTACACTCCCCAGTTCCCTCCCTCTAAGATTTAGGGTCTGTGCCCTCTCCCTGCTCTCCAGCCCCTCCAGAGCGGGCTCTCTGTCCCACTGAGCTGGCTTTCTAGGGTGTCACTGGCTGATGTGTTCTACTGGGGAGGGATCGCAGGCACCCTGCTGCCGACTGCATGGCCAGACAGGGGGAGCGAACGCCACATCTGCTGCCCCTCCTGCCCCCACCCCCAGCACTCGCCCACCTCCAGCAGACACACTGAGCTGGCTGTCTTCCCACCTATCAGACGGGTCATGGTACCTGCCCCGCACCCTCTTGGGGACTGTGGGGGGCTAATGTGACCATCAGCTGAGACTCCGGAGAGCTCAGGAGCACAGACTCGAGGTGGGACTATTCCAGCTGGCACCCCTCCTGCCATGCGCAGCCCCCCTCACCAGTGGTTGCAGCCATCGGGCCTGGCTAGCTGAGCCCCTGGACGGTGCCTCTGTCCGGTCAGCAGGTCCAGGCAGCTGCAGTGACCCGGGTGCACACAGACGGCCCCGTCGGCACTCAGCACCTGGCCCAGGGGGCAGTAGCAGCCGGGCTGGCAGCGCCACACGCAGTGCTCGGGGGACAGCAAGAGAGGGCTCCGGTCAGCAGACAAAGGGTCTGAGGGCTGGGACTGGGTGTCTCAGGGAGTCACAGACCACTCTGGAGGGAACGCGACCCAACAAGGAGGCTGAAGAGGGAGGAGGAGGGGGACAGAGGCGGAAAAGGAGAGGCTTGCTGTGTGACACAGTGTACGCCCTGAGGCTTCAGGAAGGGCAGGCAGGGAGGGGCCAGCCTCTGCGTTTCCATGGGGGTTCTGAGCCGGCCCCTCCCTGGGGAGCAGCCTGTCAAGAGGGTCTCTTCAGCTCCCCTGGGAAGTGGAACTGGGCCCGAGTGTTCCCCAAATGTGAAGCCCCAATCCTCAGGGTCGAGGGTTCAGTGGGTGACCCGGACCAACGACATCAAACCAGGCATGTCCCAGACCTCCCTGGCGCTGGCCGGGTGAGGGAGGCGGTTTGGGAAGGAGCTGGGAGCCCTTGGGGGCTGGGGGCCGGGCACCACCTGCAGCGACTTTCCCCGCCACTCCTCCTCCCTCTCTGAGGCTGGGCGCCTTCCCAGGCCTCCCTGTGACAGCTCCCGCCCAGGCCTCAAAGCTCCACTTTATTCTTCCCAGCTCTTGTCACATGGTCTGTTCTTTGAGGTGCGTCTGTCTTCGTCACCCTGGACTAGGCTCCATGGGGGCCGGGCCCTGTCATGTGTGTCTGTGAGCCTGGGATGCTCAGTGGATACCCACACAGAGGCAAGGTCTGCACACCCAGGCGCTCGTGGAATTTCAGAGGATATAACGGGATGATTTCCCCCTTCCTACCATCTATGTTATTTTTGTAGTAACAGTTTTAATTTGAGGAATGTTTGATGTTTTGACGACAAGGGCCGCTGGGTGGGCTGGTTCTCTCTGGGCCGAGGGGGCCGGCCTGGTGTGTGCTGTGAGCCGAAGCCCAGGACCCCCACATGTCCCCTCCGGTGCTAGGCAAAAGAGGCATGAGCCCAAAGCCACACCCTGCCCTCCCGCAAAGTAACTCTCGGGTCAGAGGTCAGGTGGGACTCACCACTAGGTCATCACAAGAGCGAGGACAGGGAGGGCCACAGGGGCTATACTTGGCCCCTTCGATGGCGGTGCAGTTGGTCACTGGGGGAAGAGGAAGGGCCGAAACCTGTGTCTCGCTCCCTGCGACGCTTCCTCCAGCTTCTCCTCCTCGGCTCCCAGACCGCCCCCATCCGCAGCAGTACCTGGGCACGGCGGTGCCTGGCAGGCCTCCCCCTGGGCGCGAGGCCCCTCGCAGTAATCCCCCAGGCCCTGGGGTGGGGGCTGGTCACAGGCTCGGGTCCGGCTCCTCAGGCCTCCCCCACAGCTCCGACTACAGCGGGACCAGGGCCCCCACGGACCCCAGCCCCCAGCTCCTGGGGGGACAGCAGAGGAAGGAGTGGGGAGGGGCATGGCCAGGCCCAGGGTGGCTGGTGCAAGGCAGCGGCATAAACAGGACAAGGTGGGACAGTGGGTGCCACCCTGGGCTCCAAGGGAGGTCACTCACGGTCACACTCTGGCAGGAGGCACGGCTCCTCCTCAGCCTCGGGGCCTGGGCAGGGAGGCACGGGTGTGGCTGGTGGGGGCAGCGGAGCCATGCTGGATGGCGCTGCGCTGGGCGGCCTGGCACAGAAGCGGTGCCGGTGGCGTCGGGCAGGGCCGCAGGAGGCAGAACATTCGCTCCAGGGGGTCCAGGGTGACCACACGGGCTGACCTGTGGGGGAGACATGGGGGTGCAGGGAGCAAGCCCGGGCTGGGGAGGCTGAGCAGATGTGATGCCCCAGGAAGCACTCGGCCCTGCCCGCCCCGGGGGCCATCCTCCCCCAGCCTCCGCCCAGGACCCGCTGCCGGTGCGAGTCAGGAGTGGGGACCCTCTCACCCTCCTCACACGGCCGGGAGCTGCAGTTGGTGATGAGCCCAGAGACGCAGGAGCTGGGGGGCAGTGGAGGGTCAGGGAGTCCGGGGGCTGCACTGTGCCCCCCAGATCCGTAGGTTCAAGCCCTGGCCCCAGCACCTGCGCATGGGGCCTTATGTGGAGATAGGATCTTCACAGAGGTGATGGAGTTAAAGCGAGCTTGCTGGGGTGGGCCCTGACCCAGGGGAACGCGCATGCGTAGAGGAGGAAAGGCACATGCTGACAGGCACAGAGGGAAGGTGACGTGGACAGACAGGAGAAGACACCATCTACGAGCCAAGGGGGGCCGAAAGTCACCGGCAAACTACTGGGAGACAGAGACCTAGGCAGAGTCTCCCTCACAGCCCGGAAGGAGCCAGCCCTGCCAACACCTTGATCCCGGGCTTCCAGCCTCCAGAACTGGGAGCCCCTCAGCCTGTTGTTCAAGCCCCCCACCCACCCCATGTGTGGTGCTTTGTGGCAGCAACCGCAGGAAACTGCCACAGGTGGGCCGAGGGTACACAGGTGCAGCCTCGGGGGTGGGGCACGCCTCTCTGTGGCTGACTGGAGCCATTGTCCCCGCTGCCGAGGAGGGACGGCTAGATGGCTGGGTCCCCAGAGGTTCCAGGGCCATTGCAGGGTGGGACAGTGTCTCACCAGTTCTCACATGGACGGAGCACAGCACTGCCTGGGGCGTGGAGGCGCCCCCCGTGGGCACAGGGGCAGTCCTGGGCGGGCACACACACGTTGTTCTGGAATAAAAACCCTCTGTCATCTCCTGGCTGCCAGGTGGGCCTGGCCTGGCCTGCCCCCTCCCCAATCAGAGCCAGCACCCAATTCCTCAACTGGGGCTCCCCTCAAACACCACCCACCCTCCTTCTACAAACACCCAGCTCTCCCCGCTCCCTACTGGCAGGCAAACGCAGACCACTAGCCTTGGGCGCTGTGGGGGCATGGACCCTCCGATTTATGGGAGAAAAATACCGCCTCTAACTGCAGGACATGAGACTAAACTGTCAAATGCCCGTGAAATCAGCTATGAACATAGGAAACTGTATAATTCCATTCGTACAGGAACAGTAAAAAAAGCCCACATTTTCACCAAAATAACAATGCAGAAAGACACTGCGCGTTGGAAGTATGGACAGAAATTATTCAAATTGAAAAGAAACAACCATCTCGTAGCACGTGATCCAAGGTCAAAGGTACTAAAATTTAGGGGAGCGCTGTTCCTACACCACCTCACTGACTCCCGTGACTAGCACAAATCTACCCCATTTCACAAAGGAAGAAACTGAGGCATGAGACTACTCAGTCAAAGCTCGTAGAGCTACTACTAGGAGGAGCCTGATTGGGACCCAGACCCAGCTAGAACCTGTCCCTTAACCATGCCCCGTGGCTGCACAATGGCTCTGTGACCCTTTGCTCAAACTCCACCACGCAGCCGGCACGTCCCAGCCACGTCCCTGCTCTCCACACTCTCCAGTCTCTGATGGTCAAGCTAGGACCACCAGGAAGCCCTCCAGGACTGGCGCAGCCCACTTCACACGTGCAGAGCTCACTTCCTGCCCTTTGGTGGTGCCGTCCTTATCCTGGTTCCCAGACTGGGTGCTTCTGGAGGGGAGAGATTGCTTTTCCCCACAGTGTAGCCCAGCCTAAAACTGAGCATACAGTAGGTGCTCAGTAAATAACCAGTGATAACACAGAGGACAGAGCCCTTGAGCAGGGATGACTCATAGGACCTTCTAGACTGATTGCCATTTTATGATGGAGAAAACAGAGATCCAGGGAGAGATGACTGAAGCTTGCCCAGGGCCACCTGCTCTTCCTGCTGGAGCTGGGCCATGGCCCCTGAGTGCAGTGCCTTTTCCTCAGCTCTGCAGGGTCTCCCTGCCTCTAGCCCCACACCCTTGCCTCTGCCTCTGCCCAGGTCCCATCTGTCCCTTCCCTGCCACCCCAGGGTCCCTAGGCCCCAAGGAGGTCCCAGCAGTGGCCAGGCAGACGCACCAGCAGGAGCATTCCAGGGGGGCAGTAGCAGCCAGGGTGGCAGGTCTGGTTAATCCCTCTTGGGGCGCCGAGCTCTGCACAGGAAGCAGGGCCCTGGGCACAGTCCAGCCACAGCTTGCCCCTGGGACACATGCCAGGCACTGGCCCTAGGGACACAGAAATTGACAGCCCTCTCAGCTCTCCCCTGAGCTCCCAACCTGGGAGAGGCATCAGCTCTGGGCACGGCCGGGGCTGTTGTGGGGGCTGCAGGAGGGCTGAGGGACAGGGCTGTGCTGGGGTGGCAGGGAGGGGGTTGACAGTGCCATGAGTTCATGGGGATGAGAACGGGAGGGTCCACAGGGCAGCCCTCACCTGCACAGGGCTCCAGGCCACAGGTGGAGAACTCCATGGGGCTGTGCAGGCCACTGCCTAGGGTGCGGTTCCTGTAGCCACCGCCACAGGGCACAGAGCACGGAGACCAAGGGCCCCACTCCCCACTGGGACCTGGGGGTGGCACCAGTCACTGCAGGTCCTGCCTCCCATGCCCAGCACACCTCCTCCTCCTCCCACCCAGGCACCCTAAGGCCTTCTGGCCACCTCACCTGCAGCATCATTTCCCACCTCAGGGGACCTCACGCCTTGGGAGGCTTGGGGATTCAGCCCAGAGCTGGGCTGGCCTCTGGGGAGGATTTGTGGCTACTCGGGAGGGGGGTCTCTGTTAGGAAATGGACTCTCAGGGGTCTCTGGGGACCATCTCTCAGTGGCATCTCTTAGGGAAGTCTTTTGCACCTCTCAGTGGGTCCTGGTCGGGGGGGATGGGAATATTCTTGGCTTTGCTCTAGAAGGTTCTTCAAGGAGGTCTCAGGACCTCATCCCAGCTCTTACCTCGACATGGCTGCAGGCTGCAGAATTCAGCCTCCATGTTGGGACCCTGGCACTCAGCACCCCCAAAGGCAGCTGGGGGCGCAGTGCCTGCCCGGAAGCGCCTCCGAATGCCCACGTTACAGCTGCGGCTGCAGAGACTCCATGGGGTCCAGGGACTCCAGCCACAGGCCACTGCCACGGTGGGGGTGGGGCAGGGCAGTATGTGTGAAAGCAGGCATCCTGCACCCTAACTTCCCCGGGCACCAGCACTCCCAGGAGTTTCTCTCTGGAGGGTCCCCAGTCCCCCGTGGTCCCTGAGGACCCACCATTGCCCGGCCTGGGCCCCAAGCACAGGTACCTGGGCAGAGCTCCGAGGTACACTCCATCTCGCCAGAGATACAGGTGCTGCAGAGAGAAGCCCGTGGGGCCCGGCCCGTCATGCCACAGTCAGCCCCTGCCCTGGTAGCACTGTGTGCCCGCCCCGGGGACGCCACGGGACCACCACGACCACCACGTAAGGGAAACCCGAGAGTCTGGGAAGTGAAGCGCGTTGCCCACGTCCCATGCGAAGTTCATGATGGACCAGGAGCCTCGCCCAGGGCCCCCACGCCACCCCAGTGAGCTTCCCCATGCCCTAGGCACTGTGCTGTCCTTTTGTCCCCTGGCTTCATCAGTAGTCACCTTTTCAGACTTTTTATTCCATGTGAACTTACTAAACACTGTTTAGAAATGACCTGGAGCGACAGGGCCAGGTAGGAGGGATTTAGAAGGAGCAAGAGTTCTCCTCGGAGGGAGAACCGGGTGCTTTTCCTCACTGTTAGTTCTTTTCAATACATGTTTTAAAACCTGTTTGCTAAATACTGGAGGCTCCAGAAAAAGAATAGAGATAAAAAGCAAGAGAGAAACAGATGGGAAGGAAAAAAATGAAGAAGGAGGGAATTGAGGGAGGGGATAGGGGATAGAAAAGAAAAAGGAAGAAAATGAAATGAAATGAAAAAAAAAAAAAAGAGGGCAGTGGGTTAGCGCGCCCTCTGCTGGCGGATCGTGGTGTCAGCTTTGAGTACCAGGCACTTCAAGGTTTCTGAGCAGAAGCAGGTGGATCCCAGGTAGGGAGGTATGCTCAGGAAAGAGGAGCAGAAGAAGCTGGGAGGAGGGACGAGAAGCCCCTCTCCAGTCTCTAGTTCCATCATAAGTTGCTGCATCAACGTGAGACCTAGTCTTCCCATAAGTCAAACGGGGATGAGCATCCCCAACAGACGCCACCCAAGGCCAGGCAGGACCTCATTCATTTATTCCCAGGGTCCATGTCTGGCACCCATGGCTGCTCTGATGTGCTTGGGCAATGGGGGCTTGATGACCCCCCAGGGTGTGTGTGTGAGAAAGAGAGAGAGAGAGCCTGTGTCTGCCCACCTCTGGAGCCACCACCCAGCCCCTCCCTGCCCCTGGCCCCCAGGCTGTGGCCTACCAGTTGTTGCAGGAGTCCAGGAAAGCCACCGCTCCTGGCACGTAGAGCTGCCCGTGCAGCTGGCAGGGGCACTGGCTGCGGGGCAGGCAGCTAGCGTTGTGCAGGAAGAGGCCAGGGGGGCAGGTGCAGCCAGGGACGCAGAAGCCTGTGCACTCCACCCCAGGGTCCTGCGCCAGGCACAGCCGAGGGCACGGACCACCCTCCTGGCGACACTGATCTGCTGAGCGGAACACCATGTTCCCTGGGCACTGGGCTGGAGGGGAAGACGGAGCAGGTCTCAGCAGGAGCAGGAGGGAAGGGAAGGGTGGAAGGGAACATGCATGCAGGTGACTGGGCAGCAGCCTGTTGGGCAGGACGGAGCCTGAGGAAGCCCCCCTCCTGCCCACCCACCCTCTCAGGCTGGCTCCAGTGTCTGGGATGTCACCAGTGAAGAGTTACGGCTTTGCTCCACTTTAATGCAAATATTCTTGAGAACAGAACAAGAGGACCCCAGTCATCTGGGATGGGGGAGGGCTCAAAGGACAGGGGAGAGTGAGGAAGGGGGCTGGGGCTTCTAAGGGCTGGCTCTGCTCCAGGCAGTTCTGCCGAGGGAAGACCAGCCTGGCTCCCTCGGAGAGGCCTGTTCTCCCAGGAGGGAGGCCTGCCGCCATCAAAGGGAAGAGCTAAGAGCCTCCTCAGCAGGTGGGAGAGGCTGAGAGCCAGAGGAGACACAGGAAGTCCCCCAAAGTTCCCCTGAGCTCAAGGCATCGCCTGTCCTGGCTCAGAGGGCAGTGATGCGTGAAGGCGAGGGTAGGGAAAAGGCCCAGACCCCAGGAGCTGGGCAGGAGGGCAGCTGGAGAACGGGGTGGGAACTGGTACCTGTGCAAGGCTGCGTGTTGCAGTCCCTGGTCTGACTGTGGGGCCCCTGGCAGGCGGGGTCCCTGGGAGCCGAGCCAGAGCAGCTGCGCCCACGGGTCTGGATGCCTCCGTCACAGGGGGCCGAGCAGGGGGACCAGGCAGTCCACAGACCCCAGACGCTGGGCTCTGTCGGGAAGAACCGAGCCCAGGGTCACAGACACAGGCAAAGGCGTGGGTTCAGGATGGGTGCAGGAGGGTCGGGGCTGAGTAGCATGCAGGGTCTTAACTGCAGCCTCCAGCTCCCACCAACGTCCACACCTCTAGGGTGTCCCAAACACTGCATCAGGCAGCCCACTAAGTTAACTGTGTGCTGGCTTCCTGGGAGGATGGCTGGGGTGGGAAGAGGCTTAAGCACAATGGCCAGGTGTGCTCCCACCCTCGCCACCCCCAGGCGTTTAGAACCAGCTCAAGGGGTCTTCCTTTATTCCCCATCCCACCCCTCTGCCTGGGACATACCTGGGCACACAGGGGGGCTGCAGGGCTCCTCCTGGGTGGCCTCTCCTGGGCAGGATGTGTCTCCGGGGCTGGGGCAGAGCCGGGAGCGACTGCGCCAGCCGGGGCCCCCACCAGGGGCAAGGCAGCTCCGGGAGCAGGAGGACCAGGACGTCCAGGGCGTCCAGCCCAGCGCCTCTGGGGAGAAACAGGATGGGCCGATTGCACAGGGTCCCTGGCAGGGCTGGGAGGGGTTGGGAGCCTGGGTCAGGTCTGGGAAACTGGAGGGCAGTGGGCAGGGAGCAACTCATGAGGACAGGGAGTGCTGCTCTGGGCTCAGGGTGCTGCTTCTGCCCCTCAGCTCCCTGGGGCCCCCGCTCTCCAGCCCACTTCTCATGCTCAGGAGCCAGGAGCGGAGCTTTCCCTGAGCCTGGGCCCAGCCACATCCCACAGCTCTCTCCTGCGCCTGGCTGGCACCTCCCCAGGACCAATGCTCACATCTCCCCGGGGTCAGCTCTTACTTCTGTACTGGAAACCTCAGAGTCCCCGTGGACGCCTGTCACTGTCCTACCAGCCACTCTACACCAGCTCCTCCTTCCCTCCTGCTGCTAGAGCCTGTCCAGACCCCCTGGATCACCTCCTGGACGACCTCCTCACCCCTGCCCAGCTCTCCCTGCACACCCGTGAGGCTCTACCTGCTCTGCAGACCCCTCTGCTGGCACCGGCACTGTCTGGGGGCGCCCAGTTCGTGCAAAGAGGGAACAGTCTGGCCCCTTCCTCTGGCCTCTATGTGCTCCTGCCTGCCTCCCCCAGTCCAGCCAGCCTCGCCTCCCTCGCCTGGCTTTGCAGACGCCCACTCCACCCAGCATGGCCTGCTCGTGGGCCTGGGCCATCCGGGTGGGAGCCTCTGCCTATCCCCCTCAAGCCCCACCCGCCAGGGCCAGTTCAAGGGCTGCCTCTCGGGTCCCATCCCAGGACATGGAATTGGGAGGAGGAAGGTGAGCTCCTGGCTGTACCTGTCCCACACTCCGTGTGGCAGGCCTGCACTTCCTGCCTGTCGCCTTCACATGGGGCACCACCGGAAGCTGCCGGAGGGTTGGAGGGAGACCTGGGGAGAGAGAAGCCCTGGGCACCTGCTCTCCTCTCTCCCTGCGCTTCACTCTGCCCCCTTCGTCCCCTGTCCTCTCTCCACCCACCGCCCTCCATCCAGGGCCGGCCTGGTTCTGAGCCTCGCGCCCTCCACCCTCCTTCTCCCACTTCCTTCCGCCTCACACACCTGAACCTGGCCCGCACTCCAGAGCCACAGGAGCGGTCACAGGGAGCCCAGGAGGACCAGGCTGACCAGCCGCAGGGCAGGGGGCAGCCTCCTGGTTCACACAGCAGCACCCCCTTCTCACACATGCTGCAGGGCAGGGAGCGGCGAGCAGCCCATCAGGACCAGGGGGCCCAGGCCGGCGCCCTCCCCCGGCGCAGCCACCCTCACCATTGGCTGCAGTTGTCCAGGAGGAAGGACACCCCCGGCTCCTTCAGCTCTTCGCCCACGAGGCAGGGACATTCAGAGAGGGGCAGGCAGCGCGTGTCATGGAGGAGGAGCCCAGGGGGACAGCGGCATCCTGGGGCAGGGGTGGGGGGGTTGGGGGGAGAGCACTCAGCCCCAAGGCAGGCAGCAAGGGCGACTGGAGGGTGGGGACTGGCGGCCTGGGGGGGGCCCATGCTCCCCCATGTGCGGCTCTGCTCACCCTCCATGCAGCGCCCGCTACAGCTTCTGTGGGCCTCGGGATCCAAGCAGGAGGGTGGGCACGGGGGCACCAGCCCCTTCTGGCACAGGTCGGCACTCACGTGCACAAGGCCCAGCCCGCAGTCTGGTGGGAGGTGGGCACCAGTGGGCATGGGCACGGGGAGGCTGAGACCTGCCCCAACCATCCCACACCCATGGGCTCCCTCCCGGGGTGCCCCTGCCCCCAGACTGGCCCTCCCTACCTGTGCCACCTGTGCAGGGCTGCAAGCCGCAGGGTGCCCTCTCTTGGGAGGCCCCGGGGCAGGGGGCACCGCCGTTCTTGGGCGGAGGGTCCACACATCTCCTCCGGCGACTCTGATGGCCACCCCCACAGGAGACGCTGCAGGGTCCCCAGGCCTCCCACATGGCCCATGCCCCAGCCACTGTAGGGGAGGGAAGAATGTGGGTCCACCGGGAGGAGTCCGGGAGACACAGGCTGTGTTACAGAGAGCAGGGCTGGGGGAGCCGGGCGCCCGCCCCTCTAGGCTTGGGCAGGGGCTGAGACCCCGGGAACCCTGGAGCGGGTGCGCCTGGGGCAGCGGTAGGAGTAAGAACACCAAAGCCATGGTGGGAACCAGAGGTGGGGCTGGGGAGGCTCCCGATGTGGGGCGCCCCTCTCTGGAACACACAGAGACCGGTGGGGGATCCCTCCCTTGAGTTCACAGAGCAAAACGGCAACAAGGCCTTTGGCAATGGGGCCCAGGCGCAAGTGGCACAGGCCTCTCCCTTCATCCTCATGGCGCCTCCTGAGGCTGGAGTGACCGTTACCGGTTTGCTCATGAGGAAACTGAGACGCGGGCAGGAAAGGAGGGGCAGGTCAGGGAGCAGTGTTCCTGATGGGCCCTTTGGAGGTTCGAGGCTGAGACCTCAGAAAGGCACTGTCCCCTCAGAGTCCCAGAGACCGAGGCTGGACGCTGGGGTCCCCAAAGGAGAGCAGGACACTTCCCTGGCAAAGGTCTCTGATGGAAGCCCACCCGACCCCAGGTTTCCCATCTGAAGGCGCCTGAGCAGGCAGTTGGGGCGGGGTGGGGCCCCCCTTCCCTGTGGGCGCAGGAGCTCTCCTGGGGAGGCTGGACTGCAGGGTTACCTGGACAGGCCTGCACGAAGCAGGACTGGCTGCGCAGTCGGTCGTGGGGGCAGCTGCCCCCAGGTAGGGGAGGCCGCAGAAGCTCTCGGCGCTGGAAGGCAAGGCCCAGGCCACAGCTGTGGCTGCAGCTGCTCCAGCCAGACCAGGCCGCCAGCACACAGTCCACTGCAGGAGGACAGACGGGCCAGGGCTCGGTGGGGCTCACGCAGGAGTGGGGTCCTCAGGACCGCCCCCACTCCCAGCACATACCACAGCCATCCTCATCTGAGCCGTCCTGGCAGTCGGGCCGCAGGTCGCAGTGTCGCTCAGCGGGCAGGCACTCCCCACTGCCGCAGCTCAGCTGGCTCCGAGAGCAGAGGGCCCTGGAGGCCGGCAACTCCGGCAGGGCTGTGGTGGGCACCGTGAAGGGCACAGGGCTCGCTGCCCACGGGGTGGGAGGAGGAGCCACATAGTGATTATGGGCTGGACGACACCCTGAGTCCCTTCAGCCCAGGCCGAGAGCGCACACAGGGTGCTGACTGGAGGCCCTGGGCTCCCCTTCCTCCCCCTGCCTCCTGCAGCCGCACCCAGAGCAGGCTTCCTTCCACCGCATGTTGGTGAGAGCACAGAGTCTTTGGTCTGCACAGGCTCTCACATAGCCTCTCTGTACGTCAGAGCCCCTTGGAGTGTACACAGAGAGGTCAGGGCATCTAGAAGGGCAGTTCATTCCCTTGGGCACTCTCTTCCTGAATGCATACTTGCTGGGGTGCCCTTCCTGTGATTGCTTAACATTTGACTTTTCTTCTCCTGATCGGAAGACTAGGTTTTGATCATTGTGATCTATTTTTGATGGATGAATGGATGGATGGGTGGGTGGATGGATAGATGGGTGGGTGGGTGAGTGGATGGATGGATGGACAGATGGGTGGATAGATGGGTTGATGGTAGATGGATGGATGGATGGATGGGTGGATGGATGGATAGGTGGGTGGATGGGTGGATGGATGGATGGGTGGGCAGATGGATGGATAGGTGGGTGGGCGGATGGATGAATGGGTAGATGAGCCTCCTCAAGGGTTAGACAGGTTTCATAAAACAAGCTGTAACCCAAGACCTATCCTATTCCCCTTCCTCACCATCCCCAAAGACACACACATTCCCCATATTTTCACCCAGTCAGCTTCTCTCCAATCCCTGTTGTCCCAAGCCTCTCCCAGGTCCCTCCCATATGAGCTAGAAATGGGAGCAGGGACTACCCCACACGTCTTGCCACCCTCCCGCCACCGTGGGACAAGCAGACCCTCCAGGAGCTCACCACAGCGCCTCTCGTCGGAGCCGTCCAGGCAGTCCTCCCTGCCGTCACAGAGCTGCGCCTGCTCCACGCAGCCCAGCACCTCGCAGGGCACCTGGCCAGGGCTGCACTGCACGGGTGGGAAGGGCCTCGGGGCGACACTCTGGCCTGTGGGCACCAGCGCTCCAGCTGATCAGTCACCTGGCCTGCCCTGTCCTCCCTCCATGATCACCTCCCAGCAGTCCCCCTCTTGGCACCTGGTGTACCCCACTTTCTGCCTCTCTTGGGATAATGGAAAAGGAGTGAATTGGGTCTGGAGGCTTGGGTCCTAGGCCTGGTCCTCCCCAAAATGACCTTGAGGGGCAGCGTGGGCCATCTGGGCAGTGGGTTTGTCCTGGCTGTCTCCTCCCCTGGGAGATGCTGGGCACGCCACCTTGAGCTGTGTGACTTTGAACCAAGCAGTCAACCTCCCAGGACCCCGTCCCCTCACAGGGAAGTTGTTGGGCTCACGCAGGCTCTGCACGGACAGAGGGTTTGGAGCCTCACCAGCAGGGGTCAGCAGACTAGCTGGGTGTGGGAGGAGCACGGTCACAGCAGCCATCCCTGGCTGCCCGGTCCTAGCCTCCGTCTGGGGTGTGGCGGTGGTGGGCACTGTCTGCACGGATTCCCGAGAACTCAGGTGAAGAGCGATGGAGGCTGGGGCAGGACTCACGGGCCTCCTCTCTGTGGGTGGAGGAGGAAGAGAGATGAGGCCTGCCCAGCTCCCCTTCCCATGAGAGGACGCAGCATGGGCCCTCGAGAGCTGATCCCAGGCTTCTGGGCGGTGCAGGGTAATCGCAGGTACCATAGACTACACGCCACCTTCTGAAGGGTCTCAGATCAAAAAAGAAATGGGATTCGGTAGTCCAAGGGACACAAGAAGGATTTTAACTGAAAATAGACGACTTAGTTTTGATCTGAGATTTGTACTCTATTCTCAAGAAGACACATATAACAACTTCCAAGTTCCAATTCACTGTAAAATAACATATTTAGCAACAGAAAGGACTGAGGTTATTTAAACACAGCTAGTAGAAGGAGCAAACACTACCAGAGTCTCAGGACGAGCCCATTATTACTGCTGTAGAAAAAAAATACTTTTGAGCTTCCCTGCAGCTATAGTGAAAAGGGTGTGAAGAGTCTCGTTTTCTGGCAAGAGATTCATCTTCAAAAACAGCCATTTTTGTAGAGCCAGACTTAGAATGAGATTAGACTTCATCCCATGGGGCTACCTGTCGGGGACCTGAGGGATAGCCTAAGTTGCTTCATTTGCTCAGAAACACAGTCCGGCCAGGCTTCTGAACTTCCATCAGGACTTGCAGGGAGGGGCCGTGGAGGTTGTCTATAAGACCTCCTTTTCTCACAGATGGGGAAACTGAGGCCCAGGCAGGTGGTGCGGTGTGCCCGACATCTCCCAGGGGAGGAGAGAGCCCAGACAAAGCCACCGCCCTGATGGCCCATGCCGCCCCTCCTTCCTGGCTGCCCCTCTGTGAAGACAGCTCTCCTCTGGCTGAAGTGCAGGTGAATGAGCAGGTAGCGCCAGGAGGCTGATCACAACTGGGCAGGGAGCACCCTCCTTGTCTTGTTTACAGCGTGCTAACTAGGTGACCATCCGCCCCCATGTCCACGTAGAGAGATCTGCTGCCAGCCAACACTTCCGCAAGGGGGCACGCTGCACGGGCAGTGTGAGCAGAGGGAACGCAGGCCCGCGGCCAGGTGGCTTCCCACCCCCACGGGGAGGCAGCCACACTGTAGGGCACAGGCTCAGCCCTGGGAGTGGGCCTGGAGCCACCTACCCCACCAACCTACGGCCCTGGAACCCTAGAATCCCAGAGGGAGGGCAGGGGCAGGACCTGGCCGTGTCCAGGGTGACCAGTGTCTCCTCCCTGAGCCAAGCCTGCAGCTCTCTCACTTGGGGGAAGTCAGGGGTCAGGGGATGGGAACCTCTGAGATGCAACTGCCCCTTGCTCTGGAAGGGCAGGCAGGGATGGGGCTTCGGGGCGGGGCCTGGAGCTTGTGCACATACCTGTGGGGGGCGTGGGGGGCTCCTGCACGGGATGCCCGTGTTCAGTCCCCGCCAGACCCTGTGGAGGGAGAGGGCTCAGCGCCCCGTGCAGCCCTGGCTCCGAGGGCATCTCCTGCCCAGACACCAGCCTCCCATTCCCACTGAGGGTGCAGCTGGGGCACCCACAGTCCCACCGCCCTGCACTCCACCCTCCCTCTGCCTCCCCCGCAGCCCAGGGCAGAGCCGAGGATGGCGCCGACTCCTCTGCACTTGAGGTGGGCTACCACTCCCAAGTGCCTGCCTACGCTGCTCTAGGAGCTCAGGGACCCTGCTCTCACTGGCCCCCCCAGGTGACCCACTTCGGCTCTTGTCCCCCAAACTCCCCCGTCTCTGCCCGAACACAAGCACGCACGGGCACACGCACGGGCACACCCTCTGGGCTCCTGACCAGGCTGTTCCCTGAGGGAAGGTGCCCTGCGCTCTCCTCCATGCGATAGACACCCAACCCCCATCCTTCCAGCCTCGTCCAGGGAGCCCCTGGGAACCCGGGCACAGTGCTCTTCTGGCTCTGAGTATGGATGCTTTGGCGCCTGCCCCGTGAGCATCACCTCCCTGCCAGGGGCAAGGGTCTCTCTCATCCCCAAGTTCCTCCAGGCCAGCGCTCTGTCCTATGCTTTGTCCACCTCTGTCTGCCCCCAGAAGGCTCCTGGGCTGAAGGCCTGACTGAGGCAGCAGCAGGGCACACACGTCGGGAAAACGCTGCTAACATGCGCGGGGGGAGATGCAGACACACGAGCGGGGGCTCCCTGTCTACACCCTCTGGGCCCACAGCTGCCCACTCACCTCCCTGGGCTGGGTGGAGGAGAAGACCGGGGTCCGGGCTGTGGAACCGACTCTGGAAAGAAAAACAGCCACAGGAGTTCCAGCGGCTCCCCCAGCTCAAGAGCCCTGCGTCCAGGCAGCGGGCAGGGCCCTGGGCTGGGCCTGGGGGCTTGTGCCGGTGGGGCACTTGGGAAGGACACTGCCTGCTGAGGCTGGCAGAAGTGATGCCCCACCCCGAAGTCAGGGAAGGGCCCGAGAATCTGCATTTCTAAATGAGGTCCAGGTGCTGCTGATGCTGCACGTCTAGGAGCTACACTTGGAGAACCCCTGGGCCCAGATGCTATGAAAAAGGCACAGCACCCTAGAATCCCAGGCGGGAAAGGGCTCTGAAGGCACCCAGCGGCAGCTCCTCAGCACGCAGGGTCTATAGGTGCCTGAGGGGGATGAAGGCGGTGCAGGGGCCCTCCTGCATGGCTGCCCCCCTAAGAGCTGGGCAGGAGGCCCCACCGCACCTGGGAACGCAGCCCTCCTCATCTGAGCCGTCCCTGCAGTCTGCAGCACCGTCGCACGGGCCCCCTCTCAGGGCACACTCACCACTGGCACAGCGGTGTCCGGCCCCAGGGCACGGAGGCAGCGACGGGGACACTGTGGGGGGGCACATAGCTCAGGGCTGCTGACATGTCATGCCCCCTCACCCGCCTTGCCCACTCCCGGCCCAGCCCATACCTGGCTCACAGCCCAGCAGCTCCACCCGCAGGAAGACGCTGCGGCCGCCCTCGCCGTGGTGGACATCTCGGGGCCACACCCGAACGTACCTTGCCTGCACCATCCGGCCAAATGTCCATACCTCGGGGGCCAGGGCACCCCAGGTCTCAGGGAAAAGCTGCCGGCAGACGGTGCTGCTGATGGAGCCCCACCTCCTGCTCGGGATCCCCCGACGTGACCTTTGAGTGCCCTTCATCACCCCCTCGCCCCCCACCCTCTTGGCATGGACCCTGCCCCCCCCCAGAGCCCATGCCCCCTAGCAGTGGCCATCTGGGCCTCACAAGGCTGTGGGTCTGGTCCTGGCCTAAGCTCCTCCTCCTGGGCTGGTGGTGCCCTGAGGGCAGGGGCCAGGTCATGCTCACCACTGTGTCCCCAGGGCCTGGCCCAGCACCTGGCACATAGCGGGTGCTCCTTACGCAGTTAAGAGTGAACACGTGGTGAGGGCTGACTCCTGCTGCTTTCTGGGGCTTGTCTCCCTGGGGTGACGCAAACCCCATGAGGGCAGGGCTGTGCCCAGGCTGCTTTGCACAAGGCCCTGCGTGGGCCTGGGCTCCCCGAGGCCCTCACTGAACTTGCTGTCTCCCCACCCCTCTCCCCTGCAGGCTGCTGTAAGGCTCGACTACCTGCCCTGAGTCTGAGCCACTTGGATGGCTTCCAGTGTCCACCTGACAGTGGCACCCAAGCCTCTGCTCCTCAGAGCACAGTCCCTGCTACCTACCAGGTGTTCAACAAGCATCTAATGCAGGCAGTGTCCCTCAGGGAGGCTGAAAGGCCCTTGGGGACAAAGACTCTGGGACCCACAAATGGGTAAGGTGGGTCACTGGCCCAGGGGACTTGGGAGGGTGATACCTTGGGCAGGGACAAGATGCCAGGCAGGATATCATGGTAGTCGTGCCAGTGTAGACCATCGCTGCTGAGCTGGAGCAAGAAGCTGGAGACGTAAGCGTTGGAGGAACCAGTCACCTGCACTATGATGCCTGGGGCGGGGCCGGGGCAACAGCAGAGGTCAGAGCCGAAGGAGCTACTCCCCTCCCCCGCCACTGCCCTCCCCCAGCCTCTGCACTGACCGGTGAGGTTCTGGGGCCGCAGCAGGTCCAGCTGCATGTAGGGCTGCCACTCAGTGTAAACACCCTCTCCAGGGCTCCATCCCTGAGGGCCCGGCACGTCGGTGGGGGCCCCCGGGAGGGCACCCCAGGTGGGGTGTTGCAGCTGCTGGGACGAGGCTCGCAGGCTCCCCCGTGGCAGTCGGGCCAGCCCCAGGGGAGAATAGCAGGGGTCTGTGTGCAGAGGAGAGACAGAGGCTGGACTGGGGGAGGACAGAGGGTGGCAGGAGCTACAAGGGGAGCTGGGGGATTGGAAGGGCTCACGCAGGTGTCCAGGGATAGGACAACGGGACAGAAGGCTGGTCCGGGGAGATAACTTAAGATGGAACAACTCCCAGATCCTCAGGATAATGGTTCTCTGTGTGCAAAGCGAGGGGTAGCTCCCCGAGTCCTGTTTTCCCCGGGTCTGGCAAGCCCTGGGCGGAGCGCACCCCCTCAGCACCACACTGTGACAGTCCTCACCTCCTGGCGGAGGCAGAATGTAGCTGACCAGAGGGGGTCCGACCTGGGAACTGGGGGCTGGAGCTGGGGCGGGAGTGGCCATGGGGTGGACTGTCTGGTCCTCTCCTGGGTGGAGAGACACGGGTCAGGAGGGCGAGACTGAGAGAGGCTCACAACAGTCGCTGGCCCAGCTCTCAGGCCTCTCCCCGCTTCTTCGAACACTTTCCCTCCATGACTTCCCAGGAACCCCAGGAACACTCCCTCAGCTGGGAAAGGTCCCTCCTCCTTCCCTTGGTGTATACTGGGGGCTTTCACTTCCGCTGACTATTTAGAAAACATAGAATAAAACCGCCAGTCCAAAGCTGCTTTAGGCCCAGGACCGAGTAGCTACAGTTCCTAATCCAGGGATGCTGTCACTAATAGGGCTCCTTTGTGGGCATTACAAAGAGGCTGCCTCCGGATGGAAGCAGCCCTATGGGCTGGCACGTAGACACCACTCATCAGCCAATTTGTGCAGTGAGCAACGTGTACAACTGTGTATGCCGGTTCTGTCTTAACCTCAGCAACTTGTGGATGCAATTTTAGAATAAGAAAGCTGGACCCATAAATGCATCAGTTATAAGCCTTTGGATTTTCCTGTTTCATCTGTAATTCATTTTAAGGTAAAGATGCTCTTGAAAAAGTCCAACTTTTTCGGGAAAAAAGGGAGACAGGAAAGCAACCAGATCTGGCCCAGCAGAAAGGAGAGTGCCCTCAAGGACGGCACCAGGCGTGGGGTGACGGGGGGGAGGGAGAGCCTCAAAAGGACAGGGGAGGCAGGCAGAGAGGGAGGGTAGAGACAAGCCCTCCACAGGGCCCCTGCCTTCCCCGCATCCAGGACTCCGGCTTCCCACCACCCTGAGGCTGGGGTATCCAGCCGCCTGGCTCCCCTCAGCATCCCCACCGATCCTCCTCCCCTCATGGCTCCTCTGCCATCCCCCGGCCCACTCACCAGGCAGGACACAGCGGCAACACGATTCACCTGTTCCCTCCACCAGGACCCAACCCTGTGGGGATGCAAAGGTCAGGCCACCTGGCTACCCCCGACCCACCCCATCAGCCTCCCCTGCCCTGGCCTCCTCACAGCCCCCTCCAGGCTCTCACCTGGGGGCAGCGGCCCAGCGGGCAGTAGGGGGAACAGTGTGCGGTGCGGTTGTGCAGACACTGGCACACCCTGCAGGGGCCCCCGCGCCAGCGCTCGCCGATGCGGCGGACCCGGCCCTGGTGCTCACAGCCCTCGCAGGGCTCCGTCAGGCACCTGGGAAGGGAGGGGACTCACCCAGGGTGACTAGCCCTCCTGGTTTCCCTGGAAAACTAGGAAAGTCCTGGGCAAACTAGGACGTTTGGTCACCACACCCCACCTTGCACCTGGCCCAGAAGAGGGGCAGGGAAGCGACCTGTGCCGGCACCGCAGCCAAGGGGGCCAGGCGGGCAGACACCTCCCCTGGCGAGCTTCACCCCAGGTACCTCCAGAGGCGCAAGGGGCCAGATCGGAGGACCCATTCCCGCCCCCGGATTTGTCAGGCTGCATCTGTGGGCTCTGTCTACCCCCTCTGGACCTAGAGGGCATGAAACTGAAGTAGGAGAAGGCCAAGTCCTGGGGTTTAGGCTGGCAAGGGCATGAGCAGGGTTCCTAATTTGCGGTCCCCCTATCGTGGGAAGGGACACGCAGGAAGCCTCCTGAGTGGGAGGTGCGGGCGAGGGCCCCAGGGTGGGTGCAGAGTACCTGCGGGCCTTGTGGTGGATGCCACGGCACTGGCGACCTCGGCCAGAGGGCCGGGGGTTGTTGGGGCTCCGGAAGGACCACTGGACGCTCTGGCTCCCACAGGGGCCCAGGCACTCGGCCCAGGGGGCCCAGGAGGACCAGCCGCAGTCCACTGAGGGAGGGCCAAGAGTCAGGGCCTGGGGCCAGGAGGAGGGGGTGGCTGCCCAGCTGGTGATCCAGGGAAGAGACCAGGGACCCCGAGGGAAGGAACTAGGGTGGGGCCTCACCAGCGCAGTCTGGGTCGGGCCGGCAGCGCCGGGGCCGCCCGTCTTGGCAGGTGCAGAGCTGGCAGTCAGCCTTGATGCGCTGCCCAGGCCAGTAGCGGGCGCCGTCCACCAGGCAGGGGCACTGCCGGGGCCACACACACCTCCCCTCGATGCCAAGCACCTGCCCTTCTGGGCACCAGCAGCCTACGGCAGGCCCAGGGTGAGGCTTCCATGCAGGGAGCTCGGCCTCCACAGACCCACAGCCCAGAGCCAGACCCTGGGCCCTGGGTTCCCTTACCTGGGCTGCTACAGGGCCGGTCAGGTGGGCACATGGCCTGGCCAGAGATGTCATCGCAGGTCAGAGGGCAGGGGGCACAGGGCCAGAACACCAGCCCCCCGGAGCAGGTGGCATTGGGGCAGCCATCCTGAGGGCAGGGCTCTGACAGAAAGCCGGGACCGAGGGCCAGAAGTTGGGGACGGTGGATTGCAGCAGGAACAAGCCTCCCCAGGCGGCCCCCCCACCGCCACTGTGGTCCCCTCCCTTCCACTCACTGGTCTGGCGGGTGCTGTGTGGGCCCCCGGGCAGTGCAGCGCAGGTGCGGCCCCCGTTCTGGGGCGGGTGGCACTGCCTCTGCCGCATCACGGTGCCCCTGCACGGCTCGGAGCACGGAGACCAGGGGGACCAGGAGCTCCACTCTCCGTCCACTGTGAGGCGGAGGGACAGGGTGGGCGGTGGGGTCCACGGGGTAGGGCTGAGGCCCAGGGCCCTTCTTCTCGCCTCCTTTCTCCAGGCCCTGCCCCCCCACCCCCCCAGCCCCAGGCCTCACCTGGGCAGGCTACGCTAAAGCAGGCCTGAGACTGGTGCTCGGGGCCCGGGCAGTGCTGCAGCACCCGGAGGCCAGGTGGGGAGCAGCGGCGGCTCCGGGCCTGCACCCCAGGCCCACAGGTGCGGCTGCACGGCCCCCACGGGCTCCAGGGGCCCCAGGCCCCACAGCCCTGCTCTTCTGGGGAGGGCCCGGCCGCCTCCGGCCCTTGGCAGTCGGGCTTCCCGTTGCACACCTGTGAAGGGGATGGGATCAGGGCTCCTCAGTGCTGGGTGCACAGCGGCGCTGCCTCCTCCACCCGTGCCCGCTCTCACCAGCTGGAAGCCAATGCAGACGCCATCAGGGCAGGCGTATTCTGGGCAGGGAGCCCCTGTCCTGTTGGGGCCTCCTGGGGCTGGCAGCTCCTCTGAGGGAGAAGAGGAGAGAAAACACAGTTAGCAGGGCATGACAGCCACCTTCCTGGCCCACGCCAGGATGGCCTCCCTCAGGGGAACAAGTATTTCACCACCGTCCGGCTCATCCTTGCTCTGGGGACAGTCGGGACCCCACCGCAGAGCGGCTCGGGGTGCAGGCAGGCCAGGGAGCAAACCTCAGAGAGAGAGCCTATGGCAAGCTGGTGGCTGGGTGGAGCCTATGGCCACCAAGGGAGTGTCCTGCTGTGCGCCTGTCCCCTCCCACCGCCTCCCTGCAAAGGGGCTGGCAGGGGTGCCACAGGCAGTGGAGGGGAAGGCGGTAGGAGGCAAGGCCAACATGGGACCATGCCTGGCTCAAAGAAACCTCTGGGCAAAGACAACAGCCCATTTCCTCTCTCCCCTGGGCCTGGGCGGGAGGGCAGAAAGTTTTCAAAAGAGTTTCATGAAAAGATCACAGGAGCATAAAAGTGGCTCAGACTCTGAGCCCGGGGTCCTGAGTCACTCTAGCTGCGCGCCCAGCTGGTCGGCAGTGCGGCGGGGCGCGCGGGGAGATGGGTCTGGCCCGCTTGGCCAGCGGGGCGCGGGTGGGGGTGCGGGACTCTCACCGCAGGCGTTGGGGCTCTCGTCCGAGCCGTCGGGGCACTGGGGCACGCCGTCGCACAGCTGCCCAGGGGACACGCAGTGCGGGCCGCTGGCGCAGGGCGCGTGGGACGGCGCGCAGGGCCCGCCGCAGCCATGCTCGTCGCTGCCGTCGGCGCAGTCCTCCTCCCGGTCGCAGCGCCAGCCCCGCGGGGTGCACTCGCCGCTGCCGCAGGCAAACTCGAAGGGGCCGCAGGGCGGCGCTGCGGAGGGCGCCCGCGGGCTCAGCGGCCTCCAGGCGGCTCTGCCCTGCCATCTCCCCACCGGCTCCCCGTCTGCTCCAGGCCTTCACGTCCTTTCCTGGGCCGGGCTGTACCCACCTTCTGCCCCTCCCCAAGTCCAATCCCTCCTGCATTCTGCTGCCCTATTGGTTTTCCAAAAGCTCTCTCTTGCACCAGGAATTTCCAGAAGACTCCCCTCAGCTCAGAGGGAGGCCTTGAACACCAGGAAACAAAGTCTGGACTCTTCGATCCCCCTCAAACACCCCCCACGGCATTCACGCGGGCATCTCCCCTTGTCTCCCCATGCCTGCCCTTCCCACCCTGAGCACCGCCCACGCCTCCCTCAGATGCTCTCCCCGCGCTCTCCCTGGACGTCCCACCAGCTTTCTCCGCCCATTTCCTCCAGGACACTCACCTGGGCTGGCGCTGGCCAGGGCACCCGGCGCAGTGTCCAGGGAGCCAGTGGAGGGGCCAGGCCAGGTGCCAGTAGGTGGCGTGGGCAGAGAGGGCAGGGGGCAGTGTCCAGGCCCCTCGTCAGCTCCGTCTGGGCAGTCCCAAACTCCGTCACACAGCTGGACGGCTCTCACGCAGGTGCCATCGATGCAGGACACCTCCCCAGGGATGCAGTTCACCTGCTCTGCAGCCAGAAAGGAGGAGCTGGTCACAGGGCACTGCCCCCTACTCTTACGGCTTGGGGAGCCCCCACTCACACACTCACAGGCGCCAACTTCACAGCGGGAACCTGGCAAAGGAGGGGGCTCACGAGGATAGGGGCCTTGGGGGAGGGGTGGCCTGGTGGGCAGGAGTCCAGGGCAAGGACAACGCACCCAGGCAGGACTCCTCGTCAGCAGCGTGTGGACAGTCGGGGTGCCCATCGCAGAGCAGGGCCGGGGGCAGGCAGCTCCCGTTGGCACAGGCCAGCGAGCCCTGGGGGCACGGGCAGCCCTGCTCATCCGAGCCATCTCCGCAGTCGTCCTTGCCATCGCAGAGCAGGGCTGGCGCCAGGCAGTGGCCAGAGCTGCAGGACACCTGGCCCTCCCCACAGCCTGGGGCGGCACAGCCTGGCATGGGGGAGCAGGCAGGCTCAGGACGCCGGAGGGTCCTAGGAGGACTGGGATGCCCCATCCGCCCCACGCTCCCCAAAGCCATAGTCCCTGGCAATGGGAGCAGCAGCTAAGGAAGACACCCCAGGGGACAACCACCTCAGCTGCAGAAAGCTCAGTGACATGTACCAGGACTAACCCATCACTGTCATGAACAGGCACAGACTCACCCTCCTCGTCTGAGCCATCGCCGCAGTCGTCCTGGTTGTCACAAAGCCACGAGAGTGGTACACAGTGTCCGTTCCCCTGGCACGGGGCCTCTCCCTCTGCACAGACAGGCACCAGGTCCTCGCAGCGGGCACTGTCACCCCCACAGTGCCACTGACTTTCCTGGCACGTGCTGAGCACACGGTGTGCTGGGATCAGTCCAGGCCGGGCTTGGCCCAGGGCTCCTCCCAAGGGCCCCTCCTGGGGTCTGGCCGCCACTCACCAGTTCCCGCAGTCCTTCTGCAGCAGGGACCCCGGCGGGAAGAAGCTGCCCTCCCACTCGCAGGGGCAGGCGGCCGGCTCCACGCAGGCTCCTCCTGAGGTCGCAGAGCCCAGGGCTCAGAGCAAAAGGGCACAGTGGCCGCTGGCCCAGCCCTGTCACCATGACCTGTGGCCCCTTCCCAATCTCAGTGCCCCCTCCCCTCTGCCCCTTCTGACTCCACACACCGTGCAGCAGAGTCCCCTCGGGGCAGAAGCAGCCCTCCACGCAGGCCACAGCCTGGCAGTGCCACCTGGGCTCAGGACGATGGTCATGGCAGGTTGGGGGACATGTGGGGCCACAGGCCTCATACACCTGTCCCCCTTCGCACTGCAGGGCTGGGGGAGAGGAGAGAGGATTGGGTCACCAAGGCACCAGGGCAACAGAATGCAACAGTACCAGGCGAGATGGCCCAGGTGACACCCACAGAGGGCAGAGGGGTGCCAGGCATAGACCTTTGCCAAGACCACCCCCAGGGCCATTTGTACTGTGTCAGCTCTACAGGGCGGCCATTCTTGCTTGTCTGGTTCACCTAGAAGAGTGTCTGGCAGTAGTAAGTTTGCAATACGTAGTTGCCCTCGAATGAGCAGATGGCTGGCTCTTCGTACAGCAGAAGCATCCTGCAAGTGGCAGGACTGGGCACAGGGCCTGAGCGTGGGGCATACTCACGGCAGAGCTCCTGGCTGCGCCAGCGCACATGGTGCCCGTGCCGGGCACACTCGTCTGCATAGGTGGCAATGGCTGAGCAGAGGCACTCACAGTCGCCCCCTGAATCGCAGCTGTGGGAGGGAGCGTTCAGCCCCGGCACCCCCTCCCCACCCCTGGCACCCCCACTCCCACCCGCCCCAGGCCTGCCCCTGCTTACCCGCAGGCGTCGTACACACACCGCTTGTAGTGCTGCTGCGGGGGCACCTCCGCGTGGCACGGGGCAAAGAGTGGCTGCAGCATCACCCCGCAGCGGGCCCGGGCCCAGCCAGCCCGGTGGGCGTTCACCTGCAGGCACAGGGCGGCTCCAGCACCTTGGACCAGCCCTGGCCTCTGGACCCCATCCCCTTCCCCCTTTCCTGCCCTTGCTCACGGTGCAGGGGTGCGGCAGGTCTCCTGGCTCAGGGCAGAGGGGACTGAGGCGCCAGGAGTGGGCGGCCAGCTCAGCCGTGGGCTCCAGGACTGCCTGGCGGCTCCGCAGGTCATTACTGGCATCTCCATCAAAGTCTCCACACAGCCCAGCCACACGACCTCGGAACTGGGGGGACAGCTGCACCAGGACCCGCGTGCCTGGCGGCAGCATTGTGAACAAATGAGCTCATCGGCCCTCTTCTGGCCCGGAGAAGACCAAGGGCAGGGAATAACTGGCCCATCTCACGCGCTGTGAGGTACCACCACCCTCTTTTGAGGGGGGATGGTGGGTGGTAAGTGAGGAGATCCGCACTGGGGGGTAAGGGGGAGGAGAAGTTGGAGTCTATTTTGCTAACGCCAGGCTGGGGGCAGGTCACGTTCTGGACAGGAAGCCAGACTCCAGGATGGCCTGCAGGACCTGCTGGCACCAGAGCCCTCGGTGGCTGGGCTCGGAGGGCAGCCGGCAGCGCGGAGCCGAGTCCTTGTGGGTGTCGTTTTGGTTTCCCTCAGTTTCTCAGTAATGGTTACATTTCTAACACGCCAACTGCTTGTGTTTGGGTTGTGGGATGTCGGGAGATTTATTTTCATTTCTTGTTTCAAAAACTTGGTATTTTTTAAATGTTTCTTTGGTGCAGAAGTATCACTTTCATAATGAAGAAAAACATAATTATGAAAATGTAATTTGGAAACTCCGGCCACTCGCATTAACCAGGAGGCAGGGGTGTGCTGGCTGAGGCCAGGAGGCGGGTAAAGCCAGAGTTGGGGGCCTGGCCTGGCTGTCAGACTGGAAATGTGCCCTGTGGGGGTGTCAGGGGAAGGTCTGGCCTCGGGAGGAGAGTCTGGGGGAGTCCAGCCCTGTGTGGAGGCGCCAGGCACGGGTCAGAAAGCCGAGGGCAGGGCTGACCTCCGTCCCAGAGCAGGGTGAGGCCCAGGCGGGTCGTGAGCAGCAGGAAGAGGCCGGCACGGTGCAGGCTCAGTCCGGGACCTGTGTAGACCTTGGGTGGTGTCACACTCACCCCGTTCACTGTCACTGCCCGGCCTGTGCAGGAAGAGAGGCATTCAGGCCCAGCCTGGAGGAAGGGCCCCCCAGGCCCCCGAGAGGCTCTCCAGCCTCCCCTCCAATCCTTTCTTTGCCTCTCTACCTATGTGACCTTGGGCACGTCATTAGATTTCTCTGGGCCTTAATTTCTTGGAGCCTTCTGGAATTATGATTCCCAAACAAGAGGAAAGGCGCCAGCCCCAGGCACTGAGGGCAGCCGAGCCATGGAGGAGCTGTCCCACAATGGACAGGCACGGGAACCCCAGGCCCCGGACACCCTGTGGAGCTGGGATGCCATGCTGGTGTGCCCCTCCCTGGCAATGTCACCCTTTCAATGTCCCAGCCACCTCTGAGCATGTGCACAACAGTGCTCTCCAGACGCATGGCCAGCGCCTTGGTGCAGGTGAGACCGCTGGCCCCGCAGGGCAGGTTCTGGGCAGAGACGGTGAACCGGCCGCTGGCCTCTCGCACCAGCAGATACTCGCAGGCCCCGGGGAAGGTGAAGGCCAGTCCATCAAACGTCACGTAGTGGGGGGCGCCTGACACCTGGCACCACCCACTGCACTTCCGGCCTGTGCAGTGCCACTTCCGGCCCTGGCACACGCTGTGGGTGAGATGGGGGGAAACAGAGTCGCTGAGGACAGGGACGCAGCTGGTCCAGGTGCCAGGTAAGTGCAGACAGGCCGGCAGCGTGGAGGGATCCTGCGGGTTCCCATTGCCCAGGCAGTCTGGACGCCCCACCTCGCCTACCACCCCAGCCTCTTCAGGTGGAAGGAAGGATGACATTTGGAGGGCCAGGGCCCACAAGGTCATAGCAGCTGGACATACCAGACGTTGCAGTCTTCCTGGATGGTGGCGTTGGGTGGGTACCACTGCCCACTGTGACGGCAGGGACACAGATCAGGAGGCACACAGCGCTCATCCTGGGCAGAGGGCAGGGACAAAGCGCGCCGTGGAGGGCTGCCCAACGACCCCGCCCGCTGCTATGGACAGTGAGGGGAGCAGGGCAGTGCCCTGGCGTAGGGGAGGTCATGCCGCTGCCCCTTCCTGGACTCACCAGCAGCACCATGCCCGGCGGACAGACACAGCCATCAGCGCTGCCCGAGGGGCAAGAGTGGTTGGCCTGGGGGCTGTCGCAGGTGAGGAGGCAGGCACCAGGGGCATAGACAAGCCCCCGGGGGCAGAATGCCCGCCGTGGGGGACAGCGGCGGGCTGTGCAATTCCAGAGGCCCCTTTCCTGGCAGACACTGCAGTAGGTTGGGAGGGAGGAAGAGCCAGGTTCAGGCCTCCAGGCCCCGGGTCTGACCTAGTGAGAGCCCAGTGTGAAGACCCAGCTCTGATGCCAGAGACCTGAGCATCTCAGCGCCCAACAGCCAGTCACCAGCGCAGGGGGCTGGGCTGTCTGCAGCACCCTGACATGCCTGGGAGAGACACTGTCACCCTTTCCTGCCCCAGCTCTGGTGGCACCATTCTCCAGGCTGTGGGGTGGGACGGAGATACTGAAGAACCTGCTCCCAGCCCAGGAGGAGAGGGACTGCACTGCGCCCACCCCGTGCTGGATCCTGGCCCTGCCTGCGCAGACCCGAGCCGCCTCTACTCTCATTCACAAGCCAAGCCCTGACTCTGCAAGCCGTTTAGCCTATCTGAGCCTCAGTTTCCTCATCTGCAAAACAGGAACAATTCTTCCACTTCTCACTTTATTAGGTCATTGTAAGAAAGTAAGTTGAAGTAAGATAGTGTACATGAAAGTGCTTTATAGACCCTCAAGTGCTCTGCGACTGAAGGGAAGTTACCAGCACGCTGTCATCCCCAACATGTGACCAATAAGGCCACACAGCCCACCCATTCTCTCTCAAGCTCTACATCTTCACCCCCACATTCTTCTTCTCGCCGCCCTCACCAGCGGTTGCAGTCCTTCGTGGTGGCACTGCCTGGGGCATAGCGACGGGCTCCGAGCTGGCAGACGCACAAGCTGGGGGGCACACACTGGCCCTCGGGGTCCCACAGCAGCCCTGGGGGGCAGGTACAACCAGCCACACAGCTGCCCGGCTCCCCACAGTCCTCCAGCTCCCCACAGTGCCGACCGCACGCTGGGGCACACTCCTGGTACTCCTGGCCAGCAGGACACAGGACAGCTGGGCACCAGACACATGCAGGTCAGGGGCATTGCCACGGCCAGCTCTGCTCTCCCCCCTCCGAATCGCACCCCCCGCACCGCCTGGGCCTCTGCAGGAGGAAAAGCCCAGCAATCTGCCAAAGTCAGAGGTGCAGCCCTGCCCCCAGCCATTCCTAGAACGGGGAGGACAAGAGAGGAGGGGAGGAGCCTCACGGCAGAGGGTCTGGCTCCTCCAAGTAGGCGGGGCACCCTCCTGGGCACAGTGGCGTGCATAGGCAGAGAGCACCGGGCACAGGCAGTCCCTGCCAGGGGCACAGCCACACACGGCCGCCAAGCAGCGCAGCTGGAATGGCTCCCTGTCCACCAGCCCGTGGCACTCCTTGGGAGGAGAGGAGGAAATGGGTCAGCTCCTCCTCCACGGGGTTTCCATCGCTCAGTCCCCACTGCCACCTCCCTGGGTTTGGCTGGTCTCCCTGATCCTTCTAAGAGCCCAGGAGGAGGGCAGGGCAGTGTTGCCCATCTCACAGGGGTGGGAGGAGCCCACCCGGCTACCTGGAAGGCTGGGCCATGCAGGACGGCACAGGCTGCCTCTGCGAAAATGTGGCGCTGGGAGTGGGTGCTGCAGGGGGAGAGCGGGGCGCTGTCCCCAGAGGGGCACCTTCCCTCGCCTGCCACCTGGAACTTGCTGGCGAAGGCAGCAATGCTGGTCTCCACATCCCCAGCCGGTGTCAAGAAGTCGTCCTGCTGGTTCCAGGTGAAGGTGCCACACAGACCCTGCACCTGGGCCGCAGGGGGGGTCCACGTGAGTCGGTCCCATCCAGTCCCACCGTGGCCTTGCCCAGCCACTCACCGCCACCCTGGCATACCTGGTGGGCATGACGGGGGTCCAGGGTGATGTAGGCAGCAGGGTCCGACACTCCCCAGAGGACCTGGGCCCCAGGCCAGCGCAGCAGCAGGAAGGTAGAGGAGGCTCGGAGGACTCTGAGGCCCCCAGCGCCGTGCCAGGGCAAGCTCACGTCCTGCCCGTCGGCCAGCACAGCTCCTGGAATGGGGGCCTGATGGGGCGGGGAGCACGTGGAGGGGTGGGGCCACAAGAAGGGAAGAACCTTGGGTGGAGAGTCCCTGTCAGGGTGGGCAGCCAGGGACAATTGGAGTGACCCCCAGAGGTCACCTCTCCCGCCTGGGCCCTCACACCCAGGCCCAAGGACCACCCTCAGCACACATTTTTGCCTGTTCCTTTCCCTCTGTGGCCAGCGGGCAGACAGAGCTGGGCAGAGAGCCAGGAGCAGACCAGGGAGAGAGCTGGAGGGACAGTCCCCAAGAGGGCCTGCCTGGTCCGGCCACGCCTTGAGGCCTTTCGGACTCTCATAACTACTTGTAGTTTACCCCGGGGCTCCAGCGCCATCGGGCAGTGTGGGGCAGTGGTGAAAGGAAGCCTGCCGGGTGCCCCAGGAGGCAGAGCTGAGGCTACCTGAGTCCCTGAGCTGGACGTGGGTGTCCCCCAGGGAGACCGAGATGGCGTGCAGGCAGCTCCCAGAGTCGCAGGCCCCGTGCTCCAGCTGGATCAGCAGCCGCCCCTTCACATAGTCCTGGGGCACGTGGGGGTGTGGCAGGGCGGGCAGACCTCAGGCTCTCTGCGGAGCTTTCTGGGGACCTTCTCTGCACTATACCCTCAGCACACACCTGAAGGCAGCTCCACCCAGCACCTGAGCCCACCACCTTCCAGCCTGCCAGCCTCTCTGTGAGGTAAGGGGCTTAACCCTTGCCAAGGGTTAGCGTGTGCAGATGCCTGTGTGCATGTGAGTGCATGGCCACGTATGTGGGCATGTGAAGGCACGTGTTTGTGTATGTTTGTGTGTGCATGAGTGTGTGCATGTGCACGTTTGCATGTTGAGGTGAGATGATGCCCCCTTCCTCCCCACAGGTATGTATGTTCATCTGTATGTGTGCATACAAACATGCATGCTAAATCTATGTGCACGGGCATGAGTGTATGCCACGTGTGCACGTCTGTCTGTGTCTCTGTGTGTAAGTGTGAACATGGGTGCATGTGTGTGTCTGTGTGCTGGTGTGTGGCCTGTGTGTGTGCATCTTCGGCTGTGTGTGTTGGGGGGAGAGAGCTGTCCTCTTCCTCCCGACGGACAGGCCTTCAGCCTCTCTGAGGACTCTACACTCCCCCGATTTTGTCGCCCCATTTCTACTCATGAGAGGAGCGGGAACGCTCCAATAGTTAGATGGAGGGATCACGGAAGGGCCCCTAGATGTGTGGGAAAGAACGTGGCTGCACCCAAACTGTGCTGGGGAAGGGCGGGCGGGGAGGAAGGCCACTTATCTCCCAGGGGGCTGCTCTGCATGAAGTAGCCTGTGACAAGCCCAGCCTGTCCCATCTGTGGGAGAGGACTGAGGATGGGTTTTACAGGGCCACAACGGCAGGACTTTCTAGGGAGGAGGTGAGAACTCAGAGGGGAGGCTTTGGGCCCGCGCAGGCATCCTCCGTCCAGTGTTGGTTGTCTCAGCCTTTTCTGGGAGGACTGTGTGTTTCACTTACTTATTTAGTGGTTATCTTGTAGCCCCCCCACCAACATCCCTTAGGATGGCCTCTGCTCTGGCAAGACCCCCCCTCCAGGAGCAGGTCCTCTGCCCACCTGCACCAGGCTGTAGCGGCACCCTCGGCCGCCACGGAAGGAGAAGCTCCGCCCGTCGAAGGTGACGTAGTGCCCATCCCCACCCACCGCACACTCAGCCGGGCACAGGGCCTGTGTGCAGTGCCAGTGGCCGTCCCGGCATACGCTGTAGGCATATGGGGCACAGAGCTGGAGACGACCCCCCAACACTCTGGCTTCCCTCCCCAGCACTCCCGCACTGGAAGGGGTAGTGGTCAGCAGGCAAGGTCTTCAAGCAGGACCATCGGTCATGCCAGGAGCCATCCCAGGCCACTGTGAGGAAGGCCCTGGGCAGGCTGGAGATGGGGGGAGGCAGGCTGAGGAGAGCGGCAGGCACCACACAGCTGCCAACCCCAGTGAGGACCCACCACAGGTTACACAGCTGGCGCACGGTGTCTCCTGGGGCGTAGCGCTGGCGCCGGTGGTAGCAGGGGCAGCGGGCGGCAGGCACACAGAGGGCCCCGTCCCAGAAGAGGCCTCGAGGGCACTCACAGCCGCTCACACACTCCTCCCCGCAGGACCCCTCCTCTCCCGGGCCCACCGCCTGGCAGCTGGGCGGGCAGGGGGAGGCGCAGTCGGAGTAGAGCTGGCCCCCGGGGCACGGGCGCTCTGCGGGCAGAGGGGCGGGCCATGAGTGGTCGTGGCTCCCACCAGACCCTGAAGAGCCCGCGGGGAACGCGCCCGGGGTGGTGGCCACCCTCAGTCAGTTTGGTAGGGTGGGAGCCCAAGCAGTACCGCAGAAGCCGGGCTTCCTCCAGCTGACGTGGACGCGCCGCCTCGCACAGGCCTGGGCGTAGCTGGCAAAGGTGGCACACACGGCCTCCCGCCGCCGCTCTCGCCCACTGCCCACCGCGGCCCCCCTGCAGTAGGCAAAGAGGCAGGCCTCGTGGTACTCAGCAGGGGGAACCTGTCGGGAAAGGACAGCCCCTCAGTAACAAAGCCTCTCCTCGCCGGCACCTCCGGCCTCTCGCTTCTATCACGCCCTGGTTTGTAACCACACAGACTGCGGTCTGGAAGTGCCGCAGAGATCTTGCAGGGCAGCCTCTCGTTCCCCAGAGACACAGCCGAGCACAGGGAGGGCATGGGTTGACCCATGGCCCCAGGCAACCTAGTGGCAGGGCAAGACCACCTGGTGACAGCTCTCTAGCACCCCTCTAAGCCCCCTTGGGTACCAGACACCACTTTCATCCCCACCCATACCTGGGCATGGCATTGCTGGAACGGACTGCCCAGCAGTTGATGGCACACGTCCTGGGCTTCACCCCGCAGCTGGCCAGGTTCCACGCCCGCCTCTGTGTTTCCCAGGGGGCCCTCACAGCCCTGGGCCACCTCCACTGCATCCAGACACCCAGGCTGGGGACAAACAGAGTCAGGCCAGGTGGGGACATGGTGAGGGACGTGAACCATGACACCAGGTGAATGACCACCACACTCACAGCTGCGTCAAGGCCCCACAATCATGTCCACCAGCCCACACCCGGGGCTGTGGACAGCGGCAAGGTGGCAGCCCCCGTGGGGAGGCAGAGGAGCTGAGGCCCAGATGACTAACTGGTTCACCAGTGCTGCTCAGGGCCCCTGCAGCCTTGCCCTCTGCCCCCGAGGGTCTGAGAGAGGGCCAGGCTCCCTCCTAGGGGCAGGAGGCGATGGAGCCAGGACAAGGGCTTGGAGGGGCAGGAGCTGGGGCTGGGCTGAGAAGCTGGGAGTGGCAGGCAGGGGAGGGAGGGACCCCGGGCATCAGCCTCACCTCCGAGTCAGGAAGCCTCCAGGAGTTCCCAAAGGTGGCAGGTAACATGGCCAGCCCCCCACCAGGCTCCACAAAGTCATCTGGGGAAGGCAGAGGCAAGGATGCCGGGGCGGGAGGCTCCTGTCTCCCCTTCCCTCCTACACCAGCAGCCAAGCTACACCTTACTCACCCTCAGGTCGGCCATTGTACAGCCCACAGAGGCCTTGCGTCTGTCCCCAGAGCTCATGGTCCACAGAGATGGAGACGGAACCAGCCCTGTCCAGCCGCACCACGACCCCCAGGCCCCCCGACAGCACCAGCCAGTCCCCCAGCCACTGCAGACTCAGCCCTGGGTGGGGAAGGGGGTCACTCAGCCACATGCCCACCACCACAGCAGGGCTTCAAGTGCCCAGGGAGGGGTGCAGGAGGGAAGGAATTCTCAATTCTACAGAGCTCCGCACTTTGTCCCGAAAGTACGTGCTTTAAAGCAGAGCGATTGTTTTCCATCACAGCCCTCTCTGACACGCTCATGAAGGCTGTGGACGCCTTCTCGAGAGCGAAAACTACATAGCACACGTGCATGTGCACACACACACGCACACACACGCATGTGGGAAGCCCAGCTGGGACAAAGGGTCCAGTAGGAGAGCTTCCCATGGCTTAGCACCAAAGTGCTTCCTCATCACCCTCCGTGAGGCAGGTGGGGAAACTGAGGCTCAGGGAGGTTAAGCAGAGGCACTTGGCCGAGGTCATACTTGGAGGCGGTGGGTTGCAGAGGGTCAGGGACCAGGCCATGTCCTCCTGGCTCTGCATTTGCAAATGCCTCCCAGCAGCACCAGGGGAGGGGAGTGGAGGCGGCAGTGGGCTGAGTCCCAAACCTCCCCTGCTGCTCTTTTGACGCCCCGCCCTGGGGCTGCGCAGATTTCCCAGGGGGCAGAGGGGCCCAGGGCAGTTGGTTGCTCCCACAGTGTCCTCACCGTGGAGCAGCCGCGGCTCCCCTTCAGGTACCAGCTGCCCCTTCACAGAGACGTTTCCACCCTGAATCAGCACCTCCTCGGGTCCCATTGTCACCCGTACCTTGGGGTGAGACACATAGTGGAAAGGGCATCAGCGGCTGTCCTCCCGTGTCCAGCCTCCTCCCTGTGGCGGTCCCTGTCTCCCTCCCTCACCAGCTGACAGTGCCCAGGCTGGGGACAGTGGTTCCCAGGCCCGAGGTGGACAGCCCAGCTGGAATCAGCAGTGCCCGCCAGCAGGTAGGTGCAGCGGCCCAGGAAGTGGTAGTGGCGTCCATCAAAGGTGCGGTAGTGGAAGCCCGACCAGGTGGCACAGGTGGCAGAGGGACGTTGGTGCTGGCTCCAGAGTTGGCCCACAGCCCCTGCCAGAGGCTGCAGGAGGGCTGGAGAGGAGGTGCTGACTAGGCAAGAGACACACCAATTGTGACCCTCGGACAGAGGGCCAGGGTGAGGACACAGGGCTCCCGGCAGAGCGGGAGGCAGGAGGACAGGGCATGGTCACTGTGGTGGGCTGGGGCGCGGGCACGGGCCCTGCAGAAAGGCCGAGAGCTCAGGAACTCTATGTGGGAATGCCTGGGGAGGGGGTGTTGGCCAGGACTGTGACCACTTGGCAGGCGGGGGGCTACCAACCCACCTGGCAGGTGTGTGCTGGAGCAGCTGAGGCAGGCCTGGGAGCTGCTGTCCCACCAGCTGCGTCCCCAGGGCCGGGCACAGCAGTCTTCCAGGCTTCCTGCCGAAGCGTTAACTGAGTCTGCCCACGGCTGGCACTGCCATGTGGCAAAGCAGTGGCCTTCAGGGCTAGCATCGTCGAGGGCTGTGGTGGTGGAGGAGAGAATGGGGCAGACCCAGGCAGTGGGCATGGGGGCAGCCTGCAGCCCTCAGCCTGGCCCAGTTCCCTCCCCAGGCAGCCTGCTCCCTCCCCCACACTGAGGTCTGGGCTACCCTGCCCTGCCCAGGGCTGGCACAAGGCACCGCTACCGCACACCCACTCAGGCGCTCACCCTCGGTGCAGTGGGTGCCGCCCCAGCCTGGGCAGCATGCCCTCACCGTCCGGTTCCACGTGGCAGGCCGTGTTTCTGGGGGTCTGCGCCCACCGAGCAGGTGGAAGTGGGGGAGGAGGGGAAAGACGTTAGTGCTCAGTTCACTCCTATCACAGGGAAGGGCCTGGAACATTTGGTCTGGTCTATCACTCTCTGAGGGGATTCATCATGTAACTTCTTCTTCCTGGCCTTAATTTCCCCACGTGCAAAGTGAGACTGATGTTGGGAAGGCAGACAGGGAGTGGGGGGCAGAGGGAGCAGGCTCTGGGCCTCCCCCTGCTATGCCCAGCATAGCACCCACTCACCACCCACCCTAATCTCCAAGCCCACCCAGGACCTACTTCCCAACACCTGCTTCCACCAGGTCTGCTCCGAGTCCTCCCCGACTCTGAGGGTGTCCAGCCTGTCCCTCCTTTCCTGCCCGGCAGACAGCCCAGGCTCTGACCCTCACTCACTTGTAGATGGGACAGAGCCCGGGTGCTGGGGACCTGGTGAGCCCCGTGCGGCCACTCCCGGGCAGGTCCAGCCGCCAGCCGAGGCGGCTGTAATGGTAGAGACTGGCACAGGGCACCAGGTCCTCCCGACGAGGGGCTACTTCCTCTTCCACGCGGATGGTCTCCGTCCGCTCACACCACCGCCTGCGCACAATGGGGAACCACGGTTGCTGCCACCGTCCCCTCTGTCACCAAGTAGCTCTGTCCTGGGACCCCACTCCCAGGAGAGATTACTGAAGTTAGGAGGGAGGGGGAGGAGGACCTCAGTGGGATCAGTCCCAGGGTGGGCTGCTCACCCATTACTCAATGCCCATGCCAAGCCAAAGAGGAGGGCGGGAAGCAGCATGGTGCTCTCCACTCCCAGGGCACCTCTGGGTGAAGGAACCCGAGGCTGAGGCTTGGGGAGGCAATGCTGCGGCTGATGGGCAGGGAGGCGAGCGCTGCTCTGCCCTGCGCTGCCTCTGCTGCAGCCCTGCGGCCAGTCCTTGGGGCTGGGGAGGCTTTATCCCAGCCTCATGCCCAGGGGCACCAGCTGCCCACAACTGGATTGGACCTTCCCACACCATCGCCTGGGAGGCCAGCTCTCCTGGGCAACAGTCCTCTTCCCACCCCTCCTAGTGGGTGTACGTGTGTGTATGTGTGTGTGTGTGTGTAACGGGGGACCACAGCCGGACATCTTGAGCCTCTGGTATTTCGACACTCAGGCACTACCACAAATTAAGTTGGGACTCTAGGCAAGCCACCCTCCCTTTCTGGGCTTCAGTGTCCTTACCAGTAAAAACTTCAGGGACTTCCCAGGGATGCAGAAACGGGACTGAGGGACTCTGTGAATTCTTTGAAATTATACGTGGGCACATTTTTCTGAGGACAGTTCCTTAACTTTTACTAGATTCTCAAGGGAGTATGACCCCACCAAAAGGTTAAGAGTTCCTTGGCTGACGACGGGTGCGGTCTCCCAGCCCTGTTCTTCTCCTGCCTCCTCCAGCCCCTCTCCCGCCAGGCACGGGAGCGAGCAGAGGCCACGTTTCCAGCGTGGCTGAGTTGAGTGTGTGGAGACAGGTGCACAGCTTGGGGCCCAGCCTCTTACTGGGGGTGATTATGTGGGGCTGGTTGGGCCCACCCTGTCTCTTCTACAAGGGTCCCCGTGGTCCAGAACCAGGGAGCCTGGGCTGAAGAATGAGAGGAAGACTCTGCAAGGAGTGCCTGGTTGCAGAGAGCTCCCCCAGCCCTGGGGCAGAGCTGAGCCGGATGGAGAGTCCGGTTGGGAGGGGGCAGCAGCTGGCTCCGCAGGGGAATCCTGGTTACATCCTGGTTACCAGCAGAACTCTGAGGACACTCAGGCTGGAATGTGGCCTGGACCTCAGATTTCATGCCCTTCCAGCTCCTAAACCTGATGTCCCCTGAGCATCCTGCAGAGTCATCCCACCTGCAGGGAGGAAGGAGGCTGCCAGGACCCGGAGCTGGGCTATGCGTTCCTTCTCTTGGTCCCGAAATTGGTCTTGGGGCAAAAAGAGGATCCCATGTGAGTCCTTCGGGACTCACAGATGGCTAGGACCAGCTCCTCTCAGGAGTCACACTCACACGGGACACTTCTTCATGTTTTACACTAGGCACGCCCCCACCCACAGCAGCGCTGCCTCCAGGGGCCGTCCTCGCCCCCCCCTTGCCAGACTCCCGCCCCGCTCTGGGTTCTGACCATAGCTGACAAGGCAGCACTTGGACTGGGAAGAAACAATCCAACCCATTAGGAGTCACAGCCATCCTTTCCCCTAAGCGGGCAGGAGGAGCAAGCTAGAAGCCAAGGGAGTTTAGAGAAAGATTATGGAGAGGAGTCCGGCAACAACCAGCCCAGATTTTAGCTCCAGAAGGACGCGATATGCGGAGTTTTCAGACTGGAGGTGCACCGGTGTCACAGCTGGGACCAAGGACGGCCAGTGCAGCCCCCCAGGAGCCGGACTGAGGGCTGAGGGCAGCCCTCCCCAGCTAACTGGAGGTTTCCAGCCCAGCAGGGGGAACCACCCTCGACCCCGCAACCCCACTACCCAGCCTCAAGAGCCCTCCTGTCCGCAGCCTCCTCCCCACCCCTCCCCCGGACCCCGCCCTCAGTCTCCGCCCAGCCCCGCCCCAGCCTCGCCCCTGGTGCCTCCTGTCCCGACCGCGTTCTCCCAGGCTCTTGGCTCGAGCCCCCACCCCAGTTTTTACGTCGAAAGGCCAAGCCCTCTCTCCCTGGCCCTCCTCCAACGGCTCCAGCGGCGGGCATCGGACCGAGTCCCCGGGACGCAGGCCTGGGGGGCTGTGGGTCTGGGTGAATCCGGGCGGAGAGCGGGAGCGGGGCTGGAGTTTCCCAGACCGGCCCCCCGACTCTCCTCCCGCTGAGCGCGGCGCTGCACACACGCGGCCGGCACTCGCGACGTAAAGACGGCAGCGCACACTCACTGGCTCTCCTCCCCAGGACGCCCCCTCCTCTTCCCCCACTCCCCCCACCCCTGCCCGCGCTCCACCTTTCCCCGGCTCCTCCCTCGGTGGCTGCGAGCACAGTCCCTCACAGCCCGAGTGCCCTTCCTCCCTAGCCTCCTCTCCCTCCTCCACCCCTCCCCCAACACCCCTCCTTTCCCTCCCCCCTCTCCCTTTCCCCGTCCTAAGCTTCCACTTTCCATCATCTACTCTGGGCGCTGTGCCTCCTGGCCGTCACCTGCCGGCCTAACCCCGCTTCGCACCCTCCCGGCGACCCCACTGTGGGAGACCCCCGCCCCCTACTTCCCCCAGCCTCGTGCCCCGGGGCAGCCCTCCCGCTTCCTCGGTCCCTCCCGCCTCGCGAGCGCCGCTCCCGCTTCTGCTCCCTCGGCTTCTTTTCCTCTCCTCCTCGCGAAGTTTCGGGGCTGTCAGTCTGTCAGTCTTTCGGGCGGCCCGCACCCGAGCTGCAGGCAGCGGGCGCCATTGTGAGCACAGCGGGCCCGGACAGGACGCCCGGGCGCCGGGGTCCCCGTAGTAGCGGGGAGACCAGCCGGCCCTCCAGGTAAGGGCGGAGGAGCTCCCGGCTGCAGGCGGCTCCGCCCGCTTCCCTCTCCGCGCCGACACTCATGGTCACCGCCAGCTAGGTGCAGGTGACAGCCCCGGGGCAGGGGCGCGAAGAGCGTTGGGGGTGGGGGAGGAGCAAGTGTCGGAGGAGGGAGGGGTGGGGGAGGGCGAGCCTGGCACGGCTGGGGGAGGGCTGTGGAGGAGAAAGGGGGATAGGGGATCTGAAGGGAAGGGCGGGGGCTGGGGAGGAGGCCGAGTGGGAGTCTGGTGGGAAAGGGGCGGGAGGGTCCCCAGGGGAGGGAGTGGGAAGTCTCGGGAGAGGGGAGAGGGAGTGTGGGGACCGAGGGGGAGGGGAAGGGAAAAGGAGGCGGTGGGGAGGGAATGGGCCGTTTGGGAGGGGCGGGAGAGACGGGCGCTGACAGGTGAGCCCGGGAGCAGGGGAGGGGGCCGGGACACGGAGTGACGTCGGGGAGCTGGGAGGCTCGAGAGGACTAACAGAAGCGGGAGGCCGAGCGGGGGTGGGGGGGGTGTCCTGGTCTGGGGGAAAACTTGGGAGTGGGTGAGAACAAGTCCGAGGGGAGCAGAAATGGGGAAGGGGCCACTGAGGGAGGAGACGGGATGCTAAGGTGTGCTCCGAGGGGAGGAGAGGGTGGGAAGGGGCAGTGCGGCTGGGAGGGTCCAAGCGAGCGGGGATCCCCGGCTCCGGGCCGGAGGACAAGGGAGCTGGGGGCGACGGGGTTCGGGGAGAAGGGGGGGAAGAAGGGGAAGAGCGGTTCCGAGGATTGGGAAGGACTAGGGACCGGGAGGGAAGCGAAGCTCGAGCGGGCTGGGGGGGCAGAGGGGGAAGGGAGGCGGGGGCCTCGGAGGGGAAGGAGAGCTGCAGGAGGGAGGGAGGGAGGAGGCGGGGGGGGAGAGGGCTGAGGAGGAGGAGAGGGAGAGGGAGGGAACCGAGGTGCGGGAAGGAAAGGAGAAGGAAGGGGAAATCACAGTGGGAGAGGAGGGGGAGGGGTGGGGAGGGGAGAGCAGGGTGGGGGAGAAAAGCTCAGAGGAGGAGGGCTGGTGTTGGGGCGGAAGGAAAAGAGGAGGGGGAAAGGAAGGGAAAGGGTGAGCAGCCAGGGAGGGGGATGGAGCGGGGGAGAACCGGGAGGGCTGGGAGAGGCGGCCCTGAGATCGAGGAGGGGGTTGGGGAGTAGGGGGGAGGGGAGCGCAGCGGCCGAGACTGCCCAGTGCGGAGGGTCAGGGAGGCGGTGGCTGGGGAGGGCCGGCCTGAGGGGCCTCGAGAGGATGGCCCTGCCCCTGCCTGGTGCGGCGCGGGCAGCGGGAGGAGCCGGAGGGGCGGGGCAGCAGAGGAGCCCGGAGCCAGCCCGATTCGCGGGGAGAGAGGGCGGAAGGCAGCGGGCGCGGGGAGGGGAGGGGCAGAGGGAAGGCTGCCTGGGAGATCGGGGGAGGGGAGTCTGCTGGGGGAGGGGCGGGGAGCCCGCGGGAGGAGGAGCAGGGAGGGGCACAAGGGAGGGGTCTGGGGCATCCCCCGGGGGGAAGGGGATGGTTTTGAGGTAGGGGTTTTGGGAGAGGAAGCAAGTCATTTCCTACCTTTAAGGAGGACCCTTCTCTGAGGACCTCCCCCACCAGTAGCGCTAAAGTGACACTCACCCCGCCCCTGGGCTGGCTCCTATTTCACCAGCTCATGCAGTGACAGCTGGAGGGCCTAGGAGAAGAAGTTTCCCACTCCCCACCCTGGTCTCCCACCCTCTCCCCAGAGAACCCAATAGTCCTGCACCCCTGGCACTGAGACCTGCCAGGTGAGGGGGCAGTGGCTGAATTTCAGAACTGACGGGAGGTTGTAGAAATGGCTTCAAGGCCTTCTTCTGGATCTATCTTCAAAGATCTCTTTGCTTTCTGAAATCCAGTTTCCTTCATTTCCCCCATCTATACCTGGGGATGTCACCTTTGGAGCTCTTGGGGACAGCCCATAGGGCAGGGCAGGTAGGCAAAGCCAGGGCCCTGGTGGAAACTGGGAAGAATCTGAACAAGGCTCCCTTCTCTCCCTAGGGTCCGTGGCCGATCCCCAGGAGGAGCTGCTCTGGGTTGCCATGAGAGAGACTTTGGAGGCCCTCAGCTCCCTGGGTGAGCTGGCACACTGAAGGAACCTGGGGGGAGAGGGGTAGGAAGATTCAGGGCATCTACAACTAAGTAAGCAGAGCCACCCTCGAGGCTGCAACTCTGAGACCCCAGAGGCCCTGGGGAGCCCACAGGGCAGCATCTTTTTCCATTTCTTCAGGATGTCTTTGACGGCCTGGGATGTGGTGGAGGCCGTGCTAGACCGTATGTACACCTAGGCACTCACAGAGCACTGATATTTACGTCATTCTATCTCTTCCTTCTTCTGTCCTTCTTGACTCAACTCCAAGGGGCTGAGGTTGATTCCTGGCCAGGCTGCTGGGGAGCCTGGGCTGTCCCTTGTCCCTGCTGGCGAGAGACCCTACCTTCCTGAGCAGGTTGGGAAAAGCTCCTTGGGTAGGCTGGGAAGGGGAAGAGCCCCCACCTCTGATCACCTGTTCTTTACTGGATGCTTCACGTGGGCCCATCCTTCTGCCTGTAACAGGATTCTCTGTGGGACAGCCAGAGATGGTCCCCCAAAGTGAGCCCAGGGAAGGATCTCATAATGCCCAGGAGCAGATGGCCTCTTCCAGGGAGGAGAACGTGCTGGGCACGTGCCCAGGTAAGTACATGGGGATCGTGGAGAGGGCTCGGGGAGGAGCCCGCCTTCCTTACATCCATCCATCAAGTATTTGTGTCGGGTGCTGTTTTAGACATTTGGAATTCCTCAGTGACCAAACGGACAAAGACCCCTACCTTCAAGAAACTTAATCCCAGTGAGTGCAGAGAGTCAGCAAACAATAAACATAAAAATAAGGAAATTTATAAACTATGTTCAAAGATGAGAAGTGCTCTGGGGTAGAGGATAGAGCCTGGTGAGGGGAGCTGAGATTGCTGCAGGTGGGGGTCGGATGCCTTAGTGGGTTAAATAGGGTGCTAAGACTAGGCCTTATTGGTAGGTAAGATCTGAGCAAGATTTGAAAGAGGTGAGGGAGGCAGCTGGGTGAATACCAGGGAGGAGTTTTCAGGCAGGGGGACAGCTGGCACAGAGCACCTAAGGCAGGAACGTGTTTGGGTTTTTGACATCCCGATCGTCTCCAGTGATTTGCCTTGGAACTGGGGTCCATCTGGGGGCTGGGAAGTCCCCATCCCTGCTCCTAGGAGCTTTGGGTAAGCCTCAGGCCAGGGGTCCTTCCTTTCTTCCACTACCTTACATACACATGTTCCAGAAACTCCTCACAGTTGTGTCTCTTGCAACCTGCACACCCTTAGCAGCTGCCCTGCTTGAAGGAGCCTGAGGCAGCCCTGGGGCAGCTGGGAATTCAGCCCCTGAATTCAGGTAGGATGTGGGAGGAACCCTGTGGGCTGGGCTGGCGCTAGGGTTTCAAATGCCCCTGCTCCCTAGCACCAGTGGGGACCTTTGCCCATCTGTGATGTCTCCGGAGTCCTTGAGGTATCCTGTTCTCTGCCAGGGCATGAGGCCCCCAATCTGGAGGAAGGTGCCCACACTGAGCAGGCTGAGGCTCCCTGCAGAGGCGGCCAGGTGTGCACACCACAGAAGGCTGAGCCTGTGGGCTCCTGCTCAGGTAAGTCTTCCCAGTGCTTCATCCCACCATGGGGTCAGGCCAAGGGAACAGGGGCCCAGCAAGCTCCAGAGCTGCTATCTGATGAGGTGGGTCATCCCCCGAGACAGCCACTCCAGGCCCTTCCAGCAAGATGAGTTCAGGCACCAGCACCTTTCTGCTGTAGAGCTTCAGTGCCCAAAGAGAATTTCAGATCTGTAGGCAGCGGGAACCAGAAAGGCTGGTCACCAAAGAGAAACAAACACACCCTCACCTCAGACGCCTTCTAGAAGTCCTAACTTCCCCTCCTTATCTCCCCCAGTCTAAGTATGTGCTTGTTGATCACCTCAGTTACAATTGCCATGAAGATCCATGGCTTTGATCAGCCTTTTCGCTGTCTCCCAGACATGCTCCCTCCTCCCAAACCTCCACTGATCCAGGTGCTCCAAATCTGTGGTTTGCGTCTCATCCCCCCACACCCGGTGATCAAACAGTTGATTCTCTCTCCACAACCCATCCATCACTTCCTTCCACTGCCACCATCCTTATCACCTCTTGCCGGAGTGACTTCATTTATTCAATAAGAATTTATTTAGTGCCTCCTGTGTATGGGCTGTGTTAGGTGTCATGGAAAGGGATGGGCTCTAGCGTTACACAGACCTGGTTTGAATCCTTGCTCTGCATTTACTAGCTCAGTGCTCTTGGATAGGCTACCTTGCCTCCAGGAACTTCGGTTTGTTCACCTGTAAACAGGGATAATAGTAACTTCATGGTCGTTGGGAAGGTTTGTGACAGTGTATGTACAGTGCTTCATCTGTAGTTGGCCCTCAATAAGTGGTGGCAGTCCTCATTTTTACTAGACACATAAAAACACATTTGTTATTGGACACAAGAAATAGAACATACAATATCTGCCCCCTCAAAAGCTAAAATCTAGTTGAGATGACATTAGTATGAACTGGAACAAACAATTAAAAGAACAGTATAAAGGCAACCTATAAGTAAGTGTGAAAATGTTAACAGTAAGTGCTATAGGAGTTTATACTGAGAGATCTGTATGCATTGGATTTGTCAAAAATGTTTATTTGTGCTGCATTTCGAGAGAGGTGTAGACTTCAGCTCTGAAAGGTGGGGTGGAGGATAGGAAAATATTCTAGGCTGGGAAAAGACCTTACGAACCAGGAAAGGGGACATGGTTGGAGGGGAGCAGCTTGGCTGAAGCGAAGGGTTCATGCCTGGGAGAATAAGAAAGTTGGACCAGGTTGAGGTGAGACTTAGATGCAGCTAGAACTTATTTTATCCTATAAATAATAGGGAGCTACTGATGGTTCTTGAGTAGACAAGTGAAGAGTGCCACAATGAAAATGAAAGCAAAATCACGGTATGATAAACAGACAGTTGTTTGAAATTGGTGGATTGATAGAAGAAACTGGGAGTAGAGCTGATTGTAGCAGTCCATGTGTAATATAATCAAGGCTGAGGCTATTACAGACTTTTAGGGCCAGACAGGAACTCATATCATTTGGTTCAGTGGTTCTCAAACAAGAATCACTGTGGGAGCTTTAAAGAAAGAGAATAGATTCATGGGCCCTGCCCCCATATATGCATTTTATGAAAGCTCCCCAGGAGATTATGATGTGGCACAAGGTTTAGGAACTATAAAGTAGTCCAAACCTTACACTTAAGCAAACTACGAAACTTAGCTCAAAAAGCTTAAATGACTTAACCAAGGTCATACTGCTGATTAGTGGCAGAGGAGAACCCAAGGTGGACACTCCCTGTCTGGGCTCTGGGCTTCTTCCTCTCGGCTGGGCCACTGCAGTGCCCGAGAGGGACAGAGCTCCAGCAGAACGCCCTCCGGCTTGCCCTGGGCCGAAGCTCCCCACAAGGGCCCTCCCTGCTTCTCCAGAGGCAGTGTTCACTAGTTCCCCAAGTCCCATAAACTCCATCCTCCTCTTCCTAAAGGAGGATTTCCATCCGGGCTGCAGCAGCAGGAGTGAAGGGAGTAGCAGGAACAAAACAGCACCCTGGTACTCTGGCCACTGGAGGGGACGTAGACAGCAAGAGGAGCAGTGATGTCAAGCTTTCAAGGCCGTCTAGTTGGGAGGAGGAGGCTGTGGCCCTAAGGTTAAAGTTAGCCAAGGGTAGGTTTGGGAAGGTCCGGTGTTTGGTGATGAACCTTCTGGGTAGCAGCCAGTGTGCAGGACATCGAAGGGGAGCTGCTCAACTGGGGATGAGTGACTGTGCTTCCGGAAAGGAGGGAGATCTGGGGCAGCCACCAAAGGGCTGTGAACCCAGAGTGAAGCATGAGGACTGAAGCCTGGGCAACGCTCCTATTCAGGGTGCACAAGAGGAAGCGTTGCATGGCAAGGAGGCAGGGAAGGGCTCCTCAGTGACATGCAAGCCTGTGAGGAAGCCCCCAGGAGAGGGTGGTGTCCACAGGCTGCAGAGAATGCAGGAGGAGGACTAGAGAAGAGTTTCGGATTTGGTCATTCCCAGGAACCTTTGGGTAGAGTGGACAGAGCCGATGCCAGACCACAGGGCTCCAGGAGGTGGCGGTCCTATTGCAAATAAACGTTGTGGCCCATGGGGCTTACTAGACAATTCTTGTTTTGACTTTTCAGGGGACGAATGGATGATTCGGAAGGTGAAAGTGGAGGATGAGGATCAGGAGGCAGAACAGGAGGTCGAATGGCCCCAGCATCTATCCTTACTTCCAAGCCCCTTTCCCGCTCCCGACCTGGGGCATCTGGCCGCTTACAAACTTGAGCCCGGGGCCCCAGGGACACTGGGAGGACTCTCGCTGTCCGGGTGGGCCCCGATCCCCGAGAAGCCCTATGGCTGCGGGGAGTGCGAACGGCGCTTCCGGGACCAGCTGACGTTGCGGCTGCACCAGAGGCTGCACCGGGGCGAGGGCCCCTGTGCCTGTCCGGACTGTGGCCGCAGCTTCACGCAGCGCACGCACATGCTGCTGCACCAGCGCAGCCACCGCGGAGAGCGGCCTTTCCCATGCTCCGAGTGCGACAAGCGCTTCAGCAAGAAGGCCCACCTGACCCGCCACCTGCGCACGCACACGGGCGAGCGGCCCTACCCGTGCGCAGAGTGCGGCAAGCGCTTCAGCCAGAAGATACATCTGGGCTCGCACCAGAAGACCCACACTGGCGAGCGGCCCTTCCCCTGCACCGAGTGCGAGAAGCGCTTTCGCAAGAAGACGCACTTGATCAGGCACCAGCGCATCCACACGGGCGAGAGGCCCTACCAGTGCGCGCAGTGCGCACGCACCTTCACGCACAAGCAGCACTTGGTGCGGCACCAAAGGGTGCACGAGGCGGCCGGCCAGGCCCGGCCCTCCCCCGACGCGCCCGCCTCGCCCCATTCCCCCGCCCCGTCCCCCACCCCGTCCCCTCCTGGGCCGAAGCCGTTCGCCTGCTCCGACTGCGGCTTGAGCTTCGGCTGGAAAAAGAACCTCGCCACGCACCAGCGTGAGCACCGCAGTGAGGGTCGTCCCTTTGGGTGCGAAGAGTGTGCACTGGACGCCATCGTGGACCCTGCCGCCGCACAGTCCTTGGCCTGCACGCCCCGAGGGCCGGGCTGCGGGACAGGCTCGGGGCCAGCGGTGCCGCCGCGCACCCCTTCGGGCGAGCGGTCCTTCTTCTGCCCGGACTGCGGGCGCGGCTTCGCCCACGGGCAGCACCTGGCGCGGCACCGGCGCGTGCACACGGGCGAACGGCCCTTCGCCTGCGCTCAGTGCGGCCGCCGCTTTGGCTCGCGGCCCAATCTGGTCGCCCACTCCCGCGCCCACAGCGGCGCCAGGCCTTTCGCCTGTGCGCAGTGCGGCCGCCGCTTCAGCCGCAAGTCTCATCTGGGCCGCCACCAGGCGGTGCACACGGGCAGCCGCCCCCACGCCTGCGCCGTCTGCGCCCGTAGCTTCAGCTCCAAAACCAACCTGGTCCGCCACCAGGCCATCCACACTGGCTCCCGCCCCTTCTCCTGCCCGCAGTGCGGCAAGAGCTTCAGCCGCAAGACCCACCTGGTGCGGCACCAGCGCGTCCACGGCGAAGGCGCCCATGCGGCCGCAGACGCTGCCCTCTCGGCCCCAGCCTGGCCCACTCCCGCCGAGGGGGCGCCGCGCGCGCTCTTCTTCTGAGCCCTCTCGCCAGGACCCGTTGCTCACAGTTCCGAGGGACCCGTGCCGCCAGGCCTGGGCTGCTGCCGGCCGTTTTCCTTCCCTCAAAAGTCCTAAAAGCGTTCCCAGCTTTGACGTTACAGGACAAAGACTATGCGCAGAGTGAATCCTTGCTGGGGACAGTTTAGGCCGAAGTCCTCGGAAGACTCCCACCCAGATGCCCCTTCGGAAAGCAGACATTTCCTGGACCTCGAGTGACCAAGGACAGATTGGGCCAGGAACCTCTAGCGGGTGGGAAAGAGTGGTTATCTGTATACTTAAAGTTTCATTAAAGTTAACCTCTGCAGGTTCTGGGGCTATTAAATGAGTTGGGGAGGGAACCCCTGCCTCTCCGTAGCCATTGTCCCACCTCCATCTACACACACAGCCCCCGCTTCCCTTTCAGTCCTGGGTGAGTTAAATTTAGCCAGCAGATTTGGAGAGTTAATTAACTCTCCAAATCAAAATGTAATATACTTTTTTATTTTTTGAGACGGAGTCTCGCTCTGTTGCCCTGGCTAGAGTGCAGTGACTTCATTGTAGCTCACTGCAATCTCAGACTCCTGACCTCAAGCAATCCTCCTCCCTCAGCCTCCTGAGTAGCTGGACATACAGGCATGCTGTGATAATTTTTCTGTTTTTAGTAGAGACAGGTCTTGCTCTTGCTCAGGCTGGTCTTGAACCCCTGAACCCAAGCAATCCTCCCACCTGGGCCTCGAAGAGTGCTAGGATTACAGGCGTGAGTCACCACACCTGGCCTCAAAATTTAATATTCTTAATTGCCAATCTGCTACCCCAGTTCCTGCTTCTAGCTCAGAAATTTGACAAGGAAGAAATGTGAGTATGCATTTCTCTCGTGCCAGGTGTCAAAGACGGGAGCTGCAGCAGGGGCGGGTTGTCCTTTGGCCATTCCCCTGGAGATGGCATGCCATCGGCATGCCATCATGGGCTCCAGAGATCTGTGCTCCTGCCTCTGTTTGCAGCTCTCCCAAGGGGATTCGCAATGGCAGCCTCACCTGCCACCTGCCTGGAAGGAGGTAGCACGTTAACAGCTGGTGAAGGTTGTTTTCACATCATACTTCCCAACAAGTTCTCCCTTGATGAGGGCTGCTTGGTCTAGAAGTCTCTGTCATTGCACTTCCCAGCCCAGGCAGGTGTGAGAGCTGGGGCTGGCTGGCAGTGAAGGGTGTAAGGTAATGGCAAGCATGCTGGGCTTGGAGTGAGCCGTCCTGGGTGTGACCTGTCCTCTGCCCCGGTTGGGACCCAGGGCACAGCATTCATTTTCCAGTGAGAGGAGATGAGAGGCCAGAGACGTGGTCTTTCACACCTGTGAAGGAGTTTAGATTGTATCCAAGGGAGGGGGGACAGGGCCACATTTACATTCACGCGTTTTGGAAAGATGTCTGGCTGGAAGGAGTTAGACTGGAGGCCTGCACCTCAGCCGTCCAGGTGACAGGTGGTGGTGACCTGGTGTCATGGTAGTGTCGGAGGAGAGGAGAAGTGATGGATTCAAGAGACACGTAATAGGACCTGTTGACTAGTGGAGGGGTGGGTGGAGAGGGAGTGGGGGGAATGGGTGAGGTTGGCCCGATTTCTGCCTGAGTACAGACTAGATGATAGTGGCGTTCCCCAAGATGGGTGACACAGGAGGAGCAGCTTTGTGCTGGGGGCTCAGTCCTGGACACGTGGAGTTGGTCTGACCAGTGCGTGACCAGTAAGAAGCAGGCTGTGTGGGGGCAGAGCTCAGGAGAGGGCTGGGCTGGAGACAGAGCTGAGCACCATGGATACGTGTTTCGGAAGCTATGGGGCAGTAGGTGGTATCCCCAAAGAAGTGACTGCGCAGTGAGAAAAGAGGGGCCTGGGACAGAACGCTTTGGAAACCCAGCATTTGGGGAAGCCACAGAGAGAAGTCTGTGAAGATTGGAGAGTGGGGGTGCAGGGAATGGACAGGGAAACCCTGAGGAGGTGACAAGAAAGCTAAGGACAGACAGTACTTCAGGAGGGAGGTGGCAGCTGAGGCTGGAGAGGTGACAGAAGCTGAGGACTTCCAGGTCCTTTGGATCCTGCAGCAAGGCAGTCAGCGGGGTGGTTGGGGCAGAACTCAGATGGCAACATGGAATCACGGAAGCAAGTCCCAGAGAGGGCAGACGATGGACGCAGGTGCGGATGGACGTCGGGCAGGAAGCCTCTTCCACCGTGCGCTCAGGGGGGCTTGACTGCGGGAGAGTTTTTAAGTGTTGTGGCCAAGAATGAGGAGGTGATTCCAGGTTAATGTAGCAGGTGTGGCCGTAAAACAGGAGCCGTTTTGGTTGCCCTCTCCAGACCCCCTGCAGCATTTTAAATATCTAGAAGTCCAGCTGCTTTTGGGAAAAGTCGGAAGCTGGTGGCTGGAGCGGAGCAGACGTTGGCGCCTCTTTGACTAAGGGATGGGAATCCTTGACTATGCCCCGTTGTCTTGGAGCCAGTCTCGGCTTCTGAAGTTGCCTACCTGGCTTAGGCACTGAGGGTGTGATTCCAGCCAGAAAAGTAATCCCACACTTTTAAAATCAAACACAGGAAAACAGTGTTTGTGTTGGTTATACCAATGTTTTCTTTTCTCGAAACATTCTGGAACTCTTGTGTAAGAACAGCTTTTAGATCCTGTAGCATATTCGGTGAGGCCTGCCATGTGCCAGACATTTTTAGCATTTCACATTCTCTTGAAGATTCTCAACAAGGCATATCTTTGTCCTTATTTTTGAGCTTGTTTGCAAATAGTCAAAAGTCATTTAGCATCCAGCCTGGTGGTAACCAATTCAGAAGGCGCCTGCTCAAGCAATGCAATGTGTCTGCAGCGAAAGACGGGGGTTTCTCAAGGCGGCTCCCAAGGAGGAGCTCTAGACTCAACAGCAGCGGGCTCGCTGAGATCAGTGTGCACACCTTCCCAGGCGGGACACTTTACAACCATGTCCCTGTAAGTGAAAATGCTCTGAGAAGTAAAGCACAGATTTACTCTTTCTATATGTAGAAAAGAAATGTTTTATAAATTAGCTGAAATTTATTTACGTTCCCCCAAGCTTGTTCCAAAGAAAGATTTACTGTAGCTAATGTGTATAGAGCGCCTCCCCCAGTATGTGCCCGGAACCAGCCCTGGTGCACCAGCCCTGGTGGCTAGCAGAGAGGTTTAGAACACGCAGTCTGTCTGTAAGGAACGTGCAGTCTGACCGGAGATGAGCTATTGGCGCCCACCGAGCAGAGGATGTGAGTGCTGAGTGGCATATTCTGTGGGCTCCGAAGACCCTAGAGGCCAGAGAAGGCTTTGTGGATGTGGTGGCGCTGCTGCGTAGCCAGGGTTTGGATTTGAGGGTGGCTGAGGGAGAGGGAGAGAGAGGCGCCAACCTCCCCCTCTCCCCACACATTTCTTCCCCAGTTCTCTGTCCTTTTGACACTCATCTGTCCCCCAGGTCAGCGACCCCCTCCGCCTTTCCTAATCTCCATGGAACCTGGGCTTCCTAATCTTTTTTTTTTTTTTTTTTTTTTTGAGACAAAGTCTGGCTCTGTTGCCCAGGCTAGAGTGCCGTGGCGTCAGCCTAGCTGACAGCAACCTCAAACTCCTGGGCTCAAGCGATCCTCCTGCCTCAGCCTCCCGAGTAGCTGGGACTACAGCTCACCAACAGGCCCAGCTAATTTTTTCTATATAGTTTTAGTTGTCCAGCAAATTTCTTTCTATTTTTAATAGAGATGGGGTCTCAGTCTTGCTCAGGCTGGTCTTGAACTTCTGACCTTGAGTGATCCTCCTGCCTTGGCCTCCCAGAGTGCTAGGATTACAAGCGTGAGCCACCACACATGGCCTAATTTTTCTTATTGTGGTAAAATATACATAACACGAAATTTACCATTTTAACCATTTTGAAGTGTATAATTCAGTGGCATTAAGCACATTCACAATGTTGTGTCACCATCACCACTATTTCCAGAACTTTTTCATCATCCCAAACAGAAATTCTGTTCCCAATCTTTTAATGTGCTGGTGCATTTCGACAGGATAATATTAGGGTCTCGCCGCGGTCCCGGTGGCTGAGAGAGTGATCTCCACATCCTGTGACTCCCCACAGGTTACAACACTCTGTTCCATCCCACAGACCCAAGGTCCCTTGTGAGGAAGATGGGGGTAAATCCACTTATCACCAGAATGATAATATTGAACAAGTTCCCTGGATTGTGGTAGTTAATAGAAGAAACATCACAGAGACCCGAACCCCACGGACATCAACCTCGTGATGCCTGAGTCTTTCTTCACGGCTCGGTCTTTATTAGACTCCTCCGTTCTCTGTACCCCACCTCCACCACAGCTCAGAAGGGTGCGCCGGGGGACAGTTATTGCATTGCTATCATTTTCCAGAATCTTTGGTGGCTGTAGACTCAGATGAGCTTTATGCATAAGAGCAAAGGACTTGCTTGTGTCCAGGTAACACTTTATGGTCCTCCGAGCCCTTTCCCTGGGTTCCTACCTCCTCCCCCCACTGCTAACCTGTTAGTCTTCTAACCACCAACTGATCTAGATACCTGAGACCTGGGGGGTCTCAAATGGAACCAGCCCACAGCCATTCTGGTGACCACCGACCCACTGACCCACTGGGGGCGGTGGAGAAAGACAAAGAACAGTGCTGCCCGCCGGCAGGAGAGGTCAGGAGCCCAGAGGGCAGGGGTAGGCAGTTAGCAGAGAGGGCATGTTTCTCACTGGCTTTCTGGATGGTAAGCCTATCTCTGAAGCTCAGCTGGCGCCTTAGGACACGAACACCAACTAACATCCGGGTCCCAAGTTGCTGCAGCCTTTTTCGTTTAGTCCAACGGGCCGGTATGGTGCGTTTTAAATAAACCACACCGGCAGTGTGTCGCTTTGTATTGGAAGAGACTCAGGCGCTTAGACTGCTCCTCTTTTGCATGCTTAGGGAACTAAATTAGTGACTGAGAGGGGCTCTGGCAGGGTGGAGCCAGAGCAAAGTGGAGCAAGTAGATGTAAGTGATACTGCATTCAGGCTTTCGTGAAATCTGCCCGTCACACGATTGCTAAGACGCAGGAATCTTCCGTGTGGCTCAGCCTCCTGCAGTGCCTTCCTCTCTGGCTGCGGGGATGGACAGGAGCTGCCGGGGAGAGGCACCTGCCGGAGATGCCTGCGCATCTCAAGTCAAAGGAGTCCTGCGTTCCCCAGGCTCGCCTGACGCCTGACTCCGGCAGGCAGGGAGGCTCCTGCATTTAATCCCCCACCAGTAAAGACTGGCTGAGCTTTAAAATCGACCCAGCCTTGTGCAGACACTG